GATCAAACTCATGTTGCCAGGCACGACTACAGCCACCTTAACCTGCCGAGCTCATCTTGCGGACCCTGAATAAGCACTCTTTAAAAGATATTAGTTGTAGTGGCTGTGGCGGCTCACATCTTTAATTTTAGTACCCCAGGAAGGAGAGGCAGGTGGATTTCTGTGAGTTTGAAGCCACTCTGGTAGCTTCCACTGGATACGAGGCCTGCCAGAGGTAACAACAGAGTTATTATTTGGTTTTTAGATTGTGGCAAAATGTGTATAAAATTCATTGTTACTCATTTTAAGTGTACGCTATAGCAGTGTATGCTCACTTTATGTAGCCACCTTCCAGAACAGTAACAATTCTGCAAAACTAACGTGGAGACCCACTGAACGACAGCCCACCCTTTCCCAAGCTGTTCTCAGCTGTTGACTGTCCTTCTGTATTCTGTCATTGTTGCTCAAACAGTACATTGTACTCCTGTTGACATGAAAGTGATTGTCACTCAATTATCTCTTGCTGCGCAAATAAAGGATCTGTGTTGGTGGTTCACACACCAGGTCTGTATTTTTCAGAAATCTATGGACACAAAGAAAAGCAGCTGGATGAACCACAGTGTGACACACTGAGTGTGAGCTTTAATTGCTTAAAGACACTGTCCCCACTCATCTGTTTCTTTTGTTTGCAGTGGGAGGTTGTGCTGTGGTGCACGTGTGGCGGTCAGAGAACAATCTGTGGGGATCAGTTCCCACTTTCCACAAAGTTCTTGGAATCAGGTTTGGGTTGTAGGGCTCAGCAGCAAGCATCTTCACCCACGAGCATTCTTGCCATCCTAGTGTGCTTTCATTCTTAAGAAAAGGTCTGTCCTTCGCAAGAACGGTACTCAACGTCATATGGAAAACCAAAAAGCCCAGGATAGCCAAAACAATCCTGTACAATAAAAGAACTTCTGGAGGCATCACAATCCCTGACTTCAAACTCTACTACAGAGATACAGTACTGAAAACAGCCTGGTATTGGCATAAAAACAGACAGGAGGAACAATGTAACCGAATCAAAGACTATTAATCCACACACTTTCAAACACCTGATTTTTGACAAAGAAGCAAAAATATAAAATGGAAAAAAGAAGCATATTTAACAAATGGTGCTGGCATAACTGGATATAAACACATAGAATGAATGAAAATAGATCCATATCTATCACTATGCACAAAACTCAAGTCCAAATGGATCAAAGACTTCAACATAAAGCCAGCCACACTGAACCTCACAGAAGAGAAAGTGGGAAGTACACTTGAACGCATTGGCACAGGAGACCACTTCCTATTTATAACCCCAGTAGCACAGACACTGAGAGAAACAATAAATAGGACCTTCTAAAATTGAAAAGTTTCTGTAAAGCAAAGGACATGGTCAAAAAGACAAAAATGACAGCCTACAGAATGGGAAAAGATCTTCACCAAGCCCACATCAGACAGAGGTCTGATCTCCAAAATATACAAAGAACTCAAAAAAGCTGATCATCAAAAGAACAAATAATCCAATAAAAAAAAATGGAGTACAGAACTCTCAACAGAGGAATCTAAAATGACTGAAAGACACTTAAGGAAATGCTTAACATCCTTAGCCCTCAGAGAAATGCAAATCAAAACAACTCTGAGATTCCATCTTACACCTGTAAGAATGACAAAGATCAAAAACACTGATGACAACTTATGCTGGAGAGGCTGTAGGGTAAAGGGAACACTTCTGCACTGCTGGTGAGAGTGCAAGCTGGTACAGCCCCTTTGGATATCAGTGTGGCGATTTCTCAGAAAATTAGCAAACAACCTTCCTCAAAACCCAGCAATACCTCTTTGGGGTATATATCCAAAGGATGCTCAACCATGCCATAAGGACATGTGCTCAACTATGTTCATAGCAGCATTGTTTGTCATAACCAGAACCTGGAAACAACCTAAATCCCCTTGATCGAAGAATGGATAAGGAAAACATACATTTACACAATGGAGTACTACACAGTAGAAAAAAAATAATGACATCTTAAAATTTGCAGGCAAATGGATGGAGCTAGAAAAACATTATTTTGAGTGAGGTAACCCAGACCCAGAAAAACAATTATCACCATGTACTCACACATAAGTGGTTTTTATACATAAAGCAAAGAAAACCAGTCCACAAATCACAATCCCAGAGAACCTAGACAAGAATGAGGACCCTAAGAGAGACACATGGATCTAATCTACATGAGTAGAAAAAGACAAGATCTCCTGAGTAAATTGGGATCATGGGGACCTTGGGAGAGGGTTAAAGGGGAAGGGAGAGACAGGGAGGGGAGCAGAGAAAAATGTAGAGTTCAATAAAAATAAGAAAAACATTTTTAAAAAAGTCAATATGGAAACCTAATGGAGTAGAAACTCTCCGGATTCTACGAGGGTGACCCTAATCATCACAAGGACTCCTAATAACGGAGTAACCAACCAATAACAGGTCTAATCTGAGGCCCACACCACAAGAGAAAACCCTTGCAGGACAAGGGCTCTCTCCACAGAGTGCAAACTGCTCAGCTTCTCTTTCCTCCTATTTCTCCACCACGTACCTGTTCATCATAGTGGCACCTGTCTGCCAGGCCTGCCACAAGAAGGGTTCGTAATTGCTGAACCATCTCTCCAGTCCCAGTAAAAGTACTTTTAAAAATAAATTATGTTTAGTGATAAAATCCTAGCTCAGGCTGGCCTTGAATTCTCCACATGGCTGAGAATGACTTTGGACTTTGAATCCTCCTGCCTCCACCTCCTGAGTGTTAGGGTTAGAAGCATCTTTGATTATTCCCGGTTTATGTGATACTGGGATTGACTCCTGGACTCCACTAGACAAACATTTTACCAACTGAGCTATGTTCCCGGAGCTCCCTGCCAACACTTACCTTGAACTATGTAGCCCAGGCTGGCCCTTTACATGTGATCCTCCTGACTGCTGGGATTATAGAAATCCACCACCACTCCTGGTTTCATAATTTTTTTGAACACTTATTATTCCCACACACACAGGTAAAAATTATATTTTTAACACTTATTATTTTTATGTGTATGGATGTAATTATGTCTTAGTTTGAGGTCAGCTTAGTCTATGTAATAAATTGAAGGCCACATAATAATAACAGTAAATGTAATTTAAAATAGAAAGTTGATTGGCTTGAGGAGAGCATCTTATTGGGTAGTCCTGACACTCCTAGGACAGGCTGGGTTTGATCTTCACCACTTCTGCTTCAGCGTTTTGAGTACTGGAATTTAGGTGTGGGATAGGCTCTTTCTGGCCTGGAAAGCATCGTGGCTGGCATGGAGCTCGCCAACTGCTGAAAATCAAGAAGCCTGTGTGTTCTGGGAATTCTGTCACTATGCACTAGCTAATTAAGAGGAGCACTTTGGTCTAAGAGATGGGGTTTTCCCTGGGGGTGGTCCCCCTTTCCAGCGAGGAGCAAGAGGGTGTGAGCGACCGAGATGGCAAATGTAAGCGGTGGCTTGTGACTCGATTCAGGTCCCCTATTTGTCCTTTAGTACTTGTGCGTGGATTATGATTGTTAATAAACGATAAAGAAATCTTTGATCACCTGTGTTGTGCCATAAAATTGCATTAAAAAATATAAGACAACTATAGCTACTACCTTGCCCAGAGCAATCTGAATTTAAATTTTTGTTAAGTCTGGCTATACATTTCTCAAAACACCTTGGTCTTAGTAGGAGTAACACTGTTGATTGCTTTCCATTTTCACTGCAACCTTTGAACTTTGTGTCTTTCTACATTCTGTGCCGCTCCAACACGTTGTTGCTGTGTCAAAGAGAAGAGGAACTGCATTCATGTTAATCTCTGCACTGGGATTTTGTTAAGTCTGCACAATTTTTAAGGGGCCTTGCAATAAGGCATGAGAAACTTGGTGTCAGCCTTCTCCTTTATATGGATCTGGGGACCAAACTCCATCCTCAGGGTTGTATTCAAACACCCTTGCCAAACACCGAGCTGTCTAAGCTGCCTCTTTTGAGAAGCGGTTACTCCACTCTTCCTAAAGAACCCTGAAATCAACTGGAGTTGCACTGTGCTTGCAACAATGTTTGATTGGCAAGGCTGATTCCTATTAATAAAAAGATACTGCTGCTAATGACAAGCAGCTTGAATAGAGGTTGCAACACTAACCTTCCTTTCTGTAGACTGCTTTTAATGCCTGCCATTTGTGATTTCATTTCATTTCTGCAAGTAAAGACTACAGGTAGTGTCTCATTGAAAGCTGGCAAGGTTATCATAGAAGTGATAGAAGAACAGTGTTGCTTATGTCTATCACCTGTTTACCCAGATAGCACTAAACCAAGACTTAAATCTACTTCAGATTCCCCATAGGCAGTTTGAGTGTTACATTCCTGCCAAGCTCTTTTTTTTTTTTTCTGACTAGTTAGTAGGACTCTCTATGCAGCCCCAACTGGCCTGGAACTCGATGTGTACACCAAGTTTGTCTTGAACTCATAGACACGTGTCTGCTTCTGTCCCTCCGGTGCTAGGAAGTTAAGTGTGTGCCACCATGCCTGGCCTCTGACTGTTTTTTTTTTTTTTAACTGAAGTGATGGGAGTTCCACTCCTCATTTGAAATTTAGTCTCTCATCTTGCCAAGCTCAGCACTCAAAGCATTTTCTCTCTCTCTTTAGGTTCATTTAGTTTTTATTACGCTTATTTTGCACTACGGCATAAAATTCAGTCTTAAGGATTACTTTGCATTTTCCTATAGTATTTGCTGACTAATTTTATTCTTGAAATATGCAAATATTAAACTAAAAAAACATCGCATTTAATACTATTTTTATTAAGTTTACTTTGGATGTAAAAATCAGAGGAAAACCCTGTATAGAAATTGTGCATTTACTGACTTCAGGGTTCTATGAACGATCTTCAAAATTCTGCACAGTAATGTTCTTTTCTGTCAGTGAGATTATTCATTAGATGAAGCAGGTGGGCGAAGGCAAGCTTTTTAAGGTTCAAAATTTGATATATCTACTTTTAAAGGGACTGTCACATCACCACGTTCAAGTATTTTGGGTCCCAGAATGCCGATGAGGAGAGCTCCATTTGGAGCTGTGATCAGGATGGCTAGGAAGGCTACCGTCATCACATCTTTTGAGTATGCTTCGAGGTGGGGAGCCTCGACTCTTCTCGCTGTTTCTAGAGCCAGAGGACCTAAGACCGCCTGCAGTTAGGGAGGACACAGGGCAAAAGAAAAATGTTATTCAGAGTTAACATATAATAAACATAGATGCTGCTCTTCTTTCCCCTGAGGAGGTACATTCTTTAAATTCCTACAGAGTTAGAAAGGTGCCCGTGCTCCCGGGCCCCACCACAACCCCCAGCCAGTTAGCTTTTATCATGTATTTACTTATTTTCTTTTGTTTTTGAGACAAGATCACCCTGTACAGCCCATGTCTACCTCCTGAGTACTAGAATTACAGGCTACTGTGGCTGTAGCCACAATATGTGTGTGTGTGTAATTTTTTTTAAATTATTGTCTTTATTTTTCCTTACGATTTACATATACAAATATAGGCAAGAAATTGCCTTAAAATTTTCAGGAATTAAATGCACATACACATTAACTATGGAACTGTAAAGTAAAGGCAAAATGGTAGAAATATAAGTCGGGGGGGAACTCAGTCAGGAGCCTGGAACAGGAGCTGAAGTAGAGACCAGGGAGAACTTGGCGTGCTGACCTCCTTTCTGGCTCACAGTCAGCCTCCTTTCTTACGTAACTGGCCAACCTGCCTAGAGAGGGTACTGCTCATGGTCAGTTAAGCCTTCTCACACCAGTTAACAATCAAGAAAATGCCCCACAAACATAGCCACAAGTCAATCCAGTTAAGGCAATTCTGGAGTGCCTTCTTCCCAGCGGATTCTTGGTTCCTGTCAGCTGAGGTTGACATTTCACACTTTGTCAGTTTTTACACACAAACACATCACTTTAATCCACAATGTTCCCTTCTTGTTTGTCCCCAACATCTCATATTAACATTATTGTCTATATTCTGTCAATTACATTTTAAATAAACACTGATTGGCCAGCAGCCAGGCAGGAAGTAGAGGTGGGGCAAGGAGAACAGGAGAATTCTGGGAAGGAGGAAGCTCATTCCTCCCTAGTCCTGTCCCAACCACAGAAGAAGGAAGATGTGATTGCCCCACTGAAAAAGGTACTGAGCCATGTGACTAACATAGATAAGAATAATGGGTTAATATAAGTTATAAGAGTTAATAAGAAGCCTGAGCTAATGGGCCAATCAGTTTATCATTAATCTGTGTGATTTCTTTGGGGGCTAAATGGCTGTGGGACCTGGTGGGAGGATGTAAACCAGGCAGGACAGAAACCCCGAGACAACAGTAAAATATAATTTTTAAAGTCTCACAGCCTTTTAAAAAATTCAACACTTCCAAGGTCCAGTGTCTCATTAACTTCAATTCCAGGGGATTCAACACGCTCTTCTGGTCTCTGCAGGTACCAGCCATACATGTGGTGCACATACATAAATGCAAAAACACCCAACACACATAAAATTAAAATAAATCTAAAAATGTCATATACTTGTTTATTCCAAAAGGTAAGATCCAAGCTACAGTTACAATGAGATCAAAGCAAAACCAAAGTCCATCGGTATAAATCCACGTTCTGTTCCAACACCACAGACTCACTCTTGATCTTTTGGATCTAAAGGGCTTGGGTGGTCTCACCTCTACAGTACACACAGCTTGCCCAGTAGGCTCAGGCTAGCTGCACTCCAGAGCTCTCCACCGCACAACTGCCACTGTCTTAGCTGATGTCCCCCAGTCCCAGCACCTCAAACATCCTGGGGTCTCTTCTAAAACTAAGGCTACACCTTCACTAATGGCCTCTCCTGGTCTCTTTGGGGACGCAGAACCTGTCACATGATGCCACACCTCACTTTCTCTCCATGACCTCTCCAATCCTGCATCTTTCATGGTGAAACAACCAGTTTCACAGTCAGGCAGTGGTGGTGCATGCCTTTAATCCCAGCACTCAGAAGACAGAGGCAGGCAGATCTCTGTGAGTTTGAGGCCAGCCTGGTCTACAGAGCTAGTTCCAGGACAGACTCCAAAAAGCTACAGAGAAACCCTGTCTAGAAAAATCAAAAAACCAACCAACCAAACAACAATAAAACCCAGTATCACTGGAAGACTCGTAAACTTTACCAAGGCTGGCTGCCAACCTGAGATGCAGCTCTGCACCACTGTATACATGCTGACTCTGAAGAGCTCCTTCCAAGAATTCCACTTCATAATAACAGTCTCTCATTAATCAAGCTGATTGTCCAGTCCCAGCTGACCAGCATCCTTTGTCCCAATAAGCACAAAAAGTTTCACTTCCACAGATTCTTAATTCCAATACAGCATATGAACAGTTCTGTCACAGTCTTTGAAGGACTCTCATAATTCCCTCTGAAACTTTACAGTCTGGGCCTCCACTGTCTAAATTTCTTTCAGCATTCTTGTCTTCTAAGTGCTCAATGTCTAACCCAAAGTTCCAAACACTACCACATCTCACACTTCCGGTACCAACTCCTGCCATCATGTTCTTCCTGTTGCTGGAACAAACATCAGGACCAGAAGCAACTTGGGAAGAAAAGGACCATCTCATTTTACAGTTCATGTCCATCATTGACAGAAGCCATGGCGGGAACCTGGAGGCAGGAGCTGATGCTGAATCCATGGAAGGGTGCTGCTTATTGCCTTGTTCTATGGCTCATGTCCTTTCTTATATGGTCCAGGTCCACCTGCCCAGGATGGTACCACCCACAGTGGGCTAGGCAGTCCTACATCAATTAGCAATTAAGAAAATGCCTCATAGATATGGCCTCATAGACAAGTCAATCTGGCCAAGGCAAGTCTTAAGTTGAGATTCCCTCTTCCTAGATGACTCTAGGTTTGTGTCAAGATGATAGGTGAAGCTGACTATGATGCTCAGGGGTCACAGACACTATTGCAGCCTCAAAAAGGCAAAGAATGAGGAGAAACGTTAAATTTAAATTTTTCGTTCCAACTCGTATGTGGAACACGTGGTTCTACTTGCATAAAAGATGTTGGCTAGTGGTATAGGTAAGCGGTAGAGCACTAGCCTACCATGTGCAAGATCGTGAGTTTGAGAAAAAAAGTTTCTGTATGTCTTTCAGTTCTTGATGTTTGTACAGAATACAACTTTGCTTGGGTGCTAGGGAAAGGGGACAAAGAAGCAGAGCAAAGCAGCTTGGGTAGTAGGCGCTTTCTTCATACCTGCTTTGTTTTCACTGTTTTAGGAAATGATAAATAATAAATCAAAACACAAGTAAGGAGAGGTGACAGACATTCTTTTAATAAATCTACTATCCCCTCTCCAAAAAAGACAGGTTATTATATGTCTTGAAGGTAAGATAAAATAGCTCTACTATTGTTCATGGAGCGCCACTGTATACCAGAAACTGTGCTGAGAGCTTTACAGGGATTAGTTCAGCCAAACTCACAGCACCACCATTTAGTAGACATGCTCATAGATCCTTATATAAAGGAGGAATTCAATGAGCCAAGAGACAAAGAAGCAACTCCCTAAAGGCCTAGGCAAGCAACACAGTATTCAAGAGCAACAATCTGACCTTAAAGGCTTGTGGTTCTAACCCTAAAACAGAATTCTGTTTCATAGAAATGTACAGGCTTCTATTGTGTAACAGCAAAATGGAGGGAAAATCCCGGGAAAACAACGTTTTTATGTTGCCATCGATGTTAGCAGTTGTCAGGAAGTAGCAACACCTTTTAAAAGGAGGAAATTATTATAAAGTAAGAGGATAAAACTACAAGGTCTTGGGGCTGGAGAAATGGCTCAGCGGTTAAGAGCACTGACTGCTCTTCTAGAGGACCCGGGTTCAATTCCCAGCACCCACATGGCAGCTCACAACTGTCTGAAAATCCAGTTCCAGGGGATCTGACACCTTCACACCAATGCACATAAAATAAAGATAAATAAATCATAAAAAATTTAAAAAAAAAAGTTGTTAAAAAAAAAACTACAAGGTCTTCATTAATTCAACCATTTATTTGTGTAGCTATGCAGGACACGTTTACCTGTCCTGGCTAGTATTTCTGTTTGTTTTGTATTTTGTCAATCTGACACAAGTTAGAGTTGTCTGGGAAGAGGAACCTCAATTGAGAAATGTCTCAATCAGATGCTTGTAGACAAGTCTGTACAGCATTTCCTTTATTCATCGCTGATGTGGGAGGTGCTACCCTTCGGCCCATGGTCTTGAATGGTTTAAGAAACAACTGAGCAAGTTATGGAAAACAAGGTTCTCCATGACTATTGCTTCAGTTCCTGCTGCCAGGTTCCTTCCTTGGGGTCCTGTGCTGACTTCCCTTGATGATGGACTGTGTTGAAGTATAGGATGAAATGAACCCTTTCTTCCCTCAGCTGCTGTTGGTCATGGTGTTTATCACAGCAATAGGAATTTTAATGAAGACAACTTCCTTCCTGCTGGGTATTGTTTCAAATAGTAGGGGGAAAAGATGGAAAAAGAAACTAACAAAATGCCCCCAAAAGATGCTCTCTGTGTCCTTCCTGTATAGTCACATATCATAAAAACAGATACCTAATTAAAATACATGTATGTATTTGTGTTGGAGTGAGTGACAGGGTGAGAAAAGCCAGTTATAAAAAACCAAGGTATCTCTAACGATATAATATTTACCTCTACAGCATTCAGCCAAATAAAAATATTTCCATATTATGAAATGTTCATATTTTATTTTATACTTTTTTTTTGAGTCAGGATCTATCAATGTAACCTCTTAAAATTCTCTACATAGACCAGGCTGGCCATGAACTCACAGAGATCTGCCTGCCTCTGCCTCCTAGGTGCTGGAAAAAAGTATGTGTCACCATGCCTGGGCTTATTTTCATACTTAAGGGAAACAGGAAAAAAAAAACCCACTTTCAGAAAATTTAGAAATTATTTGCCAAAGTACTCTTCTAAATTTCAGGTAAATTGCTTTAAAAGCAAATCTTTTAAATGTTGCAGTGTGTGTGTGTGTGTGTGTGCTGCACGAGTATGCACATGTGCACATGAATGCATACCTGTTTGTGCACTTGGGGACGCCAGATGTCACTGTCCTCTTCAGCACTCTCTGCCTTACTTATTCCATTACCAATGGTCTCCCACATGTCTGCCCCGCCCTCCCCCACCCAGCCCTAGGTTTACAGGCACTGAAGCCAAGCCTGTTCTGTGAGGCCGTAGGGATCCAGACTCCTGTTCCATGCATGGATAGCAAACACTCTTCCCCTGGAGCATCCTCCCCAGCTCTAGGGTTTGAGAAGTAATTATCAATCAAACATGGCAAAAGGAAAGTACATTAGATACAATTTGTAGTTTTCATTTAGAACTTCTTTTTTTGGGGGGGACACCTTCCTTTTTATTTTTATTTTTGTGTTTCTTTCTTTATTTGATGTGCACTGGTGTTTTGCCTGTATATACTCTGTGTGAAGGTGCCAGATCCCCTGAGACTGGAGTTACAGACATCCGTGAGCTGCTATGTGGGTGCTGGGAATTGAACCCAGGTCCTCTGGAAAAGCAGCCAATGCTCTTAACCACTGAGCCATCTCTCTAGCCCCTCATTTAGAGCTTTTAAAACTTGTCAAAACTAAAATGATTATTAATTGCTTAGTATGTTCTTACCTGGACTGTAGCTTTGGGGATCCACGATAAAGCAATAAATATTTTCTCCTTAAAACGAAAGTCAGCAAAAGACATGAGTGTAAAAGTGGCTAAAATTCGAACAGATAATGCCAAACCCAAGGTAGCAATACACATACCTACAACACATATAAACAAATATAAAAAACAAAACGCTTGGTAGGTATTTTTGTCTAGAGAGATGAATTCTAAAATTTCTGAAAATATTTTGCGCCTGTTGCTTCATTCTATCTATTTAAGTAAAAATAGTAATCATAAAAAACACAAAGTAAAAACGAAGTGTTATATGTGTATATGCATATGGGGTGTGTTGGGTGTGCATGCACACTTAAACAGGTAAGGGGTTTATGTTTGCTGTCTTCCTCAATGGCTTCTTCTTTTTATGAAACAAAATAATTTAATTACTTTTATTTCATTTGCATTGGTATTTTGCCTGCATGTATGTCTATGTGAGAGTGTCAGATCTTGGAATTAGAGACAGTTGTTAGATGCCCATGTGGGTGCTGGAAATTGAACCCGAGTTCTCTGGAAGAGCAGCCAGGGCTTTCAATGGCTTCTTTTTGGCACAAGGTCTGTGAGTGACCTGGAGCCTACTGACTATACTGACAAGCTTCAGAGATCATGGTGTCTCTGCCTCTGTGCTGCTGAGACTGCTTTTACATGGGTGCCTGAGATCAAATATAGGCACTAAGGATTACATGACTAGCAATCTATCCCCCAAGCCATCTCCCCTGCCTTTTTGGAAGTTCTTCTACAGTACTAGATTATGTGACAGTGGGAGCACCACGGGAAGAAAGGCTGATGACGTGGCATTCAGTTCATTTGATGTAATACAGTTTGAATGGAATTCATTTAACTGTGAATTGCCTTTTTGGGGACATGTTTCCAGGGATGCGGATAGAAGCATCTAATGATATCTAATGTTTCCTGTAATCTATTTCTCTGGATCACTTGGGTTGTCTTTGACTGAAAACAAAGAAATGCATAGAGGTAGAGGAAAAGAGTAGATGTGGTCAGTGTGATTCCGAAGCTCTTTAAGGACACTCGGAGATGTGGTGTACACAAAATAAAATCTGTGTTGTCCCTCTCCTGTGCTCTTTGTGCTCTTACCAATAGTTCTCGACTCCAGAGCCTCAACAGATACTTCTGTTCCAACTAAGCCAAAGAGAAGTGGCTGAAAAATATTCCAGGTGTTTGCGACAATTTTTTGGACTCCAACCTATAGGAGCGAGAAATGCATTTCAGTTCTTATGGCATGCACACATAACTGCGCTTCAGGAGTTTTAGACTTTTGGTTGATGTGCACATACATTTTGACTGTATTTCAGAAATTTAATTAACTGATGACACTTTATTTTTAGGGAAAAAGTTAAAACTTAACTTATGACAATTGAGTAATGTCATTTATCCAAACAGAATTTGGTTAAGGAAACACACAAATCTATACAATAAACAATATCATCTCGCCATTGTGTTCCAAAAAAGGAAAAAAGTTTGGGAGTCCTCGTAATATTCCGAAGTAGGGCCAGAAGCACAGCATGTGAGACAAGAACATGCACAGCTCACACTGGCCCATCAGAAGGGAGTGAGGAAGCCTGCCTAATGACAGTTTCGGAACCCAGTCCATGAAATGAATTCAGACAGGTTGTAAACAAGCAGGAAGAAAATATTCTGGAGGTTTGTGAGGTTGCTTCCTAAAACTTGTATCGACGACTTCAAAGTTGTTTTCAGTAAGTTTCCTGTTGTGTTGGCGGAGTATAAGCACTGAAAAGCTTTCCAAGTGATAATTTAGCAGTATTGTCAAAATAAGGACTATTTTTAAACCCAGAAATCCCACTTCTATGAATCCATTCCTACAGGATACTTGTATATATGAAAAGGCTGTTCATGTTAGTAACATTTTTATTTTAAAAAGAGAATATATATACCTATCTATAAATATAGTATTTTTCAAAATGATTAATTTTGGAGAATAAGCAGACTATTTAAGGAGAGTAAGGAATATAGGAATCTTCTGCATTTAGTATGTTTTGATTTTTATAAACATATTCTTTTTTTTGTACATTTTTTGTCATCAGTGAAAAAAGTGTAAGTTGGGCAGGTAAAATGTCCCAGTGGATAAAGGTGCCTGACACAAAATTTGACAATTTGAGTTAGAGGACCAGGACACACACAGTGGAAATAAGCAACTTACTTCAATAAGCCTTCCTCTGACCTCCATGCCCCTCCCCATAAATAAATGTAAAATAATAATAATATAAACAAAATAAAACAAAAGTTTTATTGGGATAAAGATATTCCAAATTTTAGAACGTGTTTTCATGGATAAATTATGGAAGTAAGCATTTTAAAAATAGTAAATAAGAGGCATATAATAAAATCATACAACTCTCAAGAGAAAATCCTGACATAAGAACACAGCTTCTAATGACATTTTACTATGGGTCAATGTGGTTTTCTTTAATACTAATTACTCACTCCATGTGCTTCCTGGGGGAGGTGGAACATCTTCCAACTACATGGAGGCGGTTTTCTAAATGCCCATTATATATTTCAAAATTCAGCTATTTTATCTTTAAAAACATTAGTGATACTCACTTTCTCTTTAGCCCATTTTTTTGCTGCCATGAACGACAACACTAGTGTGATCAGTCCTCCAGATCCATGTAAGTCAAAGTACTGACAGCCTAAGACAGCAGAAATACACATACTCAGAACAAGGAAGGCTCGCCTCTGTGTAACTTTCACCTAGAAATACACATTTAGAAGTTGTTTTACATTAAACATACAAGATGTGGCATTATCTATCTTTTTTTACCTTTTGCTACAATATTTGTAAAATTTGTATTAAATAATAGTCTCCAAAATGTTGGTTTGATTTTGCATCAAAACTTTCGGTAGATTCAGAACTAAGCAATAATTCATCAAATATGAGTGAGGCTTTCACTCTCCATACAGTGATGCTAACAGGAAAATGCTTACCAGACTCTGCCTGAAAAGGGAGGGAGGCAGTGCCTCTAACATCAGTTGTTAAAAATAAATGTTTTGAAGATTTATTTATTTAAAAGATTTGATAACTTTGATGGAAGAAACCAAATTACAAATTGAGGCAGGACAAAGGCAACCACTAAGTTCAAAACCAGCCTCAGCTACATAGTGAGACTTTGCCTCAAAATTGCCACTGCCACCAGCAGCAGCAGCAGCAGCAGCAGCAGCACCACCACCACCACCAACAACAACAACAACAACAACAACACCCAGGTCTAAAACCCTTGTCAAAGGGAATGGAGGCAAATTTAAAGTAGAAAATATGGGCAGATAAAGTGGAACTTATCTCTGTTTCAAATATGTTCAGGAGAAAGTTTTGGGGAAAAGGATTAAGAAAATTGTCAAGTATCCACTGCTGTTTTAGGTGAAATGGGGGTGGAGTGGAAGGAAGGGGGGGGGGTCACATATGTTGTTCACAGTATTTTAATTTGCCAGATCAAGACACAGTGACATTAAGACTACTTGGAATCAACCACTATTAGGCTCAGTTTTAAGCATGCTGTAGGCATCAGAGGCAACTCTGGGGGAATTTTATGTTTCACAGTTCTGTCTAAAGTTGTCTCTGAGAGTTTTATGCTACACCCATGCTGGACCATCTACCAAAGTCCTTATATTAGAAGTTTGATACGGGGTGGTGGTAAGGGGCATGGTGGGATCTCTGAAAATCAGGGAAGCATGCTTCTAAGCAAGTCGTTAAGTTCCAGTCCCTTCCTCTTTTTCCTTTGTCCCAGGGTTCATGACATAGCTGGCTTTGTGCTGATACCCGCTCTGGCAGTGGTACACTGCCAGGGTGATGAGGCAGGTCGATAAAGATCGTAACCTCCACAACTGCGGGCTAACTAACCTTTGTTACAAAGAGTAAGAGTTTCCCAGGTGGTTCAGTACTGTGGTGGGAGGCTGATTAACATACTAAAGCTCTACAAAGCAGATTTTTATTTTTAATTTACCTGATCTTCACTTGGAAAATACTGAATAAAAAATCCCATAACAATTCCTACCAGCACACCAACAAATACATTCCTCAAGGACGATAGGACATTGCTAATTATACTACCTGTAAGGGCACAAAATAAAAGAAACTTTTCACTGAGAAATACTTTCATAGACGCTATACGTTAGAGAGTAAGACCTACGTGGTTTATGAGTACATTTTATTTCAACAAATTACAAAACTGGACCTTTAATAGTGGCATGTGTGAAAAAGTATTCAGAGCTATCAGAAGTTAAACATCTATTTCTACTAATTTAATATAAACACACAACTAGAAATATCCATTGTAGAAATGGGTTAGAGAATCAAGAAATCATGTGCTCTCCTTACACATGACCTATCAGACCAAGTAAGGGAGAAAACTGCAGAGCAAGTGACAGGAGCATTGCAATGGGCTGGTTAGGCCATGCTGACAATTTGATATTTTGTGTGCAAACTAAACAAGTCACTTAAATATTGAAAGGACAACTTACCAATAACAACCACATAAAACATTTGTATGCCCCAGTTAATCCTAGATATAGATAAGTCAATTAGGTTTTCAATATGTTTTAATATGAATAAATATTTTATATTAAGTCATTATATATTTTCAAAAGTAGACAAAAACCCTTAATCCTCAATTTAAAAAATTGTTTACCTTTACTCTAAGCATTGAATTAGCTAAACATATATAAGTGTTAGATATATTTTCCACTCAAAAGAATGGAGTGTTATTAGTTAAGATGCCTGAACCCCCACAGACAACTGAACAATAACAATAGCCTAAGAGCCTCCATGGAGCTCCATATGCCAATTAAGAAGATGTGGTGATCCCTACAAGGGGAGAGAAGAATGATAGCGTGGAAACAAGTAGAAACACTAGAGTGTGCTGAGTTACCAGCAGCCCAGCCCCAAGCTGGCACAGGGCTGGTGGGTGAGGAGGTATCCCACTTACTACTTCTCCATTGAAAGGAAGAGAGAAGACAAGGGCAGTTTGGAGAAGGCCTAAAACATTAGCCTTTGTCTCACCTGCTTCTAACCTGATACCCAAGTACTGTCAAGAACAAAGGAGAGGTCAGAGATAGACTCCTGGACCAGAGAGCTTTTGAAATTGTGCCAAGCATACAAAGGAAAAACACCAGTACCTTGCAGATTTTTAGAAAATATACGCTGAAGAGGAGAAGAATCTCCAAATTCATTTTATAAGGCCATTAGGACCTTCATGCCAAAGCCAAACCTACAGTGAGAAAACTATCCAGTGATGAGGGGGTACCAGAAACCAGAGGCCTTGACCCAGTCCAGAGACTCACGGCAATGAGTATTTGCTAGTAAAGCCGAAAGGACGAAAGGGTGTGCTATGTGATACACCAATGCCACCAGGACGAATGAAGAGGTGTTGAAAAGATGGGAAAGAAGGCAAAGAGTCTTTTCTCTTTATGCTTTGTTCTGTTCATGCTTTTGCTTGCTTGCTTGCTTGCTTGCTCTGCTGTGTTTTCTTTTGGGGGGGTGCTGTAAGGGTGAGGGGAGGATGAAGGGGGACCGAGGAGATGGGCAGAATTGGAGTGTATGATGTCAAACTCCCCAAGAATCAATAAAAAAGTTAACTTTTAAAAAAAGAAAACTACAGACCAATATTCCTGATAATTATGCAAAAATCTTCAATACAATACAAATAAACTGAATTCAACAACACATTGATTGGATTATACATCATAATCAAGCTGGATTTAATCCTGGAGTGCAAAGCAGTACACACCCTGGCATGCTTTTCCACACACCTCCCCCTCAACACAATGACACACAGAGAGAACCCTAACATTTACCCCCCAAACCCACAACCTGTCAGAATTCATCCTCAAGACTAGTAAAGTTGAGTGCTGCAAAATCAACAGTAAGGCAGCAGCTACTTCACATGTTAACAATGAGAACTTAGGAAGAAAATTGTGGGACTCATTTTAAATAGCATGAAAAGAAACAAAGAATAAGTGTGATTAAGGAGGTGAAAGGCTTGTGCTGAAAATTGAAAACATTGCTGAGGCAAGTTATAGACCTAGAAGTGGAAAATATATTTGTGCATGATTAGAGGATTCAATATAGTTATCATGTTTATGCGACCATACTAGTTGAAGAAACCTCTTTATTCTATGTGATTCCTATCAAAAATTCTAATGGATAGTTCTTTAGAAATTGAAAAGAGAACCCTAAAATTTATATAGAATGTTGAGGGACAGTGAAGAATCACATACTAGTGATCTTAATGCATGTGCAATTTGACATTTTGTTCTTTTTATGAAGCACGGTTGGAACTTAGTTTAAGGCTTAAGCACAAGGGTTAAGAGAAAGAAGGCACCCAGAGGAGACTAAGCCACACCCAAGAGCATGGGTGTGGTCTTCTAAAGAAGAACCCAAATGTGTGTGGGTATGGACACTTCTAAAAAGAGCTGCCAATATTCTACTTTTGACTTGAATTCTGCATATTCCATATGTTGAACAAATTTCAGATGCTTGTTAAGTCATGTGTGTATCTTCTTTCAGGTCTGATCTCTGCTCTTTTAGCATTAGTCATCTGCAAACACCCTAATTTACCTCTCTCAATTCTGGAGAGCAAGAAGTCAGTATCAAGACACCAACAGCTCTAGTGGCAAAGGTCTTTTCCTCACAGCCACCTTCCCTGTGGTCTCCTGTGGTGGGAGAGCGCCAGTCATGTTCAGGGAGAGCCTGAACAGCATTCCATGAGGACTGCCCTAACCCTCATCATGCCCTCTAGGCCAAAACTCAGACATCTCACTGGGCGATAGGTTCCAGAATCTGAATTCTGGAGATACATAACTTTCAGACCACAGCAAAGGGCTTCGTTTTTAGCCTGAGGCATTTCCTTCTTCTTGGGTTATAGTTCTTCCACATAATCTTCACATTATCAACCTTCCTGTGATGGCATTCTCCAATTTCTAAGTGCCGTGTTTCCATATATCTTTAAGTTTGATATCCATATTTTACCAATATTTGTTTTTATAGCTTGTGATAGCATTACATCAAAGAAAGTATTGCCAACTTCAGGGTCATAAAGCTTTTCCTGAATTTTATTCTTCTGAATATGGACACCTAGTTTCTTCATCACTGTTTGCAGAAGAAACTTTCCTTTCTCCATTAAGAATCCAGGAGTGGTAGTTCACACTTTTATCCTAGCACTGGGGAACCTGAGACAGGAGAATTTGCAGCAAGTACAAAGCTAGCCTGGGCTGTGCAGTGTTTGTGATAATAAAAGTTAACAGCAAACTAATTTAGATTATGTATAGAGATGACAGGCAAAAACTGTGGCTGTCAACAGTGATGGAGAGATGGTTCAGTACGTAAGAGTACTTGCTGCTCTTGCAGAGGATCTGGGTTCAGTTGCCAGCACCCACACGGAGGCTCACAACCATCTGTAACTCTAGTTCAGATGATCCAACACTGTATTCTGGCCTCTGTGAGCACTGAACACACATGGTGCACAAACATACAAGTACACAAAACATAAATATACACATGCAAGCGTGACCATCTGAGTTCAATCCCAGGACTCAAGGTGGAAAGGCGAGAAACTGGATTTCTCATTATGGCTCAATGGCTGGGACACACTAATCTTCCAGGGTGGAAAGTTGTCCTTAGCATTCACAGTGGGCAGCTCACAACTGCCTGTGACTTCAGTTCCAGACCCAGTGTCTAGGCTCTGAGGGTACTGCACACATGTGGTACACATAAGCAACTGTGATGCCACAAACAATTAGAGACTAACTGTTAATGGCACCTCACTCCTAATGGCCAGTTTCAAAGACAAGTGGCCTTATTCAATTGACTATCTCAACATAGTGAGTTGCCTTCCTGAACTCTACTAAAGTATTAACTCCATACAAATGGCCCAGAGACAAGGCCAGATAACTTAATTGCTATATGAAATGAGACATTCCCTCTCAAGGGTATAATATTTTCTTATTGAGAATTAGCTTGATGTCCTTCTGGTCATACTTCTGGTAAATAATTTTATTCATATGCTTTAAACATTCCCTCTCAAGGGTATAATACTTTCTTATTGAGAATTAGCTTGATATTCATCTGGTCATACTTCTGGTAAATAATTTAATTCATATGCTTTGGGCTCATGGTACTCCTGCTGACAGAAGTATGGTAAGGGTTCAGTGACTTTTATAAGAACTTTGGGAGCGGACTAGGGAGATGACCCTGTTAGAAAATGCTAGATGGCAAGCCTGAGAAACTAATTGGATCCTGTGCACCCATGTAAGGAACTGGGCATCTGTAATCACAGTAATGAGAAGGTGGACACAGGAGGCTCTCTGGAGCTCACCGGCTAGTCAGCCTGGTCAAACTGCTGCGCTCCAATCACAGGGAGAGATCTTGTGGATGGCCTGCCAGCCTAGCCACACCGTTGAGTTCCAGACACACTGAGAGATCCTGTCAAAGGCAAACCAGCATAGCCAAACTATTGTGCTCTAGGCACAGGGAGAAATCCTGTCTCAACAATAAGATGGAGAACGACTGAAGGAAACATTCAATGTCAATCTCTGACCTCCACATGCACGTGTGCACATAGGTGCACAACCACACACACTCACACACACAGCATGCAACACAGAAATACACAGAATACTGAGAGACAGAAAGAGAAGAAAGGGGAAAGAGATTTATATAATAAGGCTGAGAAAATATTCTTACCTAGCGGGAATAACTATTACAGATTTTATTTTTATCTTTTATATTTTCAAATATATTTTCTGAGTTTTAAAGAAGAGTCAGAGTCTGGCTGGCCTTGAACTCCTGGGTTCATGTGATCCCTTTTCGGTCCTGAAATGCTGACACAGACACACTACCACACGCAGCTCTTAGCCACACCACCTTTAAAACCACCTCAGTACTTCTCAGATGGAGACAACTAAACTTTAAATATTGCAGATAACCAGATCATCACTAACTGTGGAAATGCTTTCGAAAACTTTTTTCAAAAAAAAACTACGAATTCCAAGTGGCACTTTTGAGACCTGATTTTCTTGCTATGTGTTTTCTACCCAGTTCTCCTGTGGCTGTGTCATCTTCGTCATTTCCCACAACTCCATAGATGTCTTCGGGAAGGCAGCTACTGTGCTCACATACCTTCACAGTGAGCACGGCCAGTGTTAGAATGGTGCCTTCCGGCCTTTTCACTTTGCCACTATGGACCTTCCCAGCCTCTCCCTGCAGGTCATTTTGCTCACTGGGCAGCAGCTGTGGAGCTGGAGACCCAGAGCTTTCTCCACCTGACCCCACGTTTTGCCATTTCCCCAAGCTCCAAGAAAACGGAGTGGTCACCCTTTGGCCAGGTCTTGTCTAGAGTAACGTGATGTTCCAAAATCGTGACCACAGGCACAGACATTACTATGCCTCTTCATGTTGTAGAGTGCCCTCTGGGAATGTCAGGAAGGAGCTTCTGAGAGTCTGAGATGAGCAGCACATGGTGACCTCAGACAGTGGTACACTGTAGGAAGCAGAAGCTGGGGTGGAGGGGCTTCCGCTGTGATAGATAGACTGGCTTCATAGTACCTATCAACTGCATTTGCGGGCAACCATCATGAGCTTCCCTGGCTGTCTTTTCCAAAAAAGAAAACTGTTAATGTCTGCTGACCCAACCCTGGAAAATGGAGCATTCAGTTCATACAAAGACTCATCTGCCATTTCATCCATCCAGAGGCAGTGGGGAAGATGCCAACCTTTTTTGCATATTGCTTGTACTGGCAAAGCTGAATGCTAGGTGCCAGCTGGGTTCCCATCTGTCTCCTCAGGAATGTTTTGAGCATACTGCCTCTCCAGGGCCTATAATCAACTGTCAATTCCAGCGTATTCTTTCTGAACTTAACACAATTGGCCACACTCTCCTTGTGTGTGTGGCTCCAACACTTACTATATCCAGGTTCCCTTGGTGGCTCTAGCTCTTCTCAGCAGTGGTATAACACGGGCTCTCCTAGCACCAAGGACAGCATGGACTCCAGTGACAGGAGGCTGTTCCCACATCACTGAGGCCAGGGCTCTTTGTGAGGCCAGCTCTTACTTGCAAAGTGTCTGTAGTGCTGCCAAGACCAAATGTCACCTTGCAAATCTGAACTGGTGTAATAAGGTTTTGTCTTAACACTACCAAAAAAGGCATACTGTTTGTCCCAAATTTGTATATTTGAACTGTTTTAATATCAAGCAACCTGTTGTTAGGATAGCATGAAATGTATATTTCAAAAACACTTAGTCATTGTATTAGTAACATTGTATACTGACAAAATCCCAAACCACCAAAAACAGATAAATGGCAAGAATGCAGATAATCAAATTAATTGAAAAAGTTCAGTATTAAAATGAAGTCACTTTGTTAAGTACTATTTAAGGGCACTGGAGAATTCATTTTAAATTTTAGAATTAAATTTTAAATCCATTGAAGCATCTTACCTGGTCAAGATGAGCTTCCTATGTAGAATAAAGAGATATTAAAGTCTTGGTTAATAAATATAGGGGAATGCCAGACACCCAGCTTATAGAACTACAAAAAAGGATGTTAGTGAAACATTTTTTTATTTACCAGAGGAAAAGACTATGCTCAGGAATGTGTTGAATCCAGTGATGGCCACAATGTCATCCATACTGCTAGCAGCCACTAGCAAGGTTGGAATGCCTTTATCAATACCATATCCATTTTCTTGCAACAACAGCATGGAGGGAACGACAACAGCTGGAGAGACAGCGCCTAGAACAAAGCTGAAAGGCAGACTTTGAAAACCCATCCATTCTTTTAAGCAATTAATGTTTTGCCGTCAGTTTTCACGTGGCATCATTCCACTTTTGAGTAAGGCACTATGCATGTCGTTTAGCGCTGAATAAAAGTTCATAGAGATGTGTCTTAAGAAACTGAACTGAGCACGAATGCATGTCTCCCCTCTATCTGTGCATCACTTAAAATGAACATATCAATACAAAAAGAAAATTCATAATGCACGTAGCAGACAACAGGAGAATCCCCAATGGGTAAGAAACCGGAGTATTCTAGCCAGAGGCAGATGAGGATTTCAGAAAGAAAACACAAGCCTGATGGTCCAGCATTATTGCAGAGGATACTCTACACTTTTAAAGGCATCCTAACCACACATAGTAGATACTCTAAACTTTTCCATAGCAGCTGCACTATTTCATAATCCCACTGGCAGAACACAACAGACCCAGACTCTCCACATTCTTGTCAATATCACACACATATACCGGTTAGCCTAATGTATGCACAATGATATATTTTTTACTTCCATTTTTTAATACTTATAGATGACAAGATTTTCAGATGTTTGTTGGCCATTTGTATATTTTCTGTGGATAAATGCCTTTTACACACATACATCTTTAAAACAAACAAAATCCTCTTGAAATACACAACTTATACATATATGTATATATATATTTCATTTTCTGTAGAACAGCAACAAGTAGCTAGAAGTTAAAATAAAAAATTTTACAGAAGTTTTAAAACAAAAATACTTAGGAATCAACTTTAAAAGCATGTATGATATCTATAATAAACATCTGAAAACTATAAAACATTGTTTGAAAAATTAAGTAAGACTCATTTGGGCAGTGGTGGTGCATGCCTTTGATCTCAGCACTCGGGAGGCAGCACTCTGAGTTCGAGGCCAGCCTGGTCTACAAAGTGAGTTCTAGGACAGACTCCAAAGCTACAGAGAAACACTGTCTCAAAAAACAAAAAAGAAAAAGAAAAAAAAGAAAAAAAAGTAAGATTCAATTAAATATATGTTAAATCACAGTCACTTCTTTTGATATGACAATATCACTTGGTGAAACCGTTATGTGTCTCTTAAAGGAATTAGACTTGAATTATATATTTGGAAGTCAATAGCTTATAGATAGAATTTGAAATCATTAGACATTACAGAAGAATGAGAATAAGAAAAAAGAGAACTAATACTGGTCCTATGTTAAATAATTCCTTTATTTAAATGCTAGAAGGAAAAGATATCTGTTAGGGCAAAACAGGAAGAAAAGTTTGCAAGTTAGCAACTCTTATGAACTGAACTCTTTCTCCATCCTCATAAATTCGCATGTGAAATTAACCGTCAATGAAGCTGGATTCAGACAAAGGTTTTGAAAACCTATTTAAAGTTAAATAAGGGTGGAGCCAAATCAGTGAGGACCAGTGTCTCTTAAGAACATAGGATCCCAAGGATGCCTATGAAGAGACACCAGGTCATACAAAGATTCAGGAAGGAGGAGATAATCTGGAAGCCAGGTAGAGGCCTCAAGAGAAACCAACATTTTCTTCTTGGCTTTCTAACCTTCAGAACTTCAAGAAATGAACGCCTGCTGTTTTAGTCACTAATTATTTAACTAGTTAATAAGGGAATTAGAAAGCAAGTCACATGTTAGGAGGAAAGGTTCATAATGTATATACTAGATGAAAGACTTTGGTCTAGAATATAAATGTAGGGGGCTGGAGAGATGGCTCAGTGGTTAAGAGCACTGGCTGCTTTTCCAGAGGCTCTGGGTTTGATTCCTAGAACCAACATGGCAGCTCACAATCATCTGTACTTCCAGTTCCAGAGGATCAGACACCTTCATCTCATGGGGTATGGCAGGTATGTAAGGCCCAGATACATGCAGACAGAAGATCTACTCACATAGAAAAGATTATACATAATTTAAAATTCAGTAAGAAATCAAGGAACTTAATTTTTAAAACTGTCAAAAGATTTGAACTGGCATTTTACTGAAGAAGGTATATGAATAGTTCCAGTGTATAAAACAATGCTCAGTGCCAGTGGTTATCAAAGAAATAGAAGTTCAAGGCAGAGGACCACTTCCAGTCTCTAGAAAATGTGGCATGCAAGTAAGCAGTGTCAGTGTAGAGGCCGTGATGCCATGTGATCTTCCAGACCAAAGGTATAATCAAAAGGCATTTTACATGGATATGAGAGAACAAAAATAAGTATGGGGTGTAGCTTAGTGACTGAATATTTGCCTCATATACCTGAGACAGTGGGTTTGATTTCCAACAGAGATATATGTGAGCATGTGTGTGTGTATGCATGTACATATGTATTGGGGTATTTCTATTTGACAGTGAGGATGCAATGCGAAAGCTTTTTTTTTTTTTTTACAGATAGGACTAGAATGTGTAAGCAGAGCAAGAGTTAATGAAAAGTCAGGAGCTACAGACAGTAACTTCAGTCTTGAGGGAATTTTTTTTTTTTTTTTTTTTGGTTTTTCGAGACAGGGTTTCTCTGTGGCTTTGGAGCCTGTCCTGGAACTAGCTCTCTAGACCAGGTTGGTCTCGAACTCACAGAGATCCGCCTACCTCTGCCTCCCGAGTGCTGGGATTAAAGGCGTGCGCCACCACCGCCCGGCTCTTGAGGAATTTTTGACATGAGGGACTAGATAACAGAGAAGAGAAATGTGGCCCTACATGAAGAGAAAAAGTTTTGTGTTTTTATCACTTTGAGAATAGAAGTAATTTTATTTATTTGTCCATTAATAAAATCTCATATATATGTAATACAATACTGTATGGAAAAGCAGTCATTTGACATACTGAAAGTCACAGGCACACAACACAAGAGAGGGGATAAGCTGAGGGACTGGACTATGTGTCACTCAACACTGAGGAACATTACTGTTTGTGAAACTGACAGCAAAATCTTTCTCAGAGTTTGGATCTTGCTATGAACCTCTGACTGGCCTTCATCTAACTATGAAGCTGCCTCAGCCTCCCTAGTGGGATTCCAGGTGTGTGTCACCATGCCCAGCTGGATCTGGTAGAAGTGGAACATGACTCTATCTTCCATCAATTGATTTTCAAGGATCCTAGTCCACCCCTGGTAAAATGATTTTAATGGAGAACTTGGCTATACAATATTCAGAGTATCCAAAGCGTCAACAAAACACACTTAACTGTGTAATTTCATGTTACGAGGGAAGGGAGAAAAATATTACCCTAATAGGAACCCCCATTGCCAAGGAAACGCCATAAGGAAGTGGGAGAAAAAAGCAGCTGAACATGCTTCTATGAGACACGGACCAAATGACAACCTCAAACAAACTGTCTTCAGATGCTTCAAAGCCTGGAATAAAAAAGGTTGCATTTAGACAAATTTACAAAGGCCAACAAAAAAATAATCAACTAAGCGAACATTGTAACACAGCATTTCTTTGAAGGCTGGCAACTTCACACTTGCTAATGTGCTCTTACAGAGACTCCCAAGACTGACTTCTCCCTGATTAGTTCCACCTTCTTTAATATTCCCACTGCACACTACAGTGATTTTACCCATTGAAGTCCCCCCACCTGTTAGTGGTGAATTATTTTTTTAATATTTATTTATTATGTATATAATATTCTGTCTGCATATATACCTGCAGGCCAGAAGAGGCCACCATACCCCATTACAGATGGTTGTGAGCCACCATGTAGTTGCTGGGAATTGAACTCAGGACCTTTGGGAGAGCAGGCAATGCTCTTAATCTCTGAGCCATCTCTCCAGCCCCAGTGGTGAACTATTTAATTTAATAGTAATAATAAAAAATACTAGCCGGGCGGTGGTGGCGCACGCCTTTAATCCCAGTACTTGGGAGGCAGAGGCAGGTGGATCTCTGTGAGTTCGAGACCAGCCTGGTCTACAAGAGCTAGTTCCAGGACAGGCTCCAAAGCCACAGAGAAACCCTGTCTCAAAAAAACAAACAAACAAACAAACAAACAAAAATAAATAAATAAAAAATACTAACATGTCACAGTAAAAAAATTAATCTATTTGTTTGAAAAATAAATACTTTCCTATGTTGTTAATGTTTCAATGATGTCACAAGTGATAATTATTTACTCTTGGTGCCAATTTCAATAAATCTATACATGCTTTACACACTTGGTTCTGTAGCTATCATATCCATGACTAGTCCCCTTTCAATAATTCAAACGGATTTTTGATCTCCAGGTTATACTGTTTCAAAAAATATTTTAAGACAGCTTTTCCAATAATGCAAAGTTAATCAGGAACGTACTTCTAGTTAGTGATAAGACAAATTATTGAAATTTTAATCTCTCTTTTAAAACAGAGAGACAAGGAAGCTTTTATAGGATTACCTTGTCCTTTCTTAACTGCAAGCAAACAGTCCCCACGGAAAAGTTTCTCAGTGAATAGTGGTCCTGCCTAAGGTGCATCTATTTCCAAGCATGTTACTGAGTTTCATCACTAATAGAGATCTTATATCATAGTGATTTTTCTCTTCATATAAATAATGATGGCTGGAAATAGAAATTATGAAACCAGTATTTTGGTTAAGTCTTTGATTATTACCTTAGGTTTACATGCAGACTCAGACAGCTATAACAAAAATTCTAGTTCTTTTTATTTCTGTTATTTTCTTTTTTAAAAAATGGTTATTATTTTATGATTTATTTATTTTTACTTTATGTGCATTGGTATTTTGTCTGCATGTATGCCATCCAAGGGAGTTAGATCCCTGGAGGTAGAGTTACAGGCAATTGTAAGCTGCCATGTGGGTGCTGGGAATTGAACCCAGGTCCTCTGGAAGAACAGCCAGTGCTCTTAACCACTGAGCCATCTCTCCAGCCCTTTCTGTTATTTTCTAATATGTAAAAAAGTTTTACTCAAAATTGAACAGGAAACTTACTTCTGGGTCCAGTCCAAGCCCAGCTCGTATTAGGATAATAGTAAGGGCAGTATTTCTTAAAACTGAAGACCATGTGGTAGGAATATGGACAAACTCATAAAGAAACGGGACATTCCTGATGGTGAAACCAGCCAGTAACATCCCTAAGAGGGGAGGGGAGAAAAAGAAAGTAGAAAACAAAGTATATCTGATTAAGTTAATGTTTCCAAGAGAGATCCACAGGGGTAGGTTGCATCCAAGCAGAGGAAGTGGGATGGGTACAGGAATGTAAACCACAGTAAACAATTCAGTGATGCTGGGACATGAGGCAGCAAGGATGCATGGGCAGACAACAGGCAGAAGCCAGTTTATGGGAGGAGTCTTCTCTTTGGCAGAGTCAGGGGCTATGGGAAGCTTTCATAGAGAAATTCATGTAAGAATTTTGTAGTTTTATGTGTTGGTCTTGGTGAATTCGTGATAAAACAGGTCACAGAGATCAGTAAGAAGGACATGTCATTGTTCATAGAGAAGTAGGAACAGCCCCAGATGAAGTTGTGGAGGAGGGGGTAAAGATTCAGTGAGTATTAAGAGAGGTTTGGGTACAAGGGTATCATGCATGTTAAATAATACTGAGATAATCTTTGCAGATGGCACTTTGACTATTTAAATGTATTGGTTACTTAGACATCTGACCTCACAAAAAAATTTCCCACTAATTTTTCTGTCCACGTGGAGAGTCACAGAACAAAAGGATAAACAATAGATAACACAGGAGTGGCAGATGGGTGGACACAATGCAGATGCCCACGCGGCGTATTCAACTATCAGAGGATATTAGTGCCCCATTCATCATAATCGCCATAACATGTGCAACGCATTAGCTACATGACATGTACAAAACTTCAGCCTTTTCAAAGTTTTCTTTCTTCTAGAATGCATTTTACATTTTGTTTTCACATCTAGAATGCATTTTAAACTAAGCTTAAAACTTACTAAATAATAAAACAACACAAATCATATAGAGGACTTTCAAATTATTTTCAAAAATAGACTATAAAAAATCTGTGTGTGGAGAATAAACCTATATGAAAAAGTTACATAAACACATACAGTAAATACACATAATTAGACGCTATATACACATTATAAAATAAAACAATGTATCCAGTCCAAGTAGAAATGTTCAAAACTTACAGTCAACAAAGAATACAGCTGATTATATACTTACCAATAAGAGGTGGAAGGGGGGGCACTATAGGTATTCTAATGACTTCTAAGATTTTCCCCCCAAGAAAGGCACTGTAAAAAATAACTAATAGTCCAAATAAATTTCCACCAGGGAGAACATCTTGACCAATAAGGGACCAGAGTAGAATCCATAATATAATGAACATAACTCCTGAAATATAAAAAATTTACATCTATATAAATACATGTGACCAAAATGAATTTTATCAAATATATTAGTATGCAGACTTATATAGCTGTGCACAGTGTAGATTAATATTGAATACTGTTATAGTTAGTTATTAAGATACATTTCAGAATCCCTATCGGTTTATAGGACAAGTCTTAAGCAAATGATTTTTTTAAAAAGCATTTTAAGGGGGCCAGGTAAAAGTGCTTGCCATAAAATCCAATACTCTGAGGTCATTCCCTGGATTGACTGAAGGGGACAATCAGAACCTTCCCCACAAGACTGTTCCCTGACTCAATACATGTGCCATGGCACCCCTGTCTTCTCATTGCACACATATATATACACACATACATGCACACACACACATACAGAGAGAGAGCCCTGTGAATTGTTTTCCTTTGTCCCACTGGGAATTCAACCTGGGGTGTCTCCACACGCGAGTCAAGTACCCTACCACTGATATCCCGGGATTCTGTGAGGCACAAAGGTTTCTTGTAGTATATTAGTATTTTTCTTTTCTTTCTTGTTTTAAGGTAGGATCTGGTTTTGTCATCTAGCCTGGCTTCCAAGTGTCCTCTTGCCTCTACCCCTAATAGCTAGCACTATGGCCCACAACACAATGCCACAGTATGAAAACAATGTCATGACAATGACGAGACGTTCTTGAGGTTGAAAACAGCTTTTCCAGGAGGAATACAAGCCTGACTGGCTGTGACACAAACCTCAACTTAATTCATGATCACAATGGCAGAGCAAATGTTTAAACAACGAGTACTAAAAAATTACCCAGGTAAGATTTTTATAAGTCTTAGAAGGGGCAAAGCCTGAGGGAAAATGAACCTGGACATTGTGGGAATAGTTACAAGGTACCTTGTGTGTAGGAAGCATTGGTGGACAAGGTGAGTAAACAAAGGTGGTACTGAGCTACTGAGATGGCTCCGCAGGTAAGAGCATCTACCACACAACTCTGATAACCTAGCCCTGATCTTTAGCATCCAAGGAAAAGTTTCATGCTGTGGCTCACAACTAATCCCGACACTAGCACCTCCATGGTATGGTGGTTTGAATAGGAATGGCCCCCAATAACTGATGTGTTTGAATGCTTGACCCATAGGGAGTGGCACTATTAGGAAGTCTGACCTTGTTGCAGGAAGTATGTCACTTTGGGGGTGGACTTTGAGGTCTCATATGTTCAAGCTATGCCTGGTATGACAGTCTCCTTCTCCTGCTTGTGATTCAAGATGTAGTACCCTCAGCTTCTTCTCTAGCACCATGTCTGCCTGTAAACCTCTATGTCCCACCATGATGATAATGGACTAAACCTCTGAACTGTAAGCTAGCCCCAATCATATGTTTTCCTTTATAAAAGGTGTTGTGGTCATGGTGTCTCTTCACAGCAACAGAAATTCTAATATAGAAGTTGGTGCCAGGACTGGGATATTACTGCAACAGTCCTACCTACGCTTATGTTTGGAGGAGTGTAGACTTTGAGATTTTGGGTTAGGAAAGCAGTGGAATGTTCTAAGCATTAATGGGTCGTCCTAGTAGGAACATGGAAGGCAGTAGTTCTGGGGGTGATTTCAACTGTAGGGGCACAGGTAAGGAGGTTTCAAAGGAGAACATTAACATGTGATGTTTTGGCATAGAATGTGGCTACTTTTTGTCCTTGTCTGAAAAGTCTAAGGCTAAAGTGAAGAGTTTTGAATTAATTCCAATGGTACTGGAAATCTCAAAACAGCCTAGCATCAACTCTGTTGTATGGTTATTAGTGGTCACTCTTATACAAATCACACCTTTAATCCCAGCACTTAGGAGGCAGAGGCAGGCAGATCTCTGTAAGTTTGAGGCCAGCCTGGTCTACAGAGGGAGTTCCAGACCAGGCTCCAAAGCTACAGGGAAACCCTGTCTCAAAAAAAAAAAAAAAAAAAAAAGCCCCCAAACCCAAAACCAAACAAAACCAAAACCAACCAACCAAACCAAAAAAAAAAAAAAAAAAAAGAAGAAGAATAAAAAAAAGAAAGAAAGAAACTAGCTGAGCAGAGAAAGTTACATAATGTACAATTTGAGAGAAAATGGGTACCAGAAAGTGGAATGGGCTAAGTCCTGTGTTCGAGGAGATAGAAAGATTCAAGAAAAGCCTGATATTAAAAGGAATAAAGAGAGTGGTGACCTCAGACAATACCCCCTCCCCCCCAGCTAAGCTTCCAACTTGTGAAAAGTAACTAAAAAATAGCTTAGGTCCAAGCATGGAGGCCCACACCTTTAGTCCCAGCATTGAGGAAACAGAGACAGGCACATCTATGAGTTCAAGGCCAGGACAGCCAAGTTTAGGCAATGAAGGAAATCATGGACAACTGAGAGCTGATTTAAGATGTAACTGAATGAAGGGATCATGTTCCAGCCCTAGCCAGCAGTAGAACTTGGCAGCTTCAGCCATGTGATTTTGACATCAGAGTCAAGGATAGAAGAAAAGGGTAATGGAATCACCCTCCATGACTAAAGAAAGCTGCTGAGGCCAGGCATGTGTCCCTGCATGGAGGCCTATAGAGGCCATTGTGTGAAGCTGTGAAGGTGAAGTCTGGATTGTCTTGGAGACCTCAAAGTACTAGAGATGCCAGGGCCATGGAATACCTGCCACAGAAAGCTGCTAACAGGGAGCAGAACCAGCCCAAGAGGGAAAAGTGTGCTGTAGTCAACAAAACTGAAAGAAGTTGGAGATCTGAAATAAGAAGACATATTTTCTCAAAAACAAGGCAGGAGGAGAAAATGAACTCACCTCAAAGTGTGCCCTCACCTGAATAAAATGCCCCTCCAAATTGCTAGAAGTCTACTAAGTTTTACAACAAGCACATACACAGTGAACCCACGAGAGAACAATCAACAGTGACAGAAGACACTCACAGAAGACATTAGATACTAGGAGCCATAGGATAGAAGGATCTCACCATTCAAGAAGAGGTAGACTGAAAAAGAGAGGTCTTAGGTACTCCTGGCTCTTACCATGTTCCTTCTAGCAAGGCTATAATATATATATTATATATGCCCACATATTTTCCAATATTTAATCGTATTTCATAACATCTTATTAATTTCATATCCACTAAATAATAAGTACTTCTTTTTAAATAAATCTATTTGATATTCTGTCCAACATTAAGTATAAAATCTGAGTTTAATTGTGTAGAATATTCATAAAGAAATTAAAAAAACAGGGGGTTGGAGAGATGGCTCAACACTTAAGAGCACTGCCTGCTCCTCCAAAGGACTCAGGTTCAATTCCCAGTACCCACATGGTGACCCACAGCTGTCTGTAACTCCAATTCTAGGGGATCTGATACCATCATACAAACATACATGCAGGCAAGACACCAATGCACTAAAAATGAATAAAACTTTAAAAAGAAACAGGAAAAAACACTTCATGAATATTTGGCAACAATAAGATGCAAATTTTATATAAGATCACAGTTATTTTAAAATCTGGGGCCTAATGTTAAGAACCTTAGTATGGGCCAGGGATAATATTACTTCTAGTTAACTAAAACCATCAAAAGGAGTCTCCAACAAAAATCTTCAATTAACACAGCTTCTTTTTTTTTTTAAAAAATATTCATTTATTTATTTATTATGTATACAATATTCTGTCCGTGCGTATGTCTGCAGGCCAGAAGAGGGCACCAGACCTCATTACAGATGGTTGTGAGCCACCATGTGGTTGCTGGGAATTGAACTCAGGACCTTTGGAAGAGCAGGCAATGCTCTTAACCACTGAGCCATCTCTCCAGCCCCATTAACACAGCTTCTAACCTCCAAATTTAACATTAGAATACATAGAAAAGAATAAACTACAAATCAAGTAATACTTTGGTTTTAAAAGGATAAGGAAATATTTGTTCTGTCTACATACGGATCAGAACTGAGCTTGGGATCTGAGATATACATCTTACACAGTGGCCTTATGATCTGCATTTTATTAGGCACATGTATTTCTCATTTTCTCCCCATGTACATTTAATTCACATACCATCTGTAATTACTTTATTGAATATTCCTTGTGGAGGACAAAAACTATTTTTACTTCTGTTCACCTGTTGTTTCATTTCCTTCGTTTCCTCATGTGAAATATCAGAAGGATCACTGAGAATCTAAAGTAAAACAACAACTCTTTAACAACTGTACTCTCCATAATTTTATGAATGTAAGCAATCCCTACATTTCAAAACTAAATTCATGGGGAACACATATCACACTCTTCAGAAATAGGGGATGGAACAGCAGACTATTTTGAAAGAAACCATGACTCCTATGCTAATACGGTTGCCTCTCCACCGTCAGTATCACTATCTATATACTGAACAAGTGAGTCTCTAGTGCAGGCTCAACAACTGAACCTGTCCACCCTTTCTTTAGCTCCCACAGATTAATCCCCACAACTTTCCTGAAATGAAAATATAACTAAATTGCAAAGTTAATTATGAAAAATAAAATAATTTTAAAAATGAGAAAAATCAGAGGCCACATCCTCAGAAATTGAAGCTTGCTGCCACTAATATTTATACATACCATATTGTGATAATTTATGGTATTTGCCATAAATTATAAGCGTCTCATGATGTAAACAAACAGTTCCAACCACAAGCCCAGAGTTAACCTTGGAATAGTGACCTCTGTGTTTACGGTATCACTGTCATGATGGACAAGTGGCAAGTGGGTGTACATGCATGCCATCCGAGTGTGCTGCTCACACTGAGTGCACTTCTGCAGAAGTGTATAAAGCTAGGCTGAATAGATAACCGAGGCCCAGAGGGTTAGAATGAACAGCTATGATGGAGCCAACAGTGCACCTGGCTGCTAAGTATACATTCTGCAGTTCTTTGAGACAAAGTTCTCAGATCTAATGACCAATCTGTTGTATTTGAATATACAGGTGTTTTCTGGAGTCTACATCACTGTAAGGAACGCTGAAAACACAACAGCTGGCTTTTATTAGGGTTATGGAAAGTCACAAGTCACACACAGTAAATGAAAGCATCCTACATTTTAGAGTGTACAATAAATAGATAAAGTTATGAGAAGCAAGGTGGGATGTTTATAATATTACACTGTATTTTCTGGCTTAAGAATTGTTGGAATCTCTATTGAAAAATAGCAATTTATAATTCTAAATATAAACAATTATTTAGTAAAACTAGACTAACAAATGACTTAATGGCTTACGCTATATGCTTAGAAGACAGCCCCTAGCTTCTGGTTTCTTCAAAATACACAACCTTTGTTGATTTCAATTGCTGAAATTTTCTGCCACACAGAAGGAAATAAGCCATATTTGCCTTATTCCTAAAACCTACCCAATCTAGGTCTAAAAAACCACTGCAGTAATTCCTTTCACCTTTCTCGTCCTCTCTGCTCATTTTTTAGAACCCATTAAGATTTAAGCTACTTCAAAATTAAATTGTTTTCAGTTTTTATAAACATATCTAAGAGAAATCTATATAAAAGAACCAAACAGTGTTTTGCTCCGTAGCCTGGGATTTCTCAATGAACAGAAGACTCTGTTTCAGCAAGGGCAGTGGTCTGGCAGATGGGTTTCCAGGCTTCAGTTGTCTCTGCTCCCCGGTGCTGGGATTGTAAGTACATGCACCATGCTTGGCTTTCCATGTGGGGCTCAGATCCTCATGCTCTCCCAGTGAGCCGTCTCCCCAGAACTATACATAGATTTAGACATCCTATATTACAATAGAGATTTAAGTTTTCACCTGAGTAATTGTAGCTGACTGAGAAACTTCTGGTTGGGAATCATCATTCTTTATTTCTGATGCTGTGTTGCTCATGCTAATATTTAAAAAAAAATAATTTGAGAGAAAAGGCAAATCTATAAATCCACATGAAAACAAATTTGGTTAAGGAACATTAATACTTAAATACTAAAATTTTATCATAGTCTAGTCAGACATCTTTACAGAAAAAAAAAATCTAAATACTCACATAAGGCCAGTGAGATGTCTCAGCTGCCAAGTCTGACGACCTGAGTTCAATTCCTAGGCATCGCATGGTAGAAGGAAAGAACTTCCTATGTGTGCTCTCTCTCTCTTAAAACTTTAAATATTCTCTTAAAGTTATTAATTAAAGCCACAAACTCAAGCTTAAATTTTTTTTATTATGTTTATTTATCCATGTGTGTGTGGAGATCATTTGCTGAAGTCAGTTTTCTTCTGTGTGGATCCCAGGGGATGGGCTCAGGTCATTCTGTTTGATGAAAAATGCCTCTACTTGCTAACCCATTTCATTGGCTCAAAGTGCCCAAGTTGACATGGAGAAATATATTATTTCTCACCAATTTCTTAATAATGGGCAATATATTAAAAGCATGTGGGAGATAATCAGTTCTTTATTTCAATCACTAACTAGTCTGTTTCACACCTCTGTGAGACTTCAAGGAAATTAAAACATTGGTAGCCTTCAAAGTCCAGCTCTCAAGGCGACTCCCACGGTTCAAAGAAAAGCTCCACAGCATGGTGAAACTGAGCTTAAGGGTTTTGATCTGAGGGGTGTGGAATAAACCCACACACATGCTGTTCTGGCCATGCTCTTTATTGTTCTGTCTATTCTTCTGTCCTCTAATCCTCAGCTTCAATTCTCCCTTGCTTCTTTGTTCACCTACCTTAAATATATGTTTTTTCATGAGGCTTGAGGCAAGAAGACAAAAGGCGACAAGAGTTATACCTCACAGTCAAAGTGCATTCTTTTTGATAAGGGATAAGAGCAGAGTCATTTACCATGGTAATACATAGTCGGGGACACGGTGCTTGGCACCTTCCCAGGCAGTGGCAATGAAAATGTCTCAACCCTAAAAATGGATTCTCTTATCCTGTTTGCAACCCCAGAACATAAAAGGGGGTGGGGGGGGACCTTGTAACTTTTGGTTGTAAGGCCAGACTAACTTTTGTAGCCACACAGCCTAGGGAAATTGCTGGGAACTCTGCTTTGGGGGCTGCATGAGCCACACAGTCATTAGCAAACTTGCTGCCATAGGATTCTTGACAATGAGGATACCTTAGGAACCTCCAACAAAGCTCCACTATTGCATCCACCTGGGATCAAAGCCAGTGTCACCTATACACATAAACAGTCTTCGGGGGGAAAGTCTCTCATTTCGAAAGTCACTCTAGGAAACTGTGAGAAGTAGCAGATTAATCATATATGCAAAAATCAGCATATAGATATATAAATCATGAAAAACTAGGGCAGCACACATCTCCAAAGGTAGTAAAAAGGCCAAAGTAAAGGAAGATGAGAGAGTGTCAAAAGACTTCAAAACAATTCCAGGAAAATTCAATACACAAAAGAATACATAGTGTCAATCCTAAAAAAAAAAAGAGAAGGGCTGGAGAGATGGCTCAGTGGTAAAGAGCATTGCCTGCTCTTCCAAAGGTCCTGAGTTCAATTCCCAGCAACCACATGGTGGCTCACAACCATCTGGAATGAGGTCTGGTGCCCTCTTCTGGCCTGTAGACATACACACAGACAGAATATTGTATACATAATAAATAAATAAATATTTTAAAAAAAAAAGAGAGAAAACAATTTATCACATGAAAAAGAAATTCAGTAAAGAGGGACCACAAAAAGTACCAAGTAATTAATCTTGGATCTGAAATACTCAATACATGAAATAAAAAAAAATGCAGTTAAGAAATTAATGTAGTTTTCCAAAGAAGAAACACAAAGGGCCAAAAATAATTTAAAAAAGTGTTCAACATCCCTAGCAATCAGGAAATGTAAATTAAAATGACTTTGAGATACCAACCCACCCCAGTCAGAATGGCTAGCATCAAGACATCTGATGACAACATTTGGAGAGGATATAAAGAGGAGCCCTAATTAGCCATTACGGTATAGATGAATGGACAGTGAGTTGTGATACACAGACCAAGAAGAATACCCTTTGTGTCCAAAACAAATGAAATCTACTGGAAAATGAATGGCCTTGGAAATTATAATATTAAACAAGGTCACCTCCCCAAAAAAAGAAAGAAGAGCCACATGGTCTCCCTATGCAGATTCTAGCCTTTAATATATACATGTACATATGCAAACATCTGTCAGCATGAATGTAGCATAACATTTAGAAAGGAAAGCAAGAAGGATGGAATATGGGAAAAGAAGCATGTGAGTCATGAGCGATGGAATATGGAAAAGAAAACATAAATCATCAGAGAGGACATAAGTTAATTGTTTTTCTAGTTTCAATTATGTCAAAACGTTCCTCCCCCTTTGTAGTAGATACATGAAGAAAAATGTCATTGATAGTAAAAGTGTAAAACGTCCAAAAAACTCCATGGCTTCAGAATGGCTGTTGTAACTGTTTACGAATAAATAAAATGTATAGAGTTTGGGACTAGGCATGTATTTGAGTGGCTACCTTAATATAGTTGTGTGAAACTTTCACTTCTGAGTTCATTACAATAAAAAGATTTTATTTTTTAAAAAAGATTTACAATAACAGATTAGGTGTTAAGTAGTAGAAAGGATTTATGAACCTGATGCGACTCTTGTGAGATCAATTAAATTAAAAAAAAAATCAGGGCATGGTGGGACACATCTCTAATTCCAGCAATTGGGAGGCAGAGGCCGGTGGATCTCTCTGTTTGAGGCCAGCCTAGACTACAGAGCAAGTTTCAGAACATCTAGAGCTACACAGAGAGACCCTTTCACAGAAAAACAAAACAAGACAAAAAAACAAAGTTAACAATGAAGTCAGCACCATCACCAAACAAATATTTGTATACTTAATTTATGGATGTTTCAGAAGAAGAGGGAAGGCACAGAAAAAGTATAAAATGAGATACAGAAACAAAACTTGAGAAAGATATTATGAGTGCTTGGACCAAAGAATTTCAAAGAATTCCAAACAGATTTGATCAAAAAGGTCCTTTTTGGGATAATTCAAAAAAAAGAAAAGACCAAGGACCAAGGACCAAGAAACCATTCTAAAAGTAGAAAATCAGTAGCACACATATGTTGTGGGACAATGCTCTTGTACAATGTAAGGATTTGCTACTTGTATTAGTTTAATAAAATGCTGACAGGCTTGTTGCCAGGCAGGAAGTATGGGCAGGGAGACCAGATAAAGAGAATTCCAGGAAGAGGAAAGGCAGTTACTGCCAAAAGAAGAAATATGAGAATGCTGCACCAAGAAAAGGACCAAGCCACGTGGGTAAATATAGGCAAGAATTATGGGTTAATTTAAGTTATAAGAGTTAGTTATAATAAGCCTGAGCTAATAGGACAAACAAGTTTATAATTAATATAAGTCTCTGTGTGTTTCTTTGGAACTAAATGGTTGCGGGACTGGATGGGACAGAAACTAGCATCTACACATATAAGGGAATCCCTTAGACACAAAGTAGATTTCTCAATAGAATTTTACAGGCCAAGAGAATAAGGTGACATATTCACATTGCTAAAAGAAAAAAAGTGCCAAGATGGGTGTGACAGACATCTACTGTTCCAGCACTTAGAAGGTTGAGACAGGAGGGTCACATGTTTGAGGAGAAGCCTGTACTATAACAAGACCTTGTTTCAAAAAGAGCAAATACTGCCAACTAAGAATAATTATAATCAGTCAGACCTCCAGAAGTTAAGTATTTCTACAACAAGCAAAAATTCAGGAAACTCATTACTGATGTGGGATTCCCCTCTGTATGCTGTGAATATGTTTTATTACCATTGGTTAATAAAGAACTATTTTGGCCTATGACAGGGCAGAATATAGCTAGGCGAAAAAACTAAACTGAATGCAGGGAGAAAGAAGGTAGAGTCAGGCAGATGACATATAGCTGCTGAAGGAGAAAGATGTCCTAAACTTAAAAAGTAAGCCACAGCCTTGTGGCAAAACACAGACTAATAGAAATGGGTTAATTTCTATTAGATGTGAGAACTAGCTAGAAATATGCGTGAGCTACCAGCCCAACAGTGTTGTAATTAATATAGTTTTTGTTTGATTATTCGGGACTGGGTAGCTGGGAAACAAAAAAGCAGTCTCCATTTACGCATTATCACAAAACAGGCATTACTTACACTCACTATATCCCAAGAGCTTAAGGGATCCTACATACAGAAATAAACAATAACATACCACAATTAAAACACATAAAAGTATAAAATGCACTAGTAAAGCAGATACACAAAAGAGAAAATTCCCAAATGTTATCAAAACAGAATACAACCAAAGATAGACAACAGGAGATAAAGATAAAGGATATATAAAACAACTAGAGAAAAAAATTAATGATAGAAGCAAGTCTTTACCTATTGATAATTAAATAGATTAAATTTCTAGGTTAAAAGTTTTGTGCTCACTAAATACACACACACACACACACACACACACACACACACACACACACAGCCAATGGCCCCAAAACATGCTGCTCACAAGAAACTCAAATCATTAGTGACGACACCAACCAGGACTGGAAGTGAAGGGATGGAAGAAAATATTTTATTCAAGTCGAAAACCAAGTGGAACAACTAATACCACATTATAGGCTTTAAGACAGAAATTGCAATGAGACGCAGAGGTGTAACCATGTAATGATTAAGAGCAGTAGTTAAAAAGAGGATGATGTTATTATTGTAAATATATATGCATAAGCCTCCAATACCAATTATATAATACTTCCAGTAAAAGCTGGGAGCTCAGTGTTCCACTTACATCAAAACAAACCTCAATTAAGAAACTTCAAATTAAACAAATATGGATCTGACAGACATTTTTAGAACCTTTCATCCAATGGATGAAGAATATTCATTATTCTCATCATGGAATATTCCCAAGGATAAGCCAGGCCATAAAATAAGCCTCAACAAGTTAAAAATGTAGAAACCACAGCATATGCCTTCTCCAAAGACAATGGCCTAAATCTAGAAAGCAACAAGAGGAGTTTTCTTCTTTTAAGATTTATTCTTATTATTTTAAGTTTTGTTATATGTATTTATAGCTTCACGTGGGTTTGTGCACGTGTGTGCATGTGCCAGCAGAGACCAGGGATGTTAAAAGTCCCTCTAGAGCTGGCATCATAGGTGCTCATGAGCTTTCTGACATCTATGACCTACGTGCCAAAAGCACACACTGGAGAGATGACAGTATCTACAACAAATGGTGCTGAGAAAACCAGATGGCCACATAGAAAAGAATGAAATTTGACCCGCATATATCATCCTGCACAAAAAGGAACTAACTGAACCAAGAACCTAACTAGGAAACTGTCAGAAGCAAGCACGGGCAATTTCCTACAGGATATGGGTGTAGGAAAGGACTTTCTGAACAGGGTCCCAGAGGTCCAGGAACTAAAGTCAACAACTGACCAGTGGGACCTCATAAAACTAAAAAGCTTCTGCATGGTCAAAGAAACAGTTTCATGAAGAGGAAGCCTACGGAATGGGAGATGTACCTATATATCTGACAGAGGGTTAATATCCTGAATATATAAAGAATTCAGGAAACAAAGAAAAAATGACTCATTCAAAAATGGGTTTAGGATCTGAACAGAGAGTTGTCAAAAGAAAAAGAAAGTGAATGAAGGTTCCCACTCCTCACATCTTCTCTAGCATTTATTGTTGTTTTGCTGATCTTTGCCAATCTGATTGGGGCATGATGAAATCTCAGTTGTTTTGCTTTTTTACTTCCCTAATTACTAGGTATGGTGAACATTTCTTGAGATTATTTCTTAGCTCCTTCTCAGGCAGGAAGTTTTCAGGTCAGATACAGGTCAGGTCATCAAGGCACTGTGCCTAAAGTGTCTTCAGCAATGGGGATTTAACTTCCACCTCTGGGATGCAACCAAAGGCAAGAGCAATAGACTTCCAAATGTTTTGGAAGTCTCTTGGACAACCCTGACCAACAACTTAATGGGGGGCAGCTCCTCATGCCTGGTGTTGGGGGTTTTGTTAGATAGTCTATAAGCATTGTCATCCCAGATGGGAAATTTTCATTTAAACTCTAAATGTATAAGTGTACATATACCTATATATATATATATACTAAATGTAATTTTAGACAGACAGGTAGATAGGTAGGTAGGTAGGTAGACGTGATGCCTTATGACCTTTCCCCGTAACTACTAGGGATGAAGAACATTTTTTGAGATCCAGGGATTTGACCTCAGGTCATAATGCTTACACTGAAAATGTTCTTACTCACCGAGGCATCTCCCCGGCTGCAACCTTTTAGTTTTTGAGCCATGGTCTCTCACTGAACCTGAGGCTAGACTGGCTGGCCATCTGTCTTTACCCCTCCAGCTAGGGTTATAGATGCACACTGGCATCTGTAGGGGATATGGATCCAAGTCCTGGTTCTTTTGTTTGCACAACAGGCATTTTTAAGACTAAGCTATCTCCCCAGCTTCTGTATGTACCTTTTATAGGCATGATAATGAACATGGAGAATGAACACCCACATGCAACAGTAAGGACTTTTTTTGGTATTATTCCACAATTATTTGATTCATTGAATTCAATTTATCCCTGCAGAAAACCAGAAGTATGAAAGATGGCCTCTGTAGGTGCCAACTGCATTTCTCCATCAACTAATTTGATCATTCATGGGGTTTGAGTACTGTGTGAAAAAGTATGCATATGACTGGGCTCTGTTTCTAGCTATCAAATATGCAAAAAAAAAAAAACCAACCTTAAAGGCAACCACTAAGCATTCTTTTGATGATATCAAAATTGCTCAACCTACCTGATCTTTCAGGAGTTTGTTTGCAATCTTAAGATACCTTGTGTTCCGGCAGAGAATCTTACAACCTAGGTAACAAGCTTTTAAGGCATCTTAACAGGGTGATATTCCAAAAACAGCGCCACCACCTGCACATGCGACGACAGTCCTTAATCCTTCAAAAGCATTGATGTTAATTGCTCGGCTGTGATGACGTCCAAGAGAAATCCTGGTCGGGGGAGTGGGGAAAGGAACGAAGGCCTTCTGGAAATCAGAAGCCAATCCTGGGACACATCTGCAACTAGAGGTGCACGTGACGCTTTATCGCCCCAGATTCGCCATTTTGTATAAACAGCGGCTGCCCAGTGGATTAATTTTGCTGTCAGTCTTGATGGAAAGATCTCTTCTTTCTTACTTGCAAGGGCTGTTGAGAGACAGAAAAATCAGAGACACGCGTTTAGAGAGGAAAGAAATGAGTCAGGAAGAAGACGGAAGAGGGCTTCCAGTGTGATGGAGCCATGTGAGGAGGGACGCGACGGGAAGGGAAGGGACGAGGCCTTCCTTAGCTAACGAACGGGAGGCCACAGCAGGAGCACTACCGGGGGCCTGGAGCAGAAGGATGGAGAAAACTGGGCGAACCTACAATCCCTTTAGCAAGTCTCACCGGCCCAGTGACCCAGCAACCGTCGTCCAGAAGCCTCGCGCAGGGCAGGGCGTCAGGACAGCCAGGGACCCAACCTCCAGGACGGAAACTGGGCTGGGATTTCCCGGAAGCAGTAGGGCGGGGCCCGGGGGCAGGGTCCTTAAAGGACTTCCTGGTCAAGAACGTTGCGCTGAAATCCTTAAATCACTTAGTTTTTGTTTTTAATATTTCTTTTTCATTTTGTTTTGTTCTTTGATTTTTTTTTTCTTTTGGAATGGGTCTCACTGACATCCTGCTTCAGTCTCCCAAGTGCTGGGGTTATAAGCGGCTTTACTAGGTTTTCTGGCTTCAAACCCAACTCTAGATCCCGTGATATAACCGGAACTGTTTTCGGTTTTCGTTTCTTTACCTTTCTTGTTAGTCGAATTACATAGAAATTATCAGAAAGGGGAAAAAAAAAATCACCCCTATCAATACTCAGCTTCCACCACCTTGGCCATCCCTGAAAAGCAGGTGAAACATGGTTAAAACGAAACATTTGAGAACTTCGTGTTACTGTGATTGCTCCAAACATGACAATCAAAACTTAACATGCTATACAATATATGTTGTATGTAAGAATTTACAGTTTTTTTTAAAATCCCTATTCTCCCATGATCATGGATGTCAAAGTGTATATTTGAAGTTAGAAAGGTACTGTAAATAAAAAGGTAAAATGAAATGTCTATCTTGTAAACAAAAAAAAAACCCACTTAAAGTTATGAGACTACCAACCATGTTCATGTTGCTTCCTGTTCATGCTCGCTGGGTTTTGAATTTACAATAATACATTCCTAGTATGAAGGCAGATTTGCAAAGAAAAGATTTAAAGTGCAAAAATGACGTTTAGGGTCCATAAAACAGAATATCAGATTCTATAATTCTTTCTCATAGCGATGCTATTAAGACTCTACTCAGGACCCATTTTCTCTCCCCTGGAAATAATTTGAATGGCCTTGATCACCCGGTTTGCAAATTCTCCGAAGAGATTTATAAATTGAAATTTGGAGCCGGCAGTAGTAACACACTCCTTTAATCCCAGCACTCGGGAGGCAGAGGTAGGCAGATCTCTGTGAGTCTGAGGCCAGCCTGGTTTACAGAGTGAATTCTGGGATAGCCAGGGCTACACTATGAATCCTATCTTTAAAAAAAATTGGGCAAAAAGAGTGTGATGATAAAGGCCAGCCAAGAGCAGCATGAGTGACAGGTGACAAGGAGAGGTGGGAAAGAGTGGTCTGGAATAGAAAGTGCTGGGGTTGAGCTTTTCATAGGGGATGTTTGTAGCTTTGGCATCCCAAGTAGCCCCATCCTCATTTTTTCTGGGATTCACACATCCTTTCTTATCCACATATGGCTGTCCTCCGCTCTCAGCTCCTATACTCTAACAGTGCTCCAGGGTTGAGAAGCTCTCCCATGTTCATGGATTAGAAGAATTCGCCTTGTGAAAATGTCTACATTGCCAAAAGCAAAATTACAGACTCAATGCAGCCCCATTAATAGCCCCAAGCTATTCTTCAGAGAAGGAGAAAATAATGTAAAATTCAATCATAAGAGGCTGTGGAGAGCTAAAGCAACCTGATCAAAGAGAACAATGATAGAGATATGACCATACATGATTTCAAGTTTCACTAGACAGCCACGGTAAGAAAAACAGCACAGTACCAGCACTAACAGAAATATCCAATAGAATATAATACCCATCTAGTTACTGCCACCTTATTTTTGACAGTGAATCTAAAAATACACACCGCAAAAAAAAAAAAAAAGACAACTTCTTCAACAAACGGTGCTGGGGAAACTGGATATTCGCAAATGGAAGAAGATAGATCCTATCTCTCACCATGCATAGTACCTTTGACCATAATGAAATGAAAGAAAGTGTTTAAACGTAGTTTAAATCTTGTCTCAGAGAAACAAAACTGGGGGAAAACTGACTTAGGAGAGCTTTTCATATAAGCTTCTCATAGCTCAACTAAGATGATGAAATCATTGTCTTTAGTTTATCTACGCCCCTGTCTTTTGTTTGCATGTGATACTTAGTGAGGTTGAATGTCCATGAAACAGCAGGCAGAAGACGGTAGGACAACATGCCAGGAACCCAAGGCCCTGGACCTTCCAGTCATCCTTACCCTGAATCCAGACTGTTTTGAGGGAGGGAAAGAGAACATCCCTGTGGCTATGGTCTAGTTCTGGCATTAACCTGCTGTGTGCAGTCAGGTCTAGCACAAATACACCTTCAGCTGCAGAACGCCGGCATCCTGGTTCCTGGGCCTGGGTATGGAAGAAAGCACCCAGTTTGGTTGTAAGAGTGATTATGTAGGTCATGTGTGAATGTCCTACATAAATCGGGGTACTCGATATATGTTGGGCACATCAAGTTCCTCTCCTCCTTTGTTGCCAGGGCTGGCCAACCACACAGATCTGGCCTTGGAGATGCAGGCTGCATTTTCTGAAGGTTCCTTTCTTGAAGGAGAGGTGATGTCTCTCAGAAGGTTCTGGCTTCTGCTCCTCTCTCTGAGCAGCAGCTGCGATGTGGGTTTGAGAGTCGGATGCCCACAGGCAGGACAGAGCAGAGCCAGACAAGGATTTGGTGCTTCAAGGCCGGCTCGGGGTGACTCCTCTGCACTCTGTGGCTGCACAAACTTCCAGTCATTGCTTCTCCGTGTTTGTGTTTGCTTGCTGCTGGTATCACCTGGAGCTGAGTGATTCTTGACACTCATATTGGTTAGGGATGAAGAAAGAGGATGGGGACACAAGGAAGAATAGGAGGAAGAAGAGCAGTGGCAGAGGAGAAAGGAGAGGAAGAGAGCAGGAGGGGGAGGGAGAAAGGAGGAGGAGGAAAAGAAAGAGGAAGAGGAAGAAGAAGAGGAGGACGAAGAGGAGGAGGAGAAGGAGGAGGAGGAGGAGGAAGAAACACCAGTCTAGGTATGTTGTTTAGTTGCCTGAATGTTTTGCTTACATGTCCCAGGGCGCTGGCTTCAGTCTCTAACACCCCAAAAAGTCCCACATGGTGGTACATGCCTGTAATCCCAACATAAATACATGAAGGATGACCACAAACGCAAGAGTATCCCTGGCTACTTAGCAACTTCAAGGCCAACTTGAGTTACATGAAATGCTTCGTGGGTGTCCAGGTGTCGAGCATCCATAGTTGATGGATCTTCTCTCCACTGAAGTACCTTTTCACAAACATCACAAGGCTGCCTTTGAGTGTGCCCATCTATAGGCTATTTTCTCCTTCCCATTGATCTAGTTGTCTATATGTTTAAAAAAATTAAACAAATCTTTAATCCACTTCTGATACCAAAAAGAAAACTTCAATATGTGCTTAAAGTTAAAAAAAATGTGCAAGTATTTTTGACCATGATGTAATGAAAGAAAAAGTCATGAACATTCTGTCTATATACGTCCTGTTGCAGAGAAATCGGTAGTGGAAGAAACTGATTTAGAATGAAGTAGAATGAGAACTCCATGGACCAGACACATCACACCTGGGCAAAGAAATAGTGCTAGCCTTCAAATAGTTAGAACAAATTGAAAAACCTTGGGAAATATGGTAAGAATTGCTTATAACCTGCAATTTAGTCAGATTCTATTAACTGTTCTTGTTCTACCGGGGGGGGGGGGATATTCCTTACCTTCTGATTTGAATTACACTAAGTTGAAAATTTAAATTGGGAAAATTTCTGTAGTCATGTTCTGTTCTCATCTGAGAAACAGTGTGTCTCTTATTTAAATCCCATTATCTCCTAATTTTCTCATTCTTTTCAAGTTCTCTGTTTTTGTTACATATGTATAGAAATGGCTGCCCCACACAGGTTATTCTCCCTCCCTTCCCATCAGTCCCCCTTGTGTTCCAACACCCATTATCCTCCTTCTCTTGCCCCTCTGTCTCCCATTGGTCCCCCTTGTTCCCTTAGATAGTTTTACTTTCATCCTATATAGACTTAAAAAAAAAACCCTCTGCATTGGATGTTTATAAATGTACAACAGAGTTCCAATTTAAAAAACAACCCATTGTTTGTGATATGAAAACTTTTTAATTTTATAAGAAAAAATATATCAAGAGTTTTTAACAATATCATAATTTGTTTCATCTTTTTAAAATTACTTTCTCTCATTTGCTAAAGTAGCCCATCCTCCCCTCTCTTTTAGGAAGCAAATACCCGAGGTACTGTTAACAGTATAAAAGTTTTTAATCTTTTGCTTATGAAATCTCATGGAGAACTTTTCATCTGAAGCAAATGGAACTCTAGTTGTCCTGGTTGAAGGTGAAACCGTTGGGTTGGGATGGTAAACGTGGTCCATCATGCTTCTGTAATGGAGTCCCCAGGCTTCCTAAAATAGACAAAAAGAACTATTATTGGAAAAAAGAGCAAACTACTTAGATGGGCAACTGCATTTCTTATCTTTCTGCTGGCACAAAGCAGCCCTTACACCTGAATATTGTATTCTAGTTCACTTATTTATCTATCTATGTATTTATTATGTGTGCATGAGCTCATACGTCTGCACGCCACAACGTGGTATTTGGAATTTAGAGGACAACTTGATGGAATTGGTTCTTGTCTTCTATCATATTGAATCCAGGATCAAACTCAGGTTGCCAGGCTCAAGAGCAAGCACTTTTATCTCCTGACCTACCTGGCTGGCTGGATTCGTTTGGGTTTCTATTGCTGTGCAGAGACACCATGACTATGGCAACTCTCATAAAGGAAAACATTTATTTAGGGTTGGCTTACAGTTTAGTGGTTTAGTCTATGACTGTCACAGCAGGTGGCAGACATGGTGCTGGGGTTGGAGCTGAGAGGCTACATCTTGATCTTCAGGCAGCAGAAGCAACTATGTGTAACACCGAGGGAAGCTTGAGCAAAGGAGACCTCAAAGCCCAACCACATAGTGACACACTTCCTCCAACAAGGTCTCACCTACTCCAACAAAGCCACATCTCCTAATAGTGCCACTCCCTTTGGGGACCATTTTCCTTCAAACCACCATACTGGCCTCAATTACTATCACATATATGGGGCTGGCAAAGAGTTGAAGGTGATGTCTACTGGTGGCCTAGAAAAGCCAGGAGACATCAGTAAAAAGAAACAAAAGGGATTGCCTCAAGACAGCTTTATCGAGGAAGGAAGACCAAATCGAGCCATTGACAGCTGGAAAGGCAGCCAGGTGATGAAGATTTCTGCTTTGTGTTTGTGTTTTTGAGAATATCCCTAGGCTGGCCTGTGGGTCTTGAACTCACAGAAATCTTCCTGAATCAGTTTCTAGAGTGCTGGGATTACAGATATGAACTACTGGGGCTGGTGAGATGGCTCAGCGGTTAAGAGCACTGACTGCTCTTCCAGAGGACCCGGGTTCGATTCCCAGCACCCACATGGCAGCTCACAACTGTCTGAAAATGTAGTTCCACGAGATCTGACACCTTCACACCAATGAACATAATAAAGTTAAATAAATAAATAAATAATAAAATGTTTAAATAAAATTCTTAAATATCTGTACCAATTCACAGTTTAAAAAAAAAATGAACTACTATATGCGGCCTCCCTCCCATTCTTCTATTTCCCTCCTTTCCTTCCTCCCTCCTCTGCCCCACCCCTCTCATCTGTCCATCTTGTCTTTTGAAATTTGAAAGGGTAAGAGACAAGTTTCAATGAAAGTTTGCATTTACTTTAAAATGTCAGGAGGACCAGTCGGTTTCAACACTTCGTAGAAAGACAGCAAAGCAAACAGGCTGGGAACAGGACAGAACGGCAGGGGAGTGAGGGCAGAAACTGTTACATTTTGGTGTAAGAGAAGTAATAGAGGAAGAAGAACCACATTGATTCAAGGCATGAAAGACTTGTAAGCACCAGTCATGAAACTGACAGTTAACATAACTGAGAGTGAGCTTTGGGAAACAATAGGGAGGTGGATCTTGGTCTTTCCTTTGCTTCTTCACTGCAAATTGTGTTTGGTCCTAATGCATTTAGAACCTCAACATCATGCATTTCGGTTTCCATCCTGATAGAGTTAGCTTCTGGAAACTACTTTAGCTACTGCACTCAACCGTTTCCTTTCCTTGCCTCTGAACGTGTGCAGAAGTCTCTCCTGGAACAACTTCTTCATTTTGCTGTTCAAACTTCTGAAGAAGTCTGGGGCCCAGCAAACCAATCAGTAGGCTTCCAATTGGTGCTGTGATGAGGATGGCCAAGAAGGCCACCGTCAACACATCCATTCCATAGGCTTCTAACTGCTTCTCTCCGTGAACTCGCGCCGTGTCCAGGGCCACAGACCCAATGGCAGCCTATGAAAGTTTTAGCACAAGCTTAGAAATGTAAGCCAAGCACATGTTTTTTAAAGTGACACGTTTGATCATTTAAGAAAACAAGTGGCTCTTCCTTTTGCTCTACTAATCCAAATTAGTCTTCGTTCAAAGTGTCCTGAAGTTGGTTTGATTAATCTACAAAGTCTCCCTGCCCTCCCACGGGGAGTAACACTTCCTTATGCGGTCGGTACACATGGGTCGTGTACTATCAGGTCTGTACATACCAAAATACTAGGGGAAAATAGATCCGCAGTATTAATGAAATATCATTCATTGTTCATGATCAATTTCTCTTACAAAAGATGAGAGTTACTGTTTGTTTTATATTTTAACTTAAAGAATTTGTATTAGTAAAGACAACACTTATCATGTCTCAGACTTTTGGCTAAGATCAAGTCAGGTACCTGTTCTTATCACCTTAATAAATAAAAAGCTTAAAGGGGTGGTTATATTTATTAGAGGTGGGTGAAATTTTAAATCACTATGTTTTCTCTGAAGCATATGCAAATTCTCAAACAGTATGAAACATGGCAGTGGTAAGGACCTTCAGAAGGATGTTAAATTTATCAGTTATTTGGTGCATTCTTTGTCCCAGGAGGTGGCAAAGTATTTTATTTAATATATATCTATTAGAATCTATTATGAAAATTCTCATTTTCTCTTAGAGGTAAAATGCAATATTATTAGTTCATACAGGAAAAGGTGCATCAACCCATCTGGCTAACTCCTTATACCAAAGAACGGAGCAATGTTTTCATCTAAGATAACGGAACAAGAGAGAGACCATGCATCAGTGACACAAGGACAGAATTAAGTGCCCATAGGTATCCGAATGCTCTTCGTTCTGCTATCCCGGAACGCTTGGGTTTCAGTGGGTCACATTGCTGACAAAACAGATCTTAGGTTTCTAGTCTCTTTTGCAACTAGATAAACTGTGCATCTATGTTCTGACCATTGAGTGGAGATGAGACACAAACATGGATTGTTACCCAAAACAGAATGAACACATGTAGCCGCCCCTCCCCACTGGAAGAAAATATCAGCACAGGTTGAACCTGCAGGTAAGAGGTACATGTTGAGAGTGATAGCCACCCTGTCACCTCTGGAATGTCCAAAGTTGGCTACTGGAAAGAAAGAAAATAAAAGTCTAGCTCATTAAGTTCCTTTGTTATTTGTTAGGCTCTTTGTTATTATGGCTTATCCTGTTTAAAAGTAGTTGAACATTTTATGAATTTAGGGCAGAAACATCACTTGTTGCATTGCAATATACATTTTTCTTCCAGTTCTGTTGTGTGTGTGTGTGTGTGTGTGTGTGTGTGTGTATGTGTGTTTTAGGGTATGTGTGCATGCTAAACTGTGATTTAAAATGCATGATATTTTAAAAATATATACTTCTTATAAAAATGTACTTTTTATGACAGATCATAGGCTAAATTATTAATAACTTTATAAATATTTGTATACATATAATATATAAACTTCCTTGTTTTTGATGTAATGATAACAGAAGAAAAACTAAAATTCCATACTTGCTAAAACATTTATTCTATATATGTTCTTTCTTTGTGAATTCAGCTAACTGGAGTCCAGAAATACCACAGAATTCTGCATCTGTACAAAAAAGCACAGATGTTTCCTCATCATTACTGTCTAAAATATACAAAAACTATTCATGTCATATTAGCTATGACAAGTAATTAAGAGATGATTGAAAGAGTGTAGAAGATATGCTTAAGTTATATGCAGACAATAAGCTTTTATAATACCTTGAGTGTCTGCAGATCCGGTATCCACAGAGGAGCTCCAAACTCATTCCCAGAAGATATTGAGGAGTGACTTGTTTGCCTCCACAAGACATACAGTGACCAGCACATTCTATATATGTAATTTATCCTTATTTTAAAAATTGTTGGCTGGGTAGTGGTGACACACGGTCCAGTGGTGGTGGCGCACGCCTTTTAATCCCAGCACTCCGGAGGCAGAGGCAGGCGGCACTCTGTGTCTGAGGCCAGCCTGCTTTCCAAAGGGAGTTCCAGGACAGCCAGGGCTACACAGCCATACAAAACCTAGAATGTAAATACAGCAGGTATGCACCTTCACAAACCCCCTAAGTCATATCTGACTTTCACTGCATGAAAAAAAAGTAATTAAGAGTCTGCCACTCCAGTAACTACAAAATAGTCTATAGGATGCTTGAGTTATATAATGCAATTAGTTTGAAAATAGATAATACAATCATAGATCGCTAATATTTGTCAGAAATCATAACCTCTATAACTCTAATTTAATTAGCATTTACAGATATCCTGATAAAGGTATGCTCAACAATGTTAAACGATTCCTGTATGTGCTCTCTTTATCACTTGTGTGTCTGAATGGACAGATTTTGGTTTAAGTGACTGAGCTATTATACTGAGGCTCAGCTAGCTGTGAATAAAATAGTTAACATCAACTACTCATTTAGGAAATCAATACAAGAGTCTCCCCCTAAGCAAGAGTGATATTTATAAGGTCCCCAGTAGATCAATGACAATGTGGATCGTTCTTGGGAGGCAGAAGCAGACAGATCTCTGAGTTCGAGGCCAGTCAAGTCTATAGGGAGAGTTCCAGGACAGCCAGGGCTACACAAAGAAACCCTGTCTCAGAAAAACAAAACAAGAAATCTTAATTCCTTTTTAATAACTCTTTCTTTCATTATGTATAAAGATCTGGACAAATGTAATTTATCATCAATCCTATGGCTATTGAGAGATTTCCAAACATTAAGATAAGCCATACTTGCCTCCTCCTTCCTATACCTGCCTCCCTCCCTCCCTTTCTTCTTTCATCTTGGGAGATTTGAGATGAGTTAAAATGGCTCTTTCCAGGTGACTTAGGGTTTTAAATGATAAAAGCTCAAATCCTCCTCTCTGGCCAAGGCTGCTTTCTAGTCTAAATGAAGTTTTTGGATTCTTAACCTTCGCCTTGGTGACCCAGATTTTGAACCTTCATCCTGGTGATCCAAAGAAATTTAAATGAGCTATCACAAATGAAACTTTTAGACTAGATTAGTATAAAATCTTTATAAACCCAATTTTTCAACCAGGCAGTCACTCACTTATCTCTATCATTTATCAACTGTTTACTTCCACCAACTTAAGTCTTCTTATTCAATATTTTAAGGTATCATATAGAAATAACAGTTAAAATGATATGCCTTTGAAAATCATTACCTACCTGAACTGTGGCCTTTGGAAGCCATGCAAAAGAAATAAAGATCTTTTCCTTTATGTTAAAACCAGCAAAACACACCATCAGGAATGTAGTCAAAATTCGTATCAATACGGCAATGCCGAGGGTTGCAACACAAAGACCTGAAAGAAATATCCAGGTTTTAGAAAAAAATGAGATATTGGGGAAAACTACCTTTCAAAATACTATCAATAAGAATAATGTTAAAATATTAAATACAAAATAGTTGCATATAATTGATCAAGAAATCAATAAGATCAATCATATAATTGTTTAAAATCTTTTCTTTACAAAACCAGGATTTAATCAACTATTTGAATTCTTACAAAGGAAATTTAAATTAGATGTTGATGTTTCTGCCTTCCTCATGTTTTGAGATCCATAAAACTAATGTCAGTACATTAAATAATGGGGTGGACACAATACTTTTATAGAAAGAGCCACATTTTCTTCCCCGTGTTTATTTAACACAGTGGTTGTCAACATGATTGTCACCACTCCTTTGGGGGTTGAATGACCCTTTCACAGTGGCCGAATATTAGATATCCTGCATATCAGATATTTACATTATAATCCATAACAGTAGCAAAATTACAATTATGAAGTAGCAATGGAAATAATTTTATGGTTAGTGTCATCATGGCATGAGGAACTGCATTAAAGGGTCACAGCATTAGGAAGATTGAGAACCACTGCTTTAATATGACTGTATTAAATGATATAAGGTGAGGTTGGAGAGACAGCTTAGCGGTTAAGAGCAGTTGCTGCTCTTGCAGAGCCCCAGGTTCGGTTCCTCGCACACACATGTTGGCTCACAACTATCTGTAACTCCAGTTTCAGGGTATTCAGCGCTTTCTCCTGACCTCTTCGGATCCCAGGCACACATGTGGAGCACATGGATCCATGTAGGCAAAACATGCAAGATAAAACAATGTAAAAAAAAATCGATGATAGAATGCATGTCACGACTTAAACAAGGTGATGGGTAGACAGAATAAATACTGTATAGACTGATCTGTCTATGGCCATACAATCCTGAACGCGCCTGATCTCATCTGTATAGACTGATCAGCCTCAAAGCTTGAAGAAGTCAGAAACAAAAACCCCTTTGTTCATGTGGTATGGTTAAGCCAAGTGCACACAAGCCAGTAAGCGACTATAGATGAGTGAAAAATAGCCCAATCTTTTCATTAAAGTAGCTGTGACTTCTTCACGGAGTATAAGACTAGACATATTAGTCAAGATACTTATCAACTAGTATGGGAGGAAGGACCCAAGCAGACTGCTGAAGACTGTCTGCAGCTCAGGAAGGAGAAGAGTTCTTTCTCAAGATCAGGGTGTATACATAAGAGGCTGTGCTGCAAACTTGCAGTTTGGGTCTTGACAGAAGGAGCACGGCCCACTGTTGGACGTTAGTTCCTTGATTTCCAAGAGGACTAGGGAGATGGTGTAAAAGCGCTAGTCCCTCAAGGCTGATGTTCCAAGTTCAGTCCCTGAAAATTTGCTTAAAAAGCCGGCTACCGTGGCATGCATCTTTTATGCCTGCACTCCTCAGGTAAGATGGGAGGTGGAGACACTTTTGGCTGAGGAGTTTTCAGGCCAGCCCACCTGGGACAGCAGCAGCAGCAGCAGTGACTTGGAAGACTGACTGCTCCAACAAGGTGGAAAGCGAAAACTGAATCCTGAACCGCTACATGAGCTCCTCGGCCGTGGGTGCACGTGCATTCACACACAGACACTGCATCTGTCTATACAGACACATTTCCTTTTTAAGACGAGTAAGAATAAAGGGAGATATTTGCAATTCATAGGGGATAGGAAGGAATAGGATTCCTGGTTTGGGATATAAGGAAAGGGAATATTTACAAATTAGCTAATTATTGAAAGCACAATCCAGACAGATTTAATGCGATGCCGTCTGAATGTAGTATAAAGAGTGACTACCAGCAGCTCCAATCCTTGAGAAAACATTACAGAATTAACTGGTACTTTTCAAATTCTAGCTCTTGACTAGAACTGGGCTAGATGAGCCAGTTATATTGGGGAGGGGTAGGCCTGATTTTTCACTCAGAGTAACAGGCATTATTCTCTACTCAACTTCTCTAAAGATCCTAGCTAATTCTTTCTACAATTGTGACAATGGTAAACAACACCTACTGAAGGTATCCCAAGCTGGGATTTAAAGACTTGGCACAAGAACCATTGAGAAGGTCTTACCAACAGTTTCTGGTCTGAGAGATGCAATAGATACCTCGGCTCCAATCAGGCCGAACAGAAGGGGCTGGAAAACGTCCCAGGTGACTGCAATCATCTTCTCCACCTCTGACTAAAAGAGAAGCAATGAAAACTTTATTATGTAGACTTATAAATGCCAAAAATTGAATTATTTGATTATTTGGGATTTGAGATCTATAAGTAAGATATCAGAGGCATCGGTAGATCCCTGGAGCTCTGTGGCCATGCAGCCAACCTAGCCAAGTGTAGCCAATCAAGTTATATGGATGAACTCCAAGTTCTGTGACAAAAGGCATATGCATATGGACAGTGGCTATACATTTGGTGTATATATAGAAAATGGCTCTTATGATGAAAAAGTTTGTTAATATAGCATTAAGAAAGAGCTGAAAAGAAAGATTATTATCAAAGAAGAGTCATAAGTGAATGAAATTATAATAAAGCATACCTTCTTGTCACTCCATCTCAGGCCTGCAAGGAAGGCCATGACCAATGTACATAGTCCTCCTGACCCTGGGAAGCCAAAATACACACTGCTGAACACAGCTAACACAGCAAAGCCCAGGACCAAAAAGGCTCGCTTCCACGCAAGGTTGTCCTGAAGGAAAAACAGTTGGTCAGATTGATTATTTCAAATAACTAATTTTTAATGATGGATTATTCTATACCTAGAATTTATATGGAAACTAAAGAATACTCTACATACCGCACTTGCTTTAGTCAAATTTCCAATGCCACTATGAGTGTTCTGAAATTTCAAAATAACGTAAATTTTATAAAGATAGCATTTCCGTATGCTTGTTTAACATCTGAAGGAAGCAAGCTTTCTCATTAAGAAAGCTGACCTTGGAGAAAGATGTTTTACTACAGTATAATGAGATGTCTTTTTCTGTTTGATAGCATTAGAATTTAAAGTATTTTGATACTTAACTGGCTACAAAAATCCACTATAAATCTTGATTTAGTTGAATACTATACACCTACTGACAATGTACATGTCCTATTATTTTGCCACTAATATTGTTTTACAATGAAATTTGAAATGCACATAATATAAATTATGTATCATATGCACATATATACTATATATTTATATTAATTATTTTTTCTTTTTTTTAAAAAAAGAAGTATTTCATTTTCTTTTTTTTAAATTAATTTATTTATTTATTAAGGATTTCTGCCTCCTCCCCGCAACCGCTTCCCATTTCCCTCCCCCTCCCCCGATTAAGTCCCCCTCTCTCATCTGCTCAAAGAGCATATGTAGTTATATTTAGGAAGTTCCAGAGCAGCATTAGACCTCATGTGTGTAGTCCTCAGCCTCATGCTTAGCACCAACAGAGCAATCAGCAATTAAAAATAAGGGACCCTTTCCTCAGCGATGTCCTGCACATCCAGTTTTGAGGAGGGTGTTCTAGAAGTCTCTTCCATTGACAATTTGCAGCATGATTCTCTCAGTTTGCTTCTTTTACCTGGTCACTGCTTGGAAAGAATTGTATAAAAAACCCAAGAAAAGATCCAGTAGCTATTCCAATTACGACCTCCAAAATGCCCCTGAAGATGTTAAAAACTGTAGACTCTGAAAACACATGGAAAGAAAAAGTTTAGCCAGGACTCCAAATCCACTAACTTCAGTCTAACGTCGTCAAGCGAGATCCTATAGCCAAGCAGAAGGGAGTTCTTACAGACAGTTCCTAGGCGCCACATTTTTAAAAAATTATTATTTTATGTGCACAGCTGTTTTGCCAGGATGTATGTCTGTGCACCACATGCATGCAGAGCCCAAAGAGGCCAGAAGGCCTTATATCTCCTGGCACTGGAGTTTCAGATAGTTGTGAGCTGCCATGTGGTGCTGGGAGAATCAAAATTGGGTCTTCTGGAAGAACAGCCAGTGCTCTTAACTATTGAGCCATCTCTCCAGCTCTATACTCTCCACATTTTCAATAGAGATGACTTTAAATATCTTTTAAAATGTTTCTTGCCAGGTATGGTGGCACACACCCCTTTAGTTTCAGCATTCAGGAGGCATAGGCAACAGGATCCATGAGTTCAATGCCAGCCTGGTGTATACAGCCCAGGACAGCCAATGCTATATAGAGAAATCCTGTCTTGAAAAAACAAAACAAAACAAAAAAACTACTTCTGTCTTTTAAGGAAAGGAAAAACATTGTTGGACAAGATTTTCAAAACCAGAATAAGGTGTGGCTTAGATACTTTCCATAGGTTTACTTACCTAATAGTTTTCTTGAGCCTACCAACTTATGAAAGATAAAATTCATCATTCAGAGCAAGCTTGTGTAAAGGCCTCAGTTAACCTGTAAGCTCCACTTACCCAAGGATAAGATAACAATATTTTCACCCCCCTAAACAAGTGTGTTTGACCCAACCTCACTAGATGTGCTTGATCACGTGTAGGTGGGAGGTACGTGGGCAGGAAGTACGTCAGGATATATGTTTGCCCCTAATTGGACCAGATGGGAAATTCAGTGGACTTAATGGGTTTTGCTTTTTAAGGCCTCTGCAAAACGTGACTGAACTCACTGTCATTTCCTGGGAAACCTGGAACGATCCTGGCCACAGTCCTTCATCCTGGCCAGTAGTTAATTAAAGCTTGCTTCGAATTTGGCTCAAAAATTGTGGAACTACTCTTTCTCTTGCAATTCTCAGGTTTAATGCTTGTTCTACTGCATTATATGCATAGATGAATGGGGGAAAGAGGTGGTTGAGCTGTCAAGTTACAAGAGCTGGATCTATAGATCAAAGTAACTTAAAAACCTGATAAAGTAAAACACCTGACCAATCATTGTAAAAATAAATCTGAAATAAATTATTTGTGAAGTGTCCTTGAGAAGGGTTTTTCTCTGCGTGTGGCTTAACCCCTTTAGGGTATCACAGTGCAGTGGGCAGTAGAACCTATTTCCCTTCATAGCAATCAGGGTTCAGGAAACTACATTTTGAAAGTCTACATTAACACATTGTACAGAAAATTGTGTGGTGTACACTGTTAACCTCGGCACTTGGGAGGCAGAGGCAGGCAGATCTCTGAGTTCAAGGCCAGCCTGGTCTGTAGAGCAAGTTTCAGGACAGCCAGGTCTACACAGGAAAACCCTGTCTCGAAAAACAAAACAAAACAAAACAAAAAAACCCGGAAAAACAAACAAAAATAAAAAGAAGAAAGAATTACTCTAGAATCTAGAATATAACCAGTACTTTCAGTTTCTTGTATGGTAAAACACTGTTTCAAACAAACAAATCCTTGGGCTGGTACCAAAAATACTATCAGGAAATCTAGGTTCAAATTCAAAACTGCTGTGAGCAGACCTTGGGGCCAGCAGAGGTGACACAACACAGTCAGCAGAGAAGATTCTTGAGCTATGGAAAGCTCAAAGCAAGCTCCTCTAAGGATTGCTGTCCACTGTTCTTCTTGCCTCCTCTGTGACCCCAAGGCAACACTGTTGCTTTGAAGCCATGGTTCCTAGTCATGGCTACACTGGCTTGCATTCCCAAGGGTGACTGTTTTAATTGGCCTAAGGTAACGTCTATGTTAACAGAAAGAAGGAAAGAAAATGAAAGCTCCCTGGGTAACGCTGTCACAAAGCTAAGGCTGAGAACGGTTTCAAAGGTTCACACAAGGGAAATTGTGGGAATGTAAGTTTGACTAGATTTGTATAGTAAACTAAAGACAATTACCTATGAGCTATTCTTCCTAAGGAAGCAGGGAGCATTCATTAGTTATAGAGCAAGAACATAACATTGTAAAGCCTATGGAAACTAACTTACAAGGGACTGACAAAGGCTGAAGGCAGGAGGAGGACAGGAAATGCTCCTATTTAGAGCTCACTGTTCCTCCCAGCTCCACCCAGACTGCTGTCTCTTATGTGTGCCTATGCCAAAACTTCCACATGTTTTTGTGGTTTCTACACCTAAACTTTCCTAGACCTCTCCTTGAAGAAAGAGCTCCTCTGTCAGCCTCATTACACTGTACCTGCCTCTCTTGTACTCACCTAGCAGGGGGAAGACAGGCAGCTTCCGGTTAGTGATGGCTCTGGGGAAGGACCCAGCACCTACAACGTAGGCACTGCCTTAAGCAATCACACCCTACTTTAAAAACTTTAACACTATCTCTGCAGAACAAGAGAACAGCCAAGCTCTTGACAGGTGGGATTACCTGTGGAAAAGGCCACACCCAGACATGTGTTGAAGCCAGTGATGGCCAAAATGTCATCAAAGCTGCCAGCGGCCATGAGCAAAGTTGGGATGCCCTTTTGAATCCCGTAGCCTCCTTCTTGCAAAAGGAGCATGGAAGGCACCACGACGGCTGGAGACACAGCACCTACAACAAAACTGAGTAGCCGGGCATCAGACGCTGTGGCTAACGACCTCAGGATTCATAACAATGCCTCCTTCCTCTATGCCTTTAAAGGTTGGACTTCGGGGGGCTGGAGAGATGGCTCAGAGGTTAATAGCATTGCCTGTTCTTCCAAAGGTCCTGAGTTCAATTCCCACCAACCACATGGTGGCGCACAACCATCTGTAATGAGGTCTGGTGTCCTCTTGCCTTCAGCAGAATATTGTATACATAATAAATAAATAAATAAATAAATAAATATTTTAAAAAAAAAGGTTGGACTTCGAATGACTGCAGTCTCTCAAACAGTTCAGAAACACCAAACCAGAAACAGGTAGACAGAAAGCTCTATAAAACACTGCTCTTTGAAGCATATGTATAGGCAATCTGTTTACAATGACCTAGGTTGCCTAAAATGTATGCATCATGAGAGATATTGAGTCAGTAATGGAGTCAGGCCATAGTAGGTGCTTTAAAATATATATATATATATATATATATATATATATATATATATATATGTATCTCAATAGGGCTTCAGTTAGATCTTGAAATGTGAAAAAAGACAACAGATTTGAAGGCGGGGGCTCTGAGGTATGAGGGTGGGGCAGGTGTAAGGCTGGGAAGTGTTTTACACACTCGCTATGCTCTGGACAGCCACTGTCCAGACCTCACACATATGAACTCATTTCTTCACTGTAACACTGAGAAAGAGATACACGCAAGGCCATCGAGGCACAGAGAGACTGGCTAACTGGAAATCACAGAGCTGGGGCTGGAATCTAGGCAAGAGCCCCCGAGGCCTACTTCTGACAGGTAGGAATTTCCTCTTGCCCATAGGTAAACACCAAATTGCCGCTCTATCCTCTTCACTTGTACACATCTCGTGGCTGTCACCCACTGGATGTGAAAACAGGGCACTAGAAAGAATGTGTAGAGAAGCCACCAAGTCGCCATGTCTGGCGGCAGAAGGAACACTTAGTATTTCAAACCATTTATGGAGGCTCTGAGGTGGGATCCAGCAGCTAACTCCCAGGCTTGGAATTGGCCATTCCAATTCCAACAAGTGAGAAACAAAAACAAAACCCAAAACAACTTCTTCAGTAGCTCATCTGACTACAGTCACTGCCAAGCTCGTTACCACAGTGACACAAACTCTATCTTACAGCTAGACTGTCCAGACTGTGCCATGCTGGAGTGTCGATGATGTATGTTATGGCTCTCTTCAGGAGATGTGATTTTACAATCTCTTAAATGGAACCAGGAAGTTCCAAATGCCCCTCGATATTTTCATAGAAAAAGAAAAAAAAATCATTACCCCAGTATGAAGCCCCACTGCCAAGGCAAACCCATCAGGAAGTGTGCGAGAAGGGCAGAAGTGCACGCCTCCACGATGCAGGGACCCATGGCCAGGCGCACGCACACCCCCTTCAGTTTCTTCAGCGCCTGAAAGATAAGAGTGGACACACTAATGTGTTCCTGCATCATGTGGACAGTATCATCACCAGCACTTGCTCAACCAGGATTGGCCATCGTGTCTTTCCAGCTAGTTTTATTCAGCAGGTATTTCTACATTCTGCAGGTTTGGGAGACAGGGTACCCAGTCCTCACAGATATCCTGCGATAGGCAACTGCTGGTCCTCTTTATAGATGTCATCCTTTCGGAAGGCACAAGTTTACAGTCACGCAGATGACTTCAAGGTCTGTGTTTACAACCCATATACTAACTATCTGACTATCCATTTGACTTGTGGCTCACAGCCCCAGAAAGAGGCCAGATGAGGATGTTTGTCTCCAAAGAACGGTCATCTGCACATTCAAAGGAATGTGGGTAAAAAGCATGCTTAAGACTCATTCCGTTTGCAAGAAAGCTCCTTGAGTCAATATAACCAGCCCTATTTAATGTACTGGGACATGACACACTGTCTCCCCATGATCATTACCTCTCCTATGACATATCTGTGTCTTCCCCTTCACAGTAACACCAGTTCCTTCACAACATAGTCCGGGAACATCTGGACTCCTATGAGGCCAGGGTGGGAGTACAGTGGCCCTCCCTTGAGAAAGCTCCTGCCTCTTCCTGAGACTGTCACGTGCACTGTCCACTCATTTCCCAGAGCTTAATATTATAAATACTTGCAAGAAGAATGTCAGCAGGACATATTTACTATTCAATAATTAGAAATTCACGCTCCATACCTTTGGGTCCAGACCAAGGCCAGCACGAACCAAAATGACAGAAAGGGCCATGCTTCTCAAAGAAGAGGACCACTTGTGCTGGATCTGGACATTTTCACTGATGACTGGGACATTCCTCAAGAGAAACCCAGCAAGCAGCATCCCTTGAACGGATCAGTCAAACAGAGCTGGTTAAGTTTTCAAACAAGGAGTTCATTTTTCCATCACCACTCTACACACGGCAGGGACTGCAGTCTAGTTTTCCCTATGCTTAGTCTTTGGATGAAATAAAGTTAAACTCATAATTTTTAAAAAAATATAATAAAAGGGTCAAAGAAATACTTCATATGTAAAGATGATTAGAATAATTAATATTGTCAGAATAATTGGGCACAGAAGGGACAAAGTGTAACATTTCGAAGGAATAATGATCAAATCCCAAATAAGATGCTTTAATCCAATGTCAGTTCGGTCATCCCTGAGGGCAAACAGCTCCTAAAACTATTGGCAATGTCAGGTTACCTGAGCTATCAATAAGTACTCATACGGATGCTACTTCTCCTTCACAGGAGACAGTCTGTCAGATAGACGTGACACTCTTTGTAAAGGCTTGGAAAACAATTATGGCAACCGGACGCCGCCCTGCCGTGCCAGACAGTGCCTCTTTTATTTACTGTTTACCATTTACTGGGTGCCTTCATTATTTCAAACAAGACGATGAACACGGAACCAGCTGTAGAGGATTATGAGTTCTGTTTCTACAGACGAATGCTAGGAACTACAACACAGCAACAAGCTTTCTGCCCTCAGAGGAACAAGAACAACAACCCCGACTATAGGAGACTGAGAAAAGACAGGGGAATAAGGGGGCCCAGGGCAGGGGTTGGGGGACGGTGAAGGGCCTGGCACAAGGGACAGAAAGTGGATGTTTTGAGGCATAAGAAGTTTTACATTCCAGGACCCACAGGTAGCTAAGTGTAACTGAACCTTGTAAGGGAATTCCGTAAGGGAACTGTAAGTCTGCATAAGGGAGTTCTGCCCACATTTAGACCCCAAGTACATATGAAAGGAAAGATCCCTCTATCAAAGAATCTGAGGTCTCTGAGGTACACCTGCTCTGCTGTACCTCTTCACTGTGTTCACATAAGAACCACACTTCACACTGATAAACACGTTTACTAAAGGGAGGACACTGTATAGAAACAGAGACAAACTGTGACCTGCTACAGACACTGTTTAACATGTAACTGTCATTTCTCACCCCCGACATTCCGTCTAGAAAAAAACAAACCTGAGTTCTGAATTCTGTTGCCCTGGTCTATCAAGAACACCATGGAGAGGCCTGTAGTACCTGTTTATTTATGGTTATTAAGTTTATTTATGTTTATTTTTATCCCCACCGAGTCCAATCTGTGTTGCTCACACCCAGAACTAGTTAGGCCACCCTATTTATAGAAGGGGTAATGTTAGGAGGTCACACACACATGTGAAGCCAAAACTAACACATCGTTGAGGAATGAAAGGTCATTTGTGCCTGTAATCAGACACGGTGGCACATCCCTTTAATCCTAGCACTTGGGAGGCAGAGGTAGGCAGATCTCTGAGTTCCAGGACAGCCAGCGCTACATGGAGAATCCCTGTCTCAAAAACAAACAAACAAAAAAAAAACCAAAAAAACAAATTTAACAAGCCCCGCCTTGTGGCATTTATTGATTTCTGCATCACAGACACGTCTAGCATAGCTGATTTTAGTGTGTGCACCTGAAGTTACTGTTTATGGAGTTCAGAGAAAATGGGCAGAGGCACACCATTAAATGGTACAGCCATGACCTCAAGAGCTTAGATAAGAGGAAATGTCATAAAAAATAGCTAGGAAGTGATGGAGGAAGGTCATTGGTTAAAAAAAAATAAAGAAACTGCTTGGCTGGCCCTCATAGGTTAGAACACAGGTGGCTGGAGAAAACAGAACAGAATGCTGGGAGGAAGAGGAAATGAGCTCAGACTCGACAGCTCTCCTCTCGGGAGTAGACGCCTCAGAAGAGACGCCATGCCCCACTCCTGGGCAGACACACGCGATGAAGCTCCAACCCAGGATGGACATAGGCTAGAATCTTCCTGGTAAGACCGGTGTTCACAGATTATTACAGATGGGTTGATCGGGATATCAGAATTAGTCAGTAAGGGCTAGAGCTAAAAGGGCCAAGCAGTGTTTAAAAGAATACAGTTTCCGTGTAATTATTTCGGGTAAAGTTAGCCGTGCAGGCGGCCAGGTGCCAGGGACACAGCCCCGCCGCTCCTATTACTACAAGGAAGCGATGCATTTGGAGTACTCATCCCTCTTCTTTTTACATGTGAACTATTTAATTGTAAATTCATATAAATTAATTTTAAAAATTATCACATTGAACAACTGACTCAAAAAACTTCTTTAATGATTGGAGCCAGAGAGATGAAGTCTGGTAATGTGTCTGCCTCAAAAGACTGGAGACATGAGTGTGGTCCCCAGAACCCACATAAAGATGAAAGGAGAGAACTGACCCCGTAAAACTGTTACACACACACACACACACACACACACACACACACACGCACAATTTTTTAAATTAAAATTTGGGTTTCGTCTCCAGGACAGCAAATACTGAAATATTCATTCTTTTATTTCCCAAAACCTCCCAGAGTGTTTTCAACACTATCATTTGCTTTGAGGAAATCAGGAAGCATTTCGCACTCACCAAGAAGAGGAGGCAGAGGAGGCAATGTCGGTAATCTAATGAGTCCAAAAACTTTACCACCGACAACAGCACAATATAACAGGATTAGGATTCCAAACAGATTTCCTCCAGGAAGACACTCAGGGCCGGTAACTGACCAAACCACAGCCCATAGAAGAACAACCATGGTACCTAAAGAAAAACATAATTAAAAAAAAACCCACAAAAATAAACCCAAAACATCAGGAAAACTAACTGTTACATGCAAACTTTGTTGTATTCTGAAGTTATTTTTGAATAAACATTGACTCCATATGCAAATGTTTATAACCATGAGTTATAAAGGACGTGGTGATGCAAACAACCATCCAGCTTAAGGGGGCTTGGCAGTGCCTGTCAGTACACCCGTTCTCAGCTCCATTTTCCTCCACAATGCCAGAAGGAACCACTGCCTTGCAACACAGGAACAACCAATATTATAGAGAACAATCACTGTCTTGGCCCTCTTGGTAGGAACTTGAGAATATTTGCACTCCAGTTATACTCCCAGCGTTTAGTTCTGCCTGGAATTAAATATTAACCATTATTTCTTTTACTGTCAACGTTTGCTCAGAATTATCGCACTTACAAAAGTAAAGAACATGACCCATTGCTATGCTATCACAAAAAGAAAAGGAAAATTAACCCAGTGACCAAACAAACGCCTCTTTCTCTAAAACATCAACTTTTTTTTTTCAGAGATGTAAGCTACTATTTCAGTGAAATACCTAAGGTACTTTCAGTATTTTTCAATAGAGTATACAAGCTAACAATCCCAGAAAATGCTACAGGCAGCATGATTTGCCAGCTGCTAAGTCTGACTTTGTTAAGGAATAAGCTGAACTTTCCAGTAATTTCACAGAGTTAGGAGTTTTCATTTCTCCATGCTAAGATTGTTTTCTCTTCTAACTCTCCTGTTATTCCCAGTTCCTGAGATACACTTGTAAATGTTATTTATGTGTATATTTATAAGGTATCTCTAAATCAGGCTTAGACAGTCAATAATTTATTTGTCATTTATGATTTTGGGAAAACATAGCTTTGATGTAATAATTACTTCCCAAGAAGAGTTTATGTGTGTTAAATGACACAGGAGCAAAGACAGAACAGAGCCATCAATCTCAGAATCAGAAACAGGAAAACAGTTTGCACACGCTTATGTACCAGGAACCCTTACTTTCCAGGAATGGTTCTGGAACAATTCTAAATTTAAAAAAGAGTTCTCAGGCTGAAGAGAGAGCTCAGTGAGTAAAGTGCTCGCCATGCAAGTGTGAGGAGCATTCGGATTCCCAGCAGGTAAGTGCTGATGTCGCTATGACAACCTAGCTAGCCTAGGCAGATCAGTGAGCACTGGGCCCAAACCAACCCCTTCAGTCTGCTCCCACAGAGGTTAGCTAAACCTGCTCCTTGTTCAGCTATACATAATAACCCCAGATCCTTACTTATCTCTGTGCAGTAAGCCCTCTTCTGTGTTCAGCTGGACTTACTAAACACGCGGAGCATCCCAGGTGCTGCAGCAGCTTCTCCTGCTCATCAGAGAGCCCAGCCCACCTGATGCCAGCTTTTCTGTGCATCTGTCTTTTCATTTCCTTGCCACCCCAGTTAGGTCAATCCCTAGTCAGGGTCCCAGGAGCCAAGCCACGTGAAGAGTGAGGTACCAGCCTCGCTATGTAAAATGGAGAGGGAGGAAGGAAGGCCCAGTGTCAACCTCTGGCCTCCACACACACGCACCAAGTGCATACACACAGACACACGCACCCACACACGGGAATATACATGCTCATATGGAAGCATATAGGGCCACAAAATGCTGAAAAGGATAGAAATAAAAATGAGTTCTCAAATCACGTTGTTCATTTTTACATATTCCTCAGGCAAACAGTATCTGTTTTTATTATAATTTTTTAAACTAGATATTGTCATATTTTCAGTGCTAAAGGTTTAAAAAATCATATAAAAGAGAGAAGAGGTATCTTCAGCTAGTTATATTTTGAGACCTAGTTTTCCCACAGGGGTTCAGAATCTTACTTTTCCAGTAAAAACATACACTGCCTAAAGCATAACATATTATATTTGTTTCCATTGTCCTGCATGAAAAGGATAAAAATCTCCGTGAGAGCTCCCTTCTAAAGTACAGTTCCAAAATCTTAGCTCAGGCTGGGTGGGTGGTGCAGGCCTTCAATCTCAGCACTGGGATGACTGAGGCAAGAGGATCATGAGTCCTGAGCTATACACATAACATTTGTTGAAACAAAGCAACGCACACACACACACACACACACACACACACACACTCTCACACACACACACAGCAAGGTCAAGGGAACTAGTAATTGAGAATTGAGACTTGGTGTTCAGGAAACAATGTACTGCAATCATGTTTTCATTTCTCAACAGTTTCCAAATTTGTTATAAAATTTGCTTTTATAGAAAATTTCAACCCCTTCTTTCACACACGTCGTGGAAGTGCATGCGTGTACATGCACACACACACACTCTTTCCCTCTCTTTCTTCCTTTGTGAACAAAAAAAATTGTACCAGTGATTATAAACATGTATACACTCATCAAATTTCTAACATTTCAGGTTACCTTCATAAACTAAAAGACCAATATATCTCAACTGAAACAATATCCGAAACAATCTGCATAAATCTTTCTCCTCCCTCCAAACTTCTCAAAGTCTACAAAGAATTGGTTCGATTGCAAACCAAGATTCTCACTTGTAAAATGACAGGATTTGATTAGAATCCTAAAATGATCACTGTTTGCTCAGCATTAGCCACACTGCTATTGCTGTAACGGCATCAACAGTTACATAATGCTTCCCCGGTACTCAGACGTTTGGAGCCTTACGGTGATTATGTGGAATTATTCAGATATGGAAAATGTTCTTCAATCCCTGCTCTTTTGACTCTGTGGTGCCCACAGTCACCGTTGGAACCACACTTTGAGATGGTGGAGTTTTTCACACCCCCCACCCCCAGTGCCTGTGTGGAGCGGAGTCATAACATCGTCAGCTGTCTCATCCAGTAGCTTTAACTAAGGAAGAAGGACGTTTCTTCTTGTCCTTTGAACCACGTGATTTTGGAAGCTCTTACTCTGACTTTATCTTTGATGTTCTGAGCTCATCCCTGCCGTATACGCACCGTTTGTTATCACTTTGCCTAGTGAGCCATGTGGAGGGCAAGCCAGGGTTCGTCTCAGACTCTGAAAGTGACCAGATTCTGTTGCCAGTTCCGGGGGCTTTTTCTCACCACTGTTCAGCAGGTTACTGTCTTCTGTTGGCTCATTCCCATATACCTCTTTGAGGTTCGTGACTCTCTCTTCCTGCATTTAAAACAGAATTTTTAAATCTTTAAAGCCGTGTTTTCGTCCATCTTTTAGCTGTTAGCTTATCGCATTTCAAATAAAATGGCCCTTATTAAAATCTGGGCTAATACCTTATATAAAGAAACACACAACTTTTTTGCCAATAAGTCAGCTAGTGCTTAGAAAAAGAACCACTGAAGAATATTTAACAATGGGTCCATCCCTATTTTTAGAGTTTTAAATGCTTGAGTCACATAAACATAAAGTTACATTGTACAATACTAGGCCCCAAAATTGGTATAGTTAAGACGTAATTCAAGACGATAGCAGGCAAATATACCAAAGAAATTCAAGAAAGGAGAGGAGGGTGGAAGGGAGGGAGAGTAGAGAAGAGCAAGGAAGGCAAGCACACAAAATCCTTCTAGGGCTTAGGCCAGGAACACACAGGGCTATTTTGCCAACCTCAGGTAGGGACAGCTACCAATGACCTTAGGTGGAAAACTGAGAGACATTATATACCCTGGTCTATGTGATCATGGGAATTAAGCATGAGGAAGATTTTCCTTCCTTCCTTCCTTCCTTCCTTCCTTCCTTCCTTCCTCCCTTCCTTCCTCTCTCTTCCCCCTTTCTCTTTCTCCCCCTCTGTTTCTCTTTCTCCCTCCTCCCTCCCTCTCCCTCTCTTTCCTTCTCTCTCTCTCTCTCTCTCTCTCTCTCTTTCCTTCTCTCTCCCTTTCTCTCTCTCTCTCTCTCTCTCTCTCTCTCTCTTTCTCTTCTCTCTCTTTCTTTCGAGACAGGGTCTCACTAGGTAACTCAGGCGACTACATGCTCATAGTATTTCTGCATAACTCTTCCGAATGCTGGCTTTCTAGGAGTGTGTCACTTGGCCCTTCAGGGAGAATTATTAGTTGACTGGTAAAGAGCGAGGAGAAACCATTCTCTCAGCTTAGTAGTGTGCTTAGGGGAACAGCTGGGGTTTCCTGCCTTTGCTTGGTGGTCTTACCTGTGGTCCTTGATGCTCAGAAGCTGTGTGACAGGTCCCAGTGCATGGCTTTGAGTCCTGACATCCAGCTGTCTTATCTTCATCCTCCATGTCTTATAATTTCAAAGACGATGATTCAGGGATGAGGAACAAGGTCTGGATTGAAGGAGACACAGCATAGACACAGCAGTAATTGAAGACCATGGGAAGGAGATGACTAAATTCCCTTCTCTCTTGCCTTGGAACTCAGAGGGTGGACACATGCTAAGTCAGAATGCTCTCGCCTTTCCATGGTTGGCCCTTTCTTTGAGTCCAATGTATTTATCTGCATTCTTATCGAGTTTTTGGCTGCTCTTGAAATAAACCCTTGTTGATCTATTACATCTTAATTCCTTTACCAATATCCCTTGAGGCTTGTGTTTTGAAACACACAGGTTGCCCTAGCTGATGGGCTGACTCCACAATCAGGAGTGCTCAGGTAACTTTCCAGGGTTGGCCACAGAAATGGGTCACCAGCGGGACCCTATCCCCATCGCACCATCTCCTGAGGGACAAGAGTCTCTTATTCCTGCCTTGTCTGCGTGTCTGGATTGTTACGACTGGCGCAGTGAGATGCCCCCACGTGAAGCCTTGAGTACATTTAGAAGAAAATCTGTGCTTCAGAGAAGAGACAATTATACAGTTTGCCTCGGTCACAATAGTTTCCATGTATATATTCTGATATTTTTGGGAGTAACTTAATTCTACTCGCTGTAATTTGAGATCATTTTCCGTTTTCGTGGTTTTCAGAGCAGGTGAGGAAGCGCTTTGGGATCTTTTCCAGCAGTTTTCGGAACTTTCAGAGACAGAAATGTGACCTCAAATGAAAGAAAACCCTTAAATCCAACAAATGGGGCAGGTGACAGGGGACCCGCCACATCAGCAGACTCTGAAAAGTCTCTATAAATTTACCTTCTCATAACGTCAGGTGTTTGCTAAAGAAGACTTCCTTCCATTCTGCAGTACAGCACACACACGCACACACATGCACAAACATGTGTGTGCATGCACGCGCATGAGAGAAAGAAAGCGAGCAAGCGAGCGAGAGAAAGAAAGAGAGAGAGAGAGAGAATAAAGGAATTGGCCAAAGTAAGATATAGCCAGTAAGGGTCCATCCCAAAGATCTACATTTTAAATATGAGATACTTTATTTTATCTCATATTTTAACTACCTACTAATAATGCAGTAATTTTATGACCCATCAAGTGATTGATCAGCTCATTCGGTTAGACCCCCATTGTCTACTCTCCTAGGTAATTATGAATCCAACGGTTGACAATCAAGATTAAGCATTGCATTTCCTGCCTGTGATATGGTTAGGCTAATGTTTAAAGGGGAATCTTATTGAGAATTTACATATATTGATTGATACCATTTGTAATGCATCTACTTCTCCAAAGTTCATATTTTGGAACTTAAACCAAAAGGGATATCAGTAAATGGTGTAGATGCCTAAAAAGGGATTGAGTCACTTTTACAAAGTGATCCACTCTCTTGAATGGAATACTGCTTTTTTTAAAAAGGCTGAAGGACCAGAGATAGTGGCATATACCTATTTTGTTTGTTTGTTTTCAGAGGGGGTTTCTCTGTGTAGCCATGGCTGTCCTAGAACTCACTCTGTAGTCCAGGCTGGCCTCAAACTCAGAGATTCTCCTGCCTCTGCCTCCAGTACTGGGAGAAAAGGTGTGAGCCACCACATCCTGTTGGAACACATCTTTAATCCCAGCAAAGCTCTGTGAGTTCAATACCAGCCTAGTCTACATAGAGAGTTCCAGGACATCCAGGGGGCATATAGACCTGTCTCAAGTGTGTGTGTGTGTGTGTGTGTGTGTGTGTGTGTGTGTGTGTGTAAAAGGAGGCTGAAGGAGCAGTTCTTCCTATTCTGCAATGTCAGGCGGCATTGCTCCTCCATCCCTCCAAGTGAGGATGAGGATTCAGCAAGAAGGTACTGGCTTGTAAACGGAGAACAAGCTCTTAGAAGACACCAAATCCCTAAGAATCACAACCTTGGAACTTCCTGCCTCTAAAACTGTGAGGAATGAGTATCTTCTATTACATAATACATGAACCAGCTTGTGGCATTTTGTTATAGCAGGATGAATGGACTGGATGTTGGAATACTCTCTTGTATACATTTAAGAGTTCATTACCACGGTTACTCATTAAGTATTCCACAAAGATTGCAGTATTAATAGTCTCTGACATTTGGTGTTCACCCATTCAAGTGCTGACTCAGTAGGTTCTCAGATTCATATAATATCTTTTATTTGTTTTTCCTTGTTTGTTTTGAGGAAGCTCTCCCTTCTGTCGTTCAAGCTGGCTAGCACTGCATTTAGCAACCACGTGCCTGACCCTCCACAGGGTGCCATCATTCGAGGCTCCCATAGGAAGTTTCTATGTAGAACAAATATTCTAGTTCTGGGTTCTGCTTATCAACTTTAATGTAAGGTTCATATATCAAAAGGTCCCCTACTCAGCAGTGAGGAATCCAGGCCAGGACACAGAGGAGGTTAAAGCTTTCCTTGAGAATTCCTGAAATGACTAAGAATGTTTCCCTTTGCAAGAATGACCTTCTTTGAGAGAGCTAGGTGTGTCGACCACATGAGGCCAAGCCAACAAAAAAAAAGCATCGCTTACCCTATTTGATTCCTTACCTTAGTGATTTTGTTGGCTCTTCAGATGTAATAGGAAGATTATAATGATATCAAATGTAAGAAAATGATACCAAAATAAGGAGAGACCCAATTCTTGCTTCTCATTAATCTATCTTCCTTCAAATGGGAAATAATTGCAAATTTAACATCTTATTTTTAGATTTGGGTGGTTTGTGTGTTATAAATACGGCTTACTTCATATCTAAAAGCCACTCGTTCAGATTTGACAGTTGATGTGGTATTCCCCTTTGTATGCTCTGAATATGTTTTATTACCATTGGCTAATAAAGAAGTTGCTACAACCTATGACAGGCAGAATATAGCCAGAGGCTGGAAGAGATAGAGAAAGAAGGCAGAGTCAGAGAGACGCCATGTAGCTGCCAAAGGAGACAGACACTGGAACCTTGCTGATAGGCCACAGCCTCGTCATGTTATGTAGGTTAATAGGAATGGGTTAATTTAAGATGTAAGAGTTAGTTAATAAGAAACCTGAGCTAATAGGCCAAGCAGTGTTGTAATTTATGCATTTTCTGTGTGATTATTTGGGTCTGGGCAGCTGGGAAGCAAAAGAGCAGTCTCTGCTTACAGACAGTGGGTTATTTGTATGTCTCTAGGGTTAGAATCAGGGCTTGTCTAAATCAGTCTCTATAACATTACTCTTTTTCAGATTTTGGTTTAGCTCTATGAAGGATTCATGCCAATAGATTAATATATTTCTCCTTAGGGGAAAAAAATGAGGAAAAATTTAACTTTTTGTCTTTAAGTGTCCATTTGTGTTTGGGGAAAGCTTTGGTTGGTCATGTGTTTTGGAACCTTAACAGTCAGTTTTCACTCATGGAGAAAAAAATCAAACTTGGCTAATCACAGACAGCAATCTAGAGTCCTGGGATCACTGGGCTACCGGATAAACCCTGGACCATCATGCTCTGTGGGAGAAAGGGAATTCTGTTATTTTCAAGGGAGCTTGACAAAAGAACAAACCCTGTTACTATCACGGACACATTTGCACAAGAATACGTGCAAGAAGCACATGAGTGCCAGCTTCCACATTCACATATAAACTTCACAGGCCTGGGTCGCTATCACCAACACCTCTGGCTTATTCTTTTTTTTTTTTTTTTGAGACATAGTCTACCTATATAGCTTTGGCTGTCCTGAAACTCACTATATAGAATATAGCATGTTGGCCTTGAACTCACAGAGATCCACCTACCTCTGCCTCCTGAGTCCTGGGATTAATTGTCATGTACCTCTACATCCGGCTCATTCTTAATGCTTTCTGTGGGCACTGCAAAGTTGTCGAGAACATAATTGATGGGGTTTTTACCCTAACGACTTCTTATGCCAAAAAACACACAACACACCTTAGTCAACAAGCCTTAGTCACTGGGCCGGCCAGCTTTCTGTCACCTTGCTGTAAGCTAAGTTTATCTGGGAAGAAGGAATCTCAACTGATAAAAAGCCCCCATCAGATTGGCCTGTAGCTATGTGTGTGGGATATTTTCTTAAGTAATGAATGACTGGACGGCCCAGGCCACTGTGGGTCCTGGGGTCTATAAAAAGGCACACCGAGGAAGCCATAGGAAGCAAGTCAGTAAGGATTGTTTCTCCACCGCTTCTAGTTCAGTGATGGACTGTAAGCCAGTGAGATGAAATAAACCCTTTCCTCCCCAGGTTGCTTTCGGTCCTGCTGTTTTATCACAGCAATAGAAGGCTGACTCTTTGCCTACATCCCCAGTGCAACTTGGATGCTGAGGGCCTAACTTCTGGTTTAGGTATACTCTGATCCCAGAGTTGCGTTTTGAACTCCTGTAGGGGGAAACACAGTTGTATCTCCTGTCCCGGTGCCTGCTTGGCTCAGAGAAGACGTGTAGGTGTCTACTGAACCGAAACTCTTCTTTCAGGACTTGGAGGGAAACAACAGTAGGCCAGCATCCAGGGAGATGCCTGGGCAGCAGCAGTAACTGCTAAGGGGTTGGGCGGGGGTGGGGTCCGGAGAGGGGTGGCTTGCATTTCAGAGGAAGTAGACCTGGATCAGACACCAGCTCCATTCTGTCTGCTGATGTTGGTTTCTTGCCGGAAGGCTAAAGCTTCTTGCCATTAATGTTTTGGTTTCACCCGAGTCTGGAGCAAGAATGAGACAAGAGTCTGAAAGCCTGGCAAGTGCTTCGAGCAGGCATAATGCGGTCGTGTCCAGACCTGATGATCCTCGGATCCCTGAATTACTACCCAGTCAAAAACTTAAAAAAAGGGAAAACCCTGCTCAAATTACCTAATGGCAGTAACACAAAGACACCAAATACGCGCGCGCGCGCGCACACACACACACACACACACACAAGCACAGGCACACACACTACGTGTGTGCTACTCACATCATTGCCGGTAGTCTCTGACACGGGCCACCTGGCTGCCGCTGCCGTTGCCTGGGTACCGAGCCTGGGTTTGCGGAGGCGGCGGGGAGGCTCGGTGGCTGCGGATAACCGGGAGGTCTAGGGGCGCGGCGCAGGGCGGGGCGCACGGGTTCTCGGCTCGGTGCGCTCAGCTCAGCCCGAGGAACAACCCCGTCCGCTTGCCCGAATCCTCTGCTCCCCCCTTCCTCACAGGGCTGGGCGCCAGCAGCCTGGCTCACTCACTGTTCCTAAATTCTGTGATCCCACGCCACCTCCAGGACTCTCCCTGTCTTCTCAGGGACTGTGGAGAGGCAGATAACAAACGGCAGGGTGAAGCCTTGGTTTATCGCTGTGAACCTCTTGCTGTGGCTGTTTTTACACTGGAACCCTCCCAGCAGCCCTTTATTTTTATTTCTGATTTCCAGTTTGGCGTCTTCCTTTCCTACTTTTCTCCTTTTCTTTTAAAGAAGAGTTGAAATTTGTTATATTTTAAGATAGATTTTTAAACACTAGGGTTAAGGGGGTGGAGTGGTCCCAGTCAGAAAGACACGCCCTTCTCAAAGGAGAATTGCTCCCATCCCTTACCTGGTTTCACTCCTTGAGCAAATGCTCAGTTCAATCTTGGGTTTCCGGGATGCAGGTGCATCAAATTTCTACGCCAGACAAAAATCATGGGTGACTCTTCTGGCCCATCCTTGGAATGAACCTAGGCTCCATCCAGTACCCTTTCTCGGAGGCAATAAAATGATTTTTTTCCCCTAAAATAGTCTCATTTCTAAAACTTGCAAAAATTTCCATCCTCATCAGCTTCCTCATCTGCAGGTCCAAGACACATTTTCCTTTCTTCCCCCATTGGTCATATGATGCTCATTTGATATGTTTCTTTATTTGATTGGCATGAGTGGAAAAATTGAACTTTTTGGCTAGATTCATTCCTGCTTTCATGGCTTATAACATCTCAGCTCGGAGAGCAGTGGCTGAAGATCTCTGCTCTTGGGATCTATGCTGTAGAATTCACCATGTTTAAATGAATTCATTTCTCTCCAGCACTGCGTGAACCTGCTCTCAGCACCCAGTTCTTCATTATTCTCAACTCCAGGGTTCCGTTCACTTACTAGATAACGAGTTACACCATTTTGATCATGATACCCAAAAAGGAAGACATGGCATTTAGCCCAAATCCCTAATTTCATACACTGAAAAACTAGCCAGGCAGGCCTGGTGGCACAGTCTATAATCCCAACACTACTGAGGCAGGAGATGGTGGTATCAAAGCCAGTGTGAGCTGCAGAGTGAGAAGCTGCTTTAGTGAATACAGACCAGACAACTAAACCACAGGGCAGGCTGGGTGGCCGGGTGTAGCTCACAACTCAGTCCACCACCTGCTTGGAGAATACCTGATCAGAACCCTAACTAACCTTACCAATGGAGTTGCTGGCAGTGCTACTCCAATACCCTTTGTTGTGAATTTCAATTCAAATCCATCTTCATACACGGAATGTCACCCCTATCCTGGGTGATTAAGTCTCTCTGAGAAAAGGCAAAGAGAAAGTGCTGGCTTCCTATCATACCGTCTTTGGAGCGGACACCAAACAGCTCACACAGACAATCTTAAAGCCGAAAGAAATCACTCGTAAATGACGCTGTAGTTACCTTCATAAATTCACTTATTTCCTTTCCTTTCACTTGTCTCCTGTTAGTGCCTTACTTAGATTTATGCAGAGCCTGTTTTCAGAGTTATGAGCCTCTAACTTGTTACCTGGAAATCGTTGAAAAACATCGCTGAATTTAATCTGCAAAAATCCTCTCAAATTGCCTGTACTGCGCCCTAATTATATATTCCTAGTCTCATATTGGGTATAATTGCTGATTTTAATAAGCAATGTCTAGACTAAGAAAATAGCGCTAATATGTGGTAATCACTTGGTCACTTTTCTTTTACAAAACAAGACAAAGTGTAGCTGTCAGTTAGAATTCCTCTCCTGTGTCATTAAAGCCAGCTTCCTTTCTACCTGTGGCGTGCATTGACGGTGGTGTAAAGATCTCAGGCTGGTATCAACAAACAGCAAGGCCGAACTTACAAAAGCATCTCTGTTCTGAAAAATAAAGTGAAACTGGAAATATTTTTCTTTTAAAAGTGTTTTCTTTATAGTCATAGTTTCATTTTACTTACTGCTATAAACTAAGGTATCCTTCCCACATACCTAAGTTAAAACCTGAACCCCCAATGTGATGCTGGTAAGAAGTCCGGCTTGGGGAAGCAATTAGGTAACAAAAGGTTCTCTCTAGTTAAGGACCCATGCCTTTCTAAAAGATCTGGGTTCTTTTCCTCCTCTTTTCTTAAGAGAGGACACAGCAATGTGCCCCTCTGAATCCCGGAAATCAGAGCCCTATGAGAAACAATGTATCTAAGTGCCTTGCCCCTCCACCGCCCCCCTGCCCCCCCTCACATGTTGGCCTTCACACTAAGCTGCAAATGTCCAGATTTTATAGCCATAGTCTTTTGTAATAGTTATCTGCTATGCCAGTGGGATCTCACAAACCTTTGCTGATTTTAAAAACTACTCTTTTGATTTATACATTTTATTTGGTTTGTTTTCCATTGTTTCAGAAGAGACAGAGTCTATTGAAAGACTCCACTCTTGGGAACAATCATTAAAAGGGGCTGTTTTCACGAACGTCATTCATAGGAGAGGTGATCATTGAGTCAGCTGCTTCTCCCTTTGAGCGGGAAGAGCCTGCCTCCTCAGCAGGAGTTTCCAGCAGTCACAGGCTCCAGCCTCCATCAATGATGACAGGGTTGCCCGTTACATAGGCAGACTGCAAGGAAAAGCACAGGGGACACACAGTTAGGCACGCTGGACCCAGGGTGTAGTTTGGACATTTCTTAGGACTGGGATAAACAAAACCTTTGATGCTCATGCTAACAGGAAACCGTAACTGAACTGTTTGGATGACTTAGAACAGCTGAGCATACCATGACCTGGAGCACATGGCCTTAAGCAGATGAGTGGGTCACAACGCGTACAGTCTGTTTGCCTTCAGAATCACAGTCTTAAGGAGAGGTGGTAGAAAGTGCACGCAGAAACAGCACTTGCTCTATCATCTTATTCTGAAGCTCAGAACCATTCAAAGTTGGGTAACTTTCAGACCACTAACGAGTGTTTTTCATGTGTGCCAGTCATTAAGTGGTTATATTAACAATGGGGAAAAGAGAATGTTTATTAACTGATAAATTCATGAATGCACACAAAATATACTTTTAAATCTACATAGGTAATCATTATTGCAATACACTAACGGGTCAAATTTTACTTCATGCTAGACTCAGATGCCCAATTATGTGTAACACTCAAGGGTCTTAAAGAAATAGTTATTGGCTTCTGTTTGTAAACATTCCATTTCCCAGAGAACTAAAGCTGAAGTCATGGTAGAAGTTTAAAAATATCCTAACTTGCCAGGCAGTGGTGGCACACGCCATTAATGCCAGCACTCAGGAGGCAGAGGCAGGTGGATCTCTGTGAGTTTGAGGCCAGTCTGGTCTACAAGAGCTAGTTCCAGGATAGGCTCCAAAAGCCACAAAGAAACCCTGTCTTGAAAACCAAAAACCAAAAACAATAACAACAACAAAAATCCCAGCTTGTCTTCTGGACATGGACATGACAAGACCCTTGAAGTCAGGTGTCCACAGCAGCTGAGGCTACCACTCCATGTTAAGAGGGAGGGAGGGAATGGTAAAGTCCTTCTCTTAGCAAAAGAGCTTTTGGCCTTTCAGGGCTGCTGGGGGAAAGGAGTCATTCTTCCTTAGTACTGTAGCCACTGGTAGTCCATTCGCATAAATAACCCCACACCCACGCTTTAGAGGAAGCAACCCCGTGTATGCTCAGAGGGTCATTAAAAAAAAGACATGAAAGGGGAGGAGACTGTTGAGAAGAAAGGGCACAAAGGAGATGGGAGAAAGAGAGTAATGGGAGTAAACATACATTATATAGATGTATGAAATTGTCAAAGAATTAAAAAATAAAAAAATCTATTCCCTTAAAATGGATAATAAACTCTCATGTTCGTCTCCTTAGTTTGACAGAGATCTGAAGCTGAAATCATTGAAAGAAGCAGAAGAAAATACATTTTTTTAAAAAAAATTTAAATACATGAAAACAGTAAAGTGTTTCCTTCAGTAATAATTTTCCTAGCAATTCCCTAGCTTCTAGGAACTGTTGCCAACAGTCTTGAGGAGTGGTACATAAACCATCTCAACCATCTGGGGGGCACTAAGTTACTGTGAAGAGGAACTAATAGGCAATCCCCCCCCCACCCCACCCCCCTCCGAGAAAGCAGTAGTCCCTCTGAGAGGGAGTGGAGGCTCAGGGCACCCTGGAGGCACACAAACTTCACACACCTGGGGAAGTTACAGCAGGCAGGATTCTCAAAGGCTCTGCCCCACCCTCCTGCTTTAGAGGCAGATACTGCTGGAGGCGGGCTTTTCAGTGACACAATCATCCCTGCCCCTGTTACTAGCCCCTTGCCCACACTTCTGTTAGTGACCTGGGTAGAAATGCGCTGGTTCACCAAGTTAAACACTGGTGCAACTGTTATTCTGTCTCTCGTGCATGCAGAACAGAAGAGGATGTTTTTAGCGCTCTGTATCTTGTAGGAGTTTTTGCTTTATCAATCATACACACTAGTCATTGGGGAAGAAATTCGTTATTAAACAACTGTAAAGTCGAAGAGACAGAATCAGGCATTTCTACACACAATGACAAACAGGAAGGGGAAAAGTCATGGACCCTCCCAATCAGGTCACTAGTAAACTAAAACGACATATCCCAACTCTACCCCCAAATACAATTTAAGCTGGTGAGCCTGCTCATATCCCCCCTTCAACTCTCACAAGCAAGAGGGTTTTATAAAATTACATTTTATTTGTTGTGTGTATGTGTGTGTATGTGTGTATGAATGCATGACATGCCAGTGAAGGTCAGGAAACAACTTTAGGGAGTTCGTTCTCTCCATTCACCAGGTGGGTGACGGGCTCGAGCTTAATGTCATCAACTGGGCAGCGAGGGTCTTTACCCGTGAGTCATCTTGCTAGCCCAGGAGGTTTTTATATTTAATCAGCGTGCCAATAACTATAATTTTAAAAAGCAAATAACTCAAATATGCACTTTAAATTTTTCCCTATTCATGTATGACATTACACTGAGTCATTTACAGCTGAACAAGGAAGGGCCACTGTCACCGATAGGGGTGGCTTTTCTTTTTTTTTTTTTTTTTGTTTGTTTTTTTGTTTTTCGAGACAGGGTTTCTCTGTGGTTTTGGAGCCTGTCCTGGAACTAGCTCTTGTAGATCAGGCTGGCCTCAAACTCACAGAGATCCACCTGCCTCTGCCTCCCGAGTGCTGGGATTAAAGGCGTGCGCCACCACCGCCCGGCCAAGGGGTGGCTTTTCTTTGTGTGAAGGAAATCTGCCACACACCGCGCCCCCGTGACTACACTCTGTGCGCTGGCACCCAGTTTGCGAGCTTTGGGCAAGGGGGCTGGAGGTTAAAATACACAGACACACACAGACAGAGAGACAGCAACACGGGTCATCCTTGAATTCCCCAAGAATGCCCCCTTTATTGTGTTCAGGGGCAGATTATATAGAGATAGCCACGCCCCAGCCAAACCCACCAGAAACCACTCTCCTGCCATCAGGAACTCCTGAAGGTCTCGTGCTCAGAGCAGCTGTAGGCACTCAGATCAGGGGATTACAAGAAATTCAGGATCTGGCGTCTCACTGCTCCCAACAGAAATCAGAACTTATTCCTATCATGTGACATAGACCACAGACTCGTGGAGCTGTGATGAGGACGAGCAAACAGCAGCCCAGTCTGGTAGAATAACAAATAGGAAGAGAAGCGCTTACCTCATCCGAGGCCAAGTACACACAGAGCAGGGCCACTTCTTCTGCAGACGCAAACCTTCCCGTCTTCTGTCTGTTTAGGAAAACTTGCAGTGCCTGTGGCCAGAGACAGTTACAGATGAAAAGAGGCGGGCTGGCTTGCGTATGTCCCTGTAACACCATCAAGGAATCTACAGATGGACTAGGGCCATCAGGTGGGCTAGCCCACGCAATACTATCAAGGAATTTATAGAGGGACAAGGGCCATCAACTAAGGTTGCTGTGACTTTTTCCACCCATGTTACCCAAACTAGTCACGATACACTGAATCTACAGATACTGCGATCAGTAAGAAAGCAACTAGAGTTGGGCGTAGTGGCATGACGCCTCTGATCCCTGCACTCAGGAGGCAGGGACAGATGGATCTCTGTGAGTTTGAGGCCAGCCTAGTCTACAGAGTGAGTTCCAGGACAGCCAAGGGCTACACAGAAAAACCTTGTCTCAAAAAAGCAAAACAAAAAAGAAAAACCCCAAACAACAACAACAAAACAAACACAATTAGAACGCCACTAGGAATGGCCATTGAGATCAGTATGGGAAGCTGAGGAAGGAGGGACACAGCGACAGCCAGTCCGGGATGCACAAGACTCTTCACCTCAGAACAACAACAAAGCATTAGCAGACATAACATCAAACTGAGCATCTCAGCCACTTTCAGTGCACAGCTCGGGGGTAATAGTACACACACACCCTGTGCCACGAGTAGCAGGCTCCATTTCGCTTTTCATCATGCAAACTGAACACCTCCCTCTACTCAGCAGTAACGTTCTTCTCTCCCAGGTGTGGTAGCCACTGCTGTACTTTCTGTCTCTGTGGATCTGTCTACTCTTGACAAGGAACAGGGCATTTCATGTTTTTCAAAAAAAAAAAAAATTTTGGTCAAAAGGTTTGAACACATTCCAGCCGCAATGTATAATTACCTCTTTGGGGTCGTCTCTGGCTTGTATTCTTTCTTGCAAAGATGGAGTGTCAACCGTTCCTAAACCAAAGGAGACAGTGACTGTGGTTACATCAGTTGAAAATGGAATTAAACCTTAAATTTCTTTTACTCATGATAAGCAGGCAGTGAGATCTTTGCCCTTCCACTTAAATGACACCTGCCTGGATGCTAGGGGTGATAACTTTTGTAATGTCATCAAAACGCTTTTTAAACACACACACGGTGATTCTCTGGGACACTAGGCTGGGATGCCGGAGGAGTTACCAGGCGTTCTTGGCGACACACTGTCATGCTGCATTTACTTGCTGATTTTAGATGCGTGTTTTTGCACGCCATCTCAAGTGATGCGTGTTTTTGCACGCCATCTCAAGTGATGCGTGTTTTTGCATGCCATCTCAAGTGATGCCCACAGGGGTCTCGAGAGAAGCAGAAAGAAGCAAATCTGAGTGTCACCAGTTTGCCTTAACGATTTCAAACCCTTCTTTTCTGCTGTGATGTTCCACGGGGATCCTGGGCTTAACTTTATGGTTGCCACAGACCTCATGCTTGTGTGGAGCCATGGCCTTAGGGTCTCAGTCACATCCTGCTACACACAGCAGCTCTTTCACCTCGGCGGGGTCACTCACCCCCTCCGCAACAGTGGGAATCTCCACTGCACTGCAGAGGAGACATTCCACTTACCAATTTACAAAATCTTCTTCATTTTGCTTGTCAATAGCTTACTTAAAGTGCAAACGTCTACCAATCAATGCTCGCCCCATAGTATCTGTAACAGTCCTCAAAATCCTAGCGCTGTAAGTGCTGAGCGGGTGTCATATTTTATACGGGGCCACCACTGATAACATGAGATGAAAACCATGTCCTCAGATCAATGCCACTCCACTGGTGTCTGCCATGCCATGTCTGCACGCGTGGCTGGAGCGTGGTGACTCACAACCATGGGCACTACCCAAGGTGTGCTCACTCCTCCTTTGCTTCTGGGGCGGCCTCCGTGAATCACAGCTAGTTCCCTGTTCCAGAGTTTAATGACATATTTTCCAAGTCCTATAAAAATTCTAGCCGTGGACACAAAAACATTTTTGAAATCTTTTGCCATTTTTCTCCTGGTAGCCATTCAGATCAGCTGTAGTCAAGAAATGAATGTCGAGAGTGTCCTTTTTCTGCGACGCTCGTGTGGCTGCATTTCCACACCCCGAAAACGACACAGACCATCTTAATCTCTGCAGCTCAGACACGAAGGGTATTCAATAGTGTCTCCTGTGTACGTCTGTGGCTCCCAACCCTAGAGTCAAATAGACTCTAGGACTTCCCGAATGACACACAAATCTCCCACCAATGCACGCTCTCCATTCTGGCATGCCCATCAGGTGAACCATCCCAGCTCTGGCTGTAAACTATTGAAAACCTTAGTCCGGGACATACAACACTTCTTTTCAGAGCTTAAATTCCTTGGCTTTAACACTTTTCTTATGGCAGTGATGGGAGGAGGCAGTTGTAGCAAAAAGACCTCTGTTGCCTTTGATTTTTGGATAACCCCCTGTTCTTGCCTGTTTCCTTATCTGTGTCAGACACCAGGTGCTCCTCCACCTGCAGTGACGCAGTGCCAGCAGCCACGTTATCACCCGTCACCAACTTCACACCCGTACCCTTGGAAAGGTCCCCGCCATCACAGACTATGCTCCTGCTCTGTCTGTCGTCTCTGTTCTCTCTCGGCCCCAATAAATCTCTTCCATGAGCTCTGTTGCATGGTACAGTCTCCACGGCATTCCTTGGCTCTGATTCGCCAAGGTTACATGAAGCAGCAGCTTCTGCTTTGATAGATCTTCTGTTATCCAGTGCTTTTCAGTGTGCGGTGCACTAGTGTATGGTGTGTCAGTGTGTGGTGCATCAGAACTGCTCCCCCCCCCCCAGCTGTGAGTCTGAGAATCACTTTTATTTCAAACTTTGAGAAACCACCCGTGAATGGTGGCCTGAGATATCTAGGTTTCCACTGGCACTGTTCGGTGCCCTGTGTTCATTTTGGGTTGGTGGAACTAGAAGGAAGTACACTTGCGGTGACCTAGAAACGGTGCCTCACCCACAGTTGTTAAGAAAAGTGGTTTTAGCCGGGCGGTGGTGGCGCACGCCTTTAATCCCAGCACTTGGGAGGCAGAGGCAGGCGGATCTCTGTGAGTTCGAGACCAGCCTGGTCTACAAGAGCTAGTTCCAGGACAGGCTCCAAAACCACAGAGAAACCCTGTCTCGAAAAACCAAAAAAAAAAAAAAAAAAAAAAAAAGAAAAGTGGTTTTGCTGGGTGTAGTGATGCATACCTCCAATTCTAGTAGTGAGGGGGTACAAGAAGGCTGATCCTGTGAGACACACAGTGAGTTCCGGCAGCCAGGAAGCCAGACAAACAACACAGGAAAAGCAGAGCAGTGTTCTTGCTTCTTTGCAGGAAGGTGGCCATACTACTTTCATAATGGGAGCAAATATTTTGGTTTTGAGAGTCATGTGATCTGTTGCAACCTCTCAACTCGGCCTTTGCAGCAAGAATGCATCAACTATCCAGGTGGGAGTGTCTCCAGTAAGCTTCCCTTATAAAACAGGCCACAACATCCTTGATTGAGGAGCCATCCTAGCGTTGTTTGGGATTTGGCAGACCCCTGTGTTCCACGAGGCTCCCCTTTCTCTCTCTCTCTGCTGACTCATGGGTGTGTTCTCCCCTGATAAGGTCAGCATGGTCTGCTTTTAAAACAACAGATTCTGGCAAATTTAGCGTCTCAGCCTCTTAAGTCTAAACTGTCCCTCATATGCTGGATTTTAAATCCTTCTCATTGAGGTTTCTTCCCAGTGACTTGGAACTTTTTGTTCATCCAAAGCTGAACTGTTCTCTTCACTGGGCCAACCTTTAGTTTAAATGTCCCTCAATGATGAAAAGAAACTGAACACATGATAAACAAGCTGGTGAAAATGTTGCCTATGGTGCCTAACGCAAGGTAAGAAAGGCCAAGTTGGCAGCCCTCTCTGCCCGGCTCACCTGGGCACACACAGTTGCATCTGATGCCCTGCTGGATGAAGTCGGCAGCCACAGACTTGGTGAGACCGATTACAGCTGCCTTGGTTGCGCTGTACACACATCTGTTTTCCACCCCTGGATGGGAAGGGATTAGAGACATAGCTTCCTTTAGAAAGGAACACAGCTCCATCCCCACCCACCATGTTCACAGTCTTCCCATCAGCTCTTTTTTTATTATTTACTTATAATAAAAATGAAATCAGCTCTCCCTTTAAAGAATGAATGGCCTTGGGTTTTCTCTTCTCCCGTAAAGGCAACAGAGACAGTTTCTGAATGCAGAAAATGCTACCGTTATAGGCGGGACCTAACTTGGACTCTGGGGTTGAGATGCTGCACCTAGTCTGTCGCAGCCACCTGATGCTCACTGTCAGTACCGTTGCAGGACACCCTCGTTCCTCTCTAGATCTTCCTGCGTGAAGAAACAAAACGTCCATCTCCCTTGCATTCCGCTCACATGTATTTCACGCACTTATAAGGGGCAGAATGCTGTCTCTGCAGGGATTTCATCTTAAACTCTCAAATCCATCACTGCCGGGCTGTGACATTCTCTCCATTTAGTCCCAGCCCTTTGGTTTGGCTTCCCTTCCAGGGCCCGCTTCCCTGTCTTAGCTGCAATCTCAGACTCGTGCTCACTGGGATCTCTCTCATATGGGGTACTTTGTGTAAACCTCAGCTCCAAGGAAGAATATGGAATCAGGAGCTGAATCTGGCAGTGCCCACCTGTAACCTAGCCCTGCAGAAGCAGAGGTGCGAAAATAAAGGAAGGGGAGGTCAAGTCAGCTTCGCTGACCTAGTGAACTTGAGGCCAGGGGCTTCCTGACATGCCATCTATGAGAAGCACAAGACAGGATTTGTCCCCTTGTGTACTGAGAATTTTGGGGGGAACAGACTCAAGGGGCATCCAGCTCAGCTTGAACTCAATGTATCATTTTGGATCACTTCGGTGATGAATCTTTTCTTCTCCTAACTCAATTTTTACTAATTCAATATAAAAAGAATAAAAGGAAAGGCAAAGACAGCATTTTTTTAATTTAATTTGATGAGCAGCACATCTATCTGTACAACAGACGCGATGACATAAGCTTTAAGATCACTTTTTAAAAAAGCTGTTCTGAATTCTCATGTGAGTTTTAGGATTTTGTGTATGCTTAGTTCTAAAATACACGGCTCATGAAAGTGTGTGTGTGTGTGTGTGTGTGTGTGTGTGTGAACTCAGTCCCCCGCCCCCCACCACAAGGAAGACGCTAGTACCTTTGATGCTCGAGGCCACAGAAGACATGTTGATAATGTTGCCAGATTTCTGAGCAAGCATCTGCAAGACAAAGCAAACACATCTCTGCTCTGCAGGCAGAAGCACGAGCTCACTGCCACACTGCATTGACTCCTAGACAACCAGACCTCTTCCTTTGTTTTTCATTCTTCTGGAGACAGGCTCTTCTTACAGCCCAGACTGGCCTTGACTTCAGCCTCACAAGGGCTGGGATGGCAGGAGTGTACTACCAGGTTGGGCTCAATTTAATTATCTTATTAGCTACTAACTTCAAGCTCCATGAAACAGTCTTACAGAGGAACCCTTAATCTTTGCCCATGCATTGCTGAGAGTCGGTGGCACATCCAAACACCCACTGGCATTCCTAAAGCATGCCACCCCCTCCTATGGGTACAACATTATCAGTAAGACCAAGAATGAACCCTGAGCTAAAAGGCCAGGAGCAAACATCAGTGTGTTCTTGATGGGGGCAGACAATGCTTTATGTGAATTGAAAGTCACGGGACATAGTCTCTGCCCACAGGAGACACTCGTCTGATTGCAGAGGCTGATGTAACAAGAAGCCAGCAACAGGAGAAACCTGCAGAAAGCCGAGGAGAGGATGGGGTAGGAAGGGCCTCTCTGGGGCTGGGGCATTGCAGAGGAGCTACTGAGGAGGAGAAAAAGGGTTAAAACTATGTCAGTCATAGAAGGAGAATACAAAAACCAACGTGCTTCAAGGAGGAGGTTCTACAAGTGTAAGGTCTCCACAAGGGACCAGGAGGAGGGGATGGGTCTGGCTGGAATGGAGGCCTGTGAGCAATAAGGGTGCAGAGTGGAACCTAGGCCACCCCGAAGAACTTGGGTTTGACCCTGAAGGCACTGCAGTCACAACGAAGGATCTAAGGTGGAAGAGAAGTGGAACCTTCAATTTGGGGATTACAGAGCTTACTCTGGTGCCAGGAGCGGAGCAGGGGAGGCAGAGGCAGTGGCTTGGGAGAGCGTGGGAAAAGCAGAGCTGTGGAATGATCCAGGACACAGGTGGAGTGTGCTTGCTTGCTCAGCATCCTGGAGCGTCACCACGCCGATAGAGAGGATCAGCAGCACACTGAGAGGGAGCACCAACACAATAGGACGGCCACCCCTCGCTAAAAGGTGGCAGCATCATGAGGAGGGTCTCCGGTACCTAGAAAGGACACTCCAGTGACTCACTTGGTACAACTTTCAAATGCAGATGCAGGGCCCTGGCCCAGATCTGAAGTCATGTGCCATGAACAATGCTATTCGGAATTTTAATTTGGATGTTATTGATCATTACTCAGATACATGTTTCCAGGTAACAGATCAAGGAAGGTATGGGCACCTATGGATGTTTTGGGAGAATAAACAAGGAGTCGAGAGAACTTCTGGGGTTGGGTACCAGTTTCTCAGCGAAGTCACTTGTCAGATGGAGGTCACGGAAAAGAGTAAAGGCAATGAAGAGGGAGCGTGGCACAGAGTTCAGACAGCTGCTGGGAACAGAACACACGCTAGAAAACAGGATGCCTGGCGTGTTTGTGACATAACGGAGATCAGTTCATCGTGGTTCTTTCCAGAAACTGATCTTGACAGGCAATGTAAAGGACTTAGAGAGAAACATCTCTCCTGTTGGGTGAGTTTCTTTACCAGGTTTAGAAGAAATGTAGGAAAGGAAAGGAGTTTTGTGACTGATGGGTCCAGAGCTGGGGTGGCCAAGATCATCTACTTCCTTGTGGTATCTTTCTTACTCTCCATATTCATACCTGGGCTAATTATACCCAAGATCAAAGAGTACAGGACAAAGTGCAAGGCACTGGGCTGCAGGGGCTAAGAGCTCACAGGTGGGGCTGAGGTGACCAACCATGGCTGGGACACAGCAGGCGGAAGCAACATTCATTTATATGTATCTTTCTTTTGAGATATTGTTTCTCTGAGTAGTCCTGGCTGTCCCAGAGCTTTGTAGACTAGGCTGGCCTAGAACTCAGAGATCCTCTGCCTTTTAGTGCTGGGACTAAAGGTGTTGTGTCACCACGTCAGGCTGCAATGTGTCTTTGTACATGATAAAGGGGACCAAAAAGTCAGGCAGAATGCCTCCTCTTCTGCCTCCTGTCTAGCACCCAGAAAGGCAGAGGAAGACAGATCTTTCTGAGTTCAAAATTAGTCTGGTCTACATGGCAAGTTCTAATATAGTCAGGGACATGTAAGACCCCACGTCAAAAAAAAGGGGGGTGGGGGTTAAAAATCTTAAAGGATGAGGAATAGTCATGATGTATAATAATGCAAACAAAAACAAAACCCCAAACCAAAACCCAACAACAACAACAAAAACACAAACCCAAGTTTTCAAATAATTTCTTTTCTTATCTGGTTTATCAATTTTTCTTATCTAACATAACTTACTTATAATACTTAGATAATATACATAGCTCAGTTTAGTATATAGACTGGCTGTGATACAGGCTGTTTCCAGTCTTCTGAAATACAGGGAGTTTCCAGGGCAAAACTCAGGCCTCGGTCACCCCAGTGGTGCAAATCATATCCTGGCACTCCCACCACCCACTCAGTTCCACCTACTGCTTCCCCGGCTCTGTACCCCGCCCCTTGTCCTTTTCCAGGCTCTCTCCCTGGGACAGCATAGGCTGTCACAGCTCATGGCTCCTCTTGGCTCCCTGGGAAGTGGCATTTTTCTGATGGGGAAGAATGTGAGGTGATGGGCCTAGAACAACTGACTTCCAGGAAACTCAAGCAGAGGATCTTTCTGTTTGAATCTAGTTAGTCCAAGTCAGACTCTGCCCTTCTGTCCCCATTGCCAGAGCTCAGCTCAGCTTGTCATTTCTTGGCATTCTGAGTCATTAGATCCAATATGTGGCCTCTCTTTGGACTGAGAAATCTGATTCATTTAGTCAGTGTTTGCTAAATCCTTCTATGTGACAAACCCTGAGAAGACACAGCCAGGGGGAAAGTCAATAAAATGCAGACCCAAAGAGCAAAGACATCCCCCAGATTTTGCCAGGATGGATCTTCTCTTCTAGAGAGCCCGACATTCTGCAGTTACTCTTCTCACGCTATTTCCAGCTTGGTCTCTGCCTCTTGGACTGGTTTTGCAAGCTAGGAATGGTTTGCTGCACATTTATCTGTGAACAAAAGTCTTCTACAGTTATTCCTATGTTTTGACCAAATGACCTTTCAGATCTACATGGGTTTTACATCCTGGAAATTTTTAACCTGGTTAAATGTGTGTCATTGTTAATGATACAGCAAATCCCTGGACAACCAGGGCTGGAAGTGACATGAAATGTGTCCTCCTCATCCTTAGAGGAACGAGACACACAACGAGAAGGCGCAAGTGCCACCTCCTAGGGCATACAGCCTAGCAGCTCAGCATGTGTTTAGGAACCCAAGTGCAAATGTCCGAGACCAGGAGTCAAGGGCAGTGTCATCTTTCCCACTAAAACTAGGCTGTGCTGTGAAGCCCCCTTCTGGGCTCAAAGTTCCCAAGTGTTGAGACCGCAGGTGTTTTCTCTGCACCTGTGCAGAAGCCACTCTACACAAGTGGTGCCAAGTCCTTCTAATTCCACCTTCCAGTCATGGATACTGTTTTCTAAAAACGAAATGTATTTTGTCATCGTTAGGATCATGAGCTCATGATCTGGCATGGATGTCTTAAAAAGCTAAAAACTTAACTTCTACCTGCACTGTGCCTTGTGCCCACCCCCGTCTTAGCCTCTGCTTCAGACCCGCAGCAGGCTGGGGTTGCACATGAGTGGGCTATGTGTAGCTGCCTTTTTCTTTCGACCACCAACCAGCTCCCAATTAAAGAGACTTATTATTAATTATGAACGCTTGGCCTTAGCTTAGGCTTGTTCGACTAGCTCTTTTAACGTACTTTAACTTTTTTTTTCTATTCATCTACCTTTTGCCTTGGGGCTTCTTACCTTTCTTTCATTCCACATGTCCTACTTCCCTGCTTCCTCTGCATCTGGATGGCTGACCCGTGGCATCTCTTTGTCTTTCTTTCCTGAGCCTAAATTCCTCCTCCTACTTAATCTCCCTGCCCGGAAGTCCTGCCTATACCTCCTTCCTCACTATTGGCCATTCAGCTTTTTATTAGACTAATCAGGTACCTTAGGCAGGCAAGGTAAAACAGCAACACATCTTTACATAGTCAAACAAATATTCTGCAACATAAACAAATGCAATACATCTTTATATAGTTAAACAAATGCAGCTCTTCTTTTCATAGTTAAACAAATATTCTGCAGTAGATATGTGTGCTGTTCTCTGTGCCCTAGGCTTCTCCTTCAGTTCTTACCCCCAATCCTATACTAAATGTTGGTCTTCAACAAATCCATTAAGGTCCCAAGCAACATCTATAGACTTTAAAAGGTTAACAGTTTTACTTATATGTGTCTACTCATTTTACAGGTTTACTTTATTTTTATTCAAGTGTAGGTGTTTCTGTGAGGGCACACTACATGTATGTGGATGCTCTAGAGGCCAGAAGAGGATCTTGAATGCTGCAGGTTGCAGTCACTACAGGGAACTGAACTCATGTCCTCTGGAAAAGCAGCAAGTGCTCTTAACCTCTGCGTCATCCTCCTGCCTGGAAACATACTTTTGAGGGAACAGCAAGTCCAGTATTATGTGGACTGATCAAAGATCCTTTTAAAGCATTAATCAAGTACTCCAAAGCAGACCTTCAAGCTGGGCGTGGTGGTGCGTGCCTTTATTCCCAGCACTTGGGAGGGAGAGGCAGACAGATTCTGTGAGTTCAAGGCCAGCTTGGTCTACACAGTGAGTTCCAGGAAAGTGAGTTACGCAGTAAGGTAGTGTTTTTGGCGGGAGAATGTATACCTTCCTTGGAGCTGAATGGGTTCTGTCTTCTGTCAGGCCCATTCACTGTCTGCTCCTATTGGTTTAAAAACTCATGCCTGGTCAGGGTCACACACCTTCAACATTTTACACCCTACCAGAGCACCCAGAAGAGTTCTCCACTCTAAAGGCACATAATGATATGTTTGAAAAGGAAAATGTAGGTTGGACATGGTGGTGCACATCTTTAATCCCAGCACTGGGGAAACAGAGACAAGCAGATCTCTGTGAGTTCGAGGCCAGCCTCCTAGTCACCAGCCAGGGTCACATAGTGAGACTGCGTCTCAGACAAAAGAAAGGGGCTGGAGAGATGACTCAGTAATTAAGAGTATTGGCTGCTTTGATGCCTGTAACTCCAGTCCCAGGGGATCTGATGCCTTCTTCCGGCCTCTGGGAATACACAGATATACATGCAGGTAAAACACACATAAAATATTAAGATAAAATAATTTTAAAATAGAAAAAATGTAAGCCTTTGTGGTGGAAAAAAGCCCTGGGGCATAAGCACCTTGACAGTGCTCAGACCCAGAAGGGTTGCGTGAGCCTGGGCTCCTTTCCTCCCGTCTCAGGCTTGCCCTCTGTGGAGTCAGCTGCTGTGATAAACTTCACTGACCTCACGGGACGATTCTGCTGCAGCAGCAAGAAGCCAGTCCATCGCCTCCTTTCGCTCTCTCTGAGAATCCCAATTTGCCAGGGAGGTCAACGAGGGCCTCACTGTTACCCTAGCTCTTTTGTCCATGTGGTACCCATAACCATCCAATTTATATCACAAGCCAATTGAGTTTCTCGCCCCTCCATAAAGGGACTCTCTTCAAAAAAAGAACTTTGTTACGTTCCTTGGAGGGTTGCCTCAGTGTAGCATGGGGTCTGGCATGTTGAAATGCTTAATCAATATTCCCTGAATGTAAGAACTGGAAAGTTAAACAGATTAATCTCCATAAACTGCCTTGCTATAAAGGCTCAGTCCACATTAGTCAATGTGCTAGCCATGACCACACTCAAATACACATGTGTGCCTATCGTCTGAGGACCCAGCGGGAAAGATGGCGCCCTGCTTATGCTGTCCGTCCCCTTACTTTGGGAAGGAATGCCTTGATCATCAGGTACATGCTGCGGACGTTGAGGTTCATTGAGAAGTCCCAGTCTTTTTCCTCGCAATCCAGGATGGTCCCATGGTGGACAAAACTGAACGAGCAATTAAACAGAGGGGAAAAAAAAAAACCATGATTAAAGACTTAATCATGCAGGGGAAGGCAGGTTTCATGAGTATGAGGTTAGCCTGGTTTACAGAGCAACTTCCAGGCCAGACACAGCTACATAGTGAGACCTTGTCTAAATAAAGAAGATAGACTAGGGACATGGCTCTTGCTGCGAAGCCTAAAGGCAAGAGTTCAATTCCCAGAACCTGTGTAGTAGAAGAGAAGCGACCCCTGAAAGATACATGCCATGAGCTCTCACAAACATGTGCGTGCATACACACACACACACACACACACACACGTTAAAAAAATAAAGAAAGGAAGAAAGAAAAAAGAAATCATTCTTTTGAAAGAACAAGGCAGGAACTGCTAAATATAAGAATCTCTATACCAAGGGCTTTGGAAACTCCAGTGCTCAGAAACAGAAAGGGAACAAGGACAGTGGTTCCATCTGATTCCTGTTTCCAGGGCAACAGTGCCCTCAGGTGGCATAGGGTAAAGTTCTACACAATCTGTGTCTCCCCTTGTCAGTGTAGCAGAGCAACATTGTAGCTGTTTGCATCTGGCACAGTGCACAAAGGAGAAGAACAGACAGATCCTGAATCGACCTTGCCCCCTTGCAAGCCATTCTTCCTGAAGGGAGCTTCCTGAACATGGCATCCTTACAGACTCGGTCCTCTGGACTGAGACTATGCAGTCAAATATAAGATGTAATCGGGAACAGTTCCCGTGTACTATGGGATTTCTGGTTAGTCAGTAAGCTTCCTCTAGCAAGAACCACACACAGTCTCCTGCACCTTCCGCAATGCTGAAGACTGAATGGATGCTCAAAACCCAATTATGATGTCTCCAGATACAGCCTTGTAGAAGGACAAGCGGATCATTTACAAAAGGAAACATCAGGAACCACTGCTTTGCTTAATTTACGTATCTTGCATCAGTGCCCACTCCCTCCTTAGCTTTACTTGTCTGTGGGTCCCAAGTTCACGTCAAACGACACAGTTGTCTCCTTTACTGAATCGTTCAGTGATGTGTGACATCAAGCCTGACTTCCCGAGGAACATGCCGTAGTTTGTCAACTAATCTTTCTTTCATACGATCAACAATCATTTAATAAGCCCATAGAAAACGTTCTCAGACAGAAACCAAAAGTTTACAGTTACCCGGCAACATTGAAGAGCACATCGATTTTCTCGACTTCGGAGGCAAACTGATCAATTTGCTTTTTCTTGGTGACGTCAAGGACCCGGGTTTGGATACCTGAAGAATAAAGTAAAAGACAGTATTTACAAAGAACTCATGAACTACGTAACCTCGAGGATTTGGCTGCTTGGTGGCTGGAATGTGAATAATGTAGCCTTTCCATTTAGGCGGTATCCGACGCAAAGCCAACAAAGGCATTAGCCCTCTCAAGAGTGTCGTTAACTCGCGCAGGTCTCAGGCCAGAGACATGGCTCAGTGGCTAAAAGCGCTTACTGCTATATCAGAGGACTGGAACTCACATCCCAGCCGTCACAGCAGGTGACTCACAGATGCCTGTAACTCCAGCTCTGGGGGAATCTTTTTTTTTTTTTTTTTTGATTTTTCGAGACAGGGTTTCTCCGTAGCTTTTTGGTTCCTGTCCTGGAACTAGCTCTTGTAGACCAGGCTGGCGTCGAACTCACAGAGATCCGCCTGCCTCTGCCTCCCGAGTGCTGGGATTAAAGGCGTGCGCCACCTCTGCCCGGCACCTTTTGGCCTGCGGCACTCACGTATACACCTGCTCACACACACAGATAAAAAGTAAAGTAGATCCTTAGAAACCTCTCCTAAAGATGTACAAATCTTAAAGGGTCATTTTCCGCCCCTCAGCAAATCCCCGTTAGAGTCCACAGCCGTTAAGAGCACGGTCGGCTTTTCAGACCACCTGGATTTGGTTCTTAGCACCCCTGCTAACAACCTTCTGTGACTCCAGTTCAAGAGGCTCCATCGCCCTCTTCAGGCCTCCATGGGCACTGCACCCACTTGGGGCAGGACCCCATCCACACACATCAAATAAAAATAAAAATTAAAAATTCATTAAAAAGCTCTGTGTTACACAGCGGGTTCTACTTTTTTCACGAAATGTCTCTATTTTCCTTCCAGCAAGATAAAACTAATGAGTAAAAGCAACAAACAAACAGAAGACCAATGGATTCCCACCTGCCGCTTAGCTTTTAATGGGACTACGAACATTTTTGCAGGAACACGAGACGATTATACTATGATCTTGGCACAAGTCTGCTCCAGATCAGCCAGGGACAGCTGCGAAGTCATCATTAATAGTTAACCGGACAACTGTTAGTTCTCACAGACCTTTGTAATCGGGAGCAAAGACCCCTCAACAGGTTATGCAACAGGAAACCTTAAGTTCTTCCCTTCAGATTTCCTCCTTCTGCTTCTGCCTGAGCGGACTATTTTCTGCAGATCACAGAACACAGACTCATAACGAAGGAGTCAGACTCTAAGAGACAGGAGTCTGGAGCGGCTCCCAGCGTTTCCTTTCAATGCTTGGCGTCTTTGTTTTCTGATACGTGGCTGATGCCGAACCCGCAGGCAGGTTGCTCACCTGGGTATTTTTCCAGCTCCTGCAGTTTGGATTCGTTGATATCTGTGGCTATGACCTTGGCTCCTTCTCTTGCAAAAGTCTGCCAGAAATAAAATACGAATTGGTCCTTTGTTTACTGGAATAAATTGTTTCAAAAATGGAAAACATTTTTCCTTTCGCTGTGTTTTTTATTGTTTCTGATAAAATAGGCGGAATTTTCATCTACCTAGTCTCGTTTCCACTTATCCCACCATCATTATTTTTATCGGTCATTAGGGCAGCGCAGTATACATTGTATTTTGCATCTGACTTTGTCTTTTTATTATCAAACAATACAGTATTTTTTAAAAACAACTCTAACTCAAGGCTGGAGGGATGGTTTGGTGGTTAAAAGCTGCCTGCTCTTCCAGAGGACCTGGGTTTGGTTCCCAACACCTATACGGCAGCTCACAATTGTCTGTGTCTCCAACTCCAAGAGATCTGATAACCTCTTGTGACCTGTGCAGACCAAGTGTGCCCTCGGCATACATATATACATGTAGGCAAAGCACTCTACATAAAATAAATATAAATAAATATTTAAAAAACCCACAAATCCTAACTCAGAGCTGGGTGTGTTAGCACATGCCTTTGATCCCAGCACTTGAGAAGCAGAGGCACATGGGTAGAGGGGTCTCTGTGAGTTTGAGGCCAACCTAGTTTGCAGAGTTCTAGGCCAACCTAGAACTCAGTAGGAATGCATAGTGAGACCCTGTTTCAACAAACAACCCTGCAATACCTATTTCTAAAATAATGCAGCTATTCTGTGATGAGACCCTATCTATGTTTTTACTTCTTTATTTTTTTTTATCTATTTGTTTATTGTATATGCATTTGTATGTGTGTGGGCATGTGCCACGGTATGCATATAAGAATCATTTTCTCCTTCCAGGGGTCAAAGTTAGGTCTCAGGGCTTAGGTGACAGTGACTTTACCTGCGGAACCAGCTTCATTACCTCCTGGTGCCACTTGTGAGCAACAAGAACAGAGGAAAACAGGACGTTTACCTCCGAGGACTCCAGCAGCGATTTCATAAACGCCAATCACTGACAGCGATGTATTCCTACTGCAGTGTTAAGTCAGGTAGCGGGGTGAGGAGGGAGAAATCGAGGTACCTCAGCAAAAAAACGAGCCGAGAGTTTTGTAACTTGCGGGTCTTAACCTTGAACTGACTGCGTGCCCTGTAGAGTCAAGTCAGCGCCTCACGGTGCAGATAAACTGGGACGGAGGAGTATGATTCCGGGTCAAAGGTTGCGTGACGCTAAGTAAGCACAAGGAATTCCTTCCTTCTTCTCAGTCAGAGACTTTTCTTTTGAACTTAGGATATGTGGGCTGGCAAGATGGCTCAATGGATAGGGGCACTTGAAGAAACTCCTGCACTGTGGGGGCTCCCAGCGGGGGCTCCCTCACAGACCCTGGTTAGGCACAAACTATATCCAAACACCTGTTTTCACAGAGAGATCCTTTATTAAGCAGGGAAGAAAAGTTTAACTGTCTGCTTTCCGATTCAGGCAGAAAACAGCACCAAATGACCTTGCAGGTGTAATCTTTTTTTTTTTTTTTTCCAAGACAGGGTTTCTCTCTGTAGCCTTGGAACCTGTCCTGGAACTCACTCTGTAGACTAGGCTGGCCTGGAACTCACAGAGATCGGCCTGCATCTGCCTCCCAAGTGCTGGGATTAAAGGTATGTGCCACCACCGCCTGGCACAGTTATAATTGTTAAGAAGAAAAAATAGGGGAGGTCTATGTCAGGATGGGCTAGGATGCGGTGTATGTTTTGATTGGGCACGCTAATTAGGTGAACCAAATGAGGCCTTTCATCGCTGGACCTTGACAGCCAGCCTCGGAGGAGGAAGTGGCCAAACAAGGGTTAATAAGGGAATTAATTGGTGGCTAGCTTTAGGGAGGTAATCTACGGTTTACAAGGGAGAGGGAAGGGGGAAAGGCGAGGCAAGGTCTGCCAGTGCCTGTTGGCCAAACCCGGGCTTGCTAGAGCTTTTCAGCACTCACCACACAAACCTAGGGGCTTGAGTTCAACCCTGGAATCCATGGCAAAGAGAAAGGGTAAAACCAATCCCACAGGGTTGTCTTCTCATCCCGGTGCAAGTGCTACCTCTGCTACACACACTGCACACACACGCACGCACACTGCACACACATGCACGCACTGCACATACACACACCATATACCACACCTACCATCCACACGCGTACACACACATTGCACACACATACTCCATACACACACACACCACACACATACACCACACAGCACACACATAGAAGCACACATGCACACACCAACAAACAGGGAAAGACAGAAGTGCTAAAGGTAAGAACAGTGAGAGGCCGCAAACACAGCTCAGTGGCAGGCCTGCGCGCTTAGCCTGCTGGCTTAGCCTGTGGTCTTAGCGTGTGAGCTTAGCCTGCTTGAGGTCCTCGGTTCAATTCCAAGCTGCAACAAGAAAGAAAAATAAGGAGAAAACCAAAGCAAGGGAAGAAGAAAGACAGGGAAGAAAAAGAGAAACCAGCAAACGAGAAGGAAATAACTCTGGCGCCAGTCTGCACACGTCCAGACAGTGAAAGTAAGCCACCGCAGGTGCGAACTTACTAAGGCTGAGGCCCGGCCGATCCCTTGAGCGGCAGCCGTCAGGACAATGACTTTGCCTTCCAGTCGGCCCATGGTGGTGAAAGACCCGTATAAATCCAGGCCCCTCTAGCAGAAAGAGTAGAGCCAAAAATCTAGCAGGGAGAGAAGAACCAAAAATCTAGGTTAGCTGGTTCAGTGACTCTGTTCCAGGAACTAGCTGACTATAAAGTTAGATTACAATCTTGAGAATAATCTTGACAAACGGGGAGTTACCCCCTTGTAAGGATCACTGGTATTTTTTGGAATTTTCCAATGATCACTGGTATTTTCGTAATTTTCCAATGACGCTCTCCCTACCCCCTTTGGGTTGTGGTTTCTTCCCCTAAATACACCCTCTCCCAGCTACTCTACCGCTGCTTGGGAAATGAGTTTTGGCCCCAGTGCACTAATTCCTGTCCTGTCAATAAACCTCTTGTGATGTGTGATGTGTGATTGCAGCAAGGATGGTCTCTCGTGAGTTCCTGTGGGGGGAGGGGAGGGGAGGGTCGTGTTATCGCGAGACTTGAGTGAGAGTCTTTCCCCTCCAGGGGTCTTTCAGTGGAACCAGCAGCTTAATCCAAAGACACAGCCTTGAATGGCCCACGTGCAAATCAGCAGGTGGTAGGTGACACCTGGAATGAACACAGCGACTTGCTCCTTTAATAACGTGGAGGAAGGGCCTCTGTCCACACTGCCCCACCACTCAGTGCTCAGGAGGGCTTCCCCTAGATGCGCCCCTAGCTCAGAAGTGCACAGAGCAGCCCACCGAGGAGATGACTGGCGAGGGGCACTGGGCTGGAGCCCAGCTTTTGTCTCCTTCCCATCCTCTAACGCTGAGACGAGAGAGCTCCCCTTTCCCTCGCCGTCCCCACTGCCTGGCCCACGTTTTAAGGCGTTGTTGTTGCTGCCCGTCCTTGCTGTTTGGGACTGTGTTTTTTAGTTTCTCCTTGGAAAACTGTTAACCTGGCTGGCACTGTTTTGAGAAGGGCCAGCCAGCAGTTTCCCAGAGCCCCAGTAATCAGCATTCCGGGATGAAAATCCCTTGTCTTTCAAGACTCCCCCATTGCCTTCCCTCCCAGAGCCTCCGCCCCCCCACCCTCTGAAAACGAGGCCAGAGGAGATGCTGATCCATCCTGTACCTGACAGTATTGACAAATCTCCCTATTATTTGGTCACTGCTGGCAAAGTCACAAATAAAACACTTCAACCTCCTCTCTGTTCTTCCATCCAAGTCCCCAAGCTACCTCACAGAGGGTGGGCTCAGAAAATAAAAGCCTTCATTGTCTTGAGTCACCTGTTCCTTCCTCTGCAAACTTCTGCTGAGTCACAGAGGCAGACCCCTGAGGTTTATCCTTGTCCCTTGAAAAGATTTCACAGTGAGCCTTAAGATTCACTGACCAGAAGGGCTGGAAAACCAAATCACAGCCCATACCTTCCTTTTGTAAGGGGCATGGGGTGTCTGTCTCCATTCTGAAGGCAGGAACCACCATGCTGCGTTGTCTGGAACCTGACCTGCCCCAACTCATGACTCTGACTTGTTTTTTGGAAATATCCAAACCCTCCCAATATTTATGGTGACCACATGGGGACCATATGGTGATGGCTGCAGGATTTTCGAGATTATTCCATACTTACTGTTTCGTTGTCTTCTGTAAACCTGCCTTGCAAGTACTCGTGATTTTACTCCTTAAAAGGGTCCTAAGAAACAGACTCAGGGCTGCGCTCCCTTTAACCAGGCTTAGGAGGCAGCCACTGGCCACTCAGAGTAACACTTTGGATTTCTAGTAGGAGAGGCTCAGAGCACTTTCAGGAATTTCAAGTATTTTCACGAGCCAAAGTTTACTTAGTACAGATACTGGAAAAGTTCTCTTTCTTGAGCTGTTTTCAAATACAAACACATACAGGAGGGTTTCCAACCCCTTTAAGGAGTTATCCCATTCTAAAAAGCGATATGGAGAACAAGGCCACACAAGTTCCACGTGTCATTCCCCCAGAGTTTTGTTAGAAACCATTAGAAAAATCTTACTTTAGAATAGTGAGTCCACACGGTCCTCCAGATTCCTTCAGAAGACAGACTTCAGATCTTTGTGCAGGAGAAGTCACATGTTGGTTAAATGCATGCTGGGAGGAGGAGTTCAGGCTCCTCCGAAGGACTTTGAGAATTCCAGTTTTGTGAGCTTTTAGACAGAGGCATTGCATCTAGCCGTGTACTTTAGATGTGTCCATGCTGCCATCTAGTGGACAGACCATAGAACTACTAATGCCAAACAGGAAGTCTTGTCTTTTGTTTGCCTGTCTTAGTGAGCCAGAGAGCCTGAATGTCCAGGAAACTGCAGGCAGAAGACGGTAGGACAACATGCCAGGAACCCAAGGCCCTGGACCTTCCAGTCGTCCTTACCCTGAATCCAGACTGTTTTGAGGGAGGGAAAGAGAACATCCCTGTGGCTAAGGTCTAGTTCTGGCATTAACCTGCTGTGTGCAGTCAGGTCTAGCACAAATACACCTTCAGCTGCAGAACGCCGGCATCCTGGCTCCTGGGCCTGGGTATGGAAGAGAACACCCAGCATGAATGGAAGTCTTGAAAGGAACGAGCGAAACAGCAGGGAATCAAGCACGCTGAAACAGACAGCTACAAAAGGGAAAGACGAGGTCCGGTGGGCTCTCTTGGCCATGCCAGAGACTGGTGGGTTAATCTGATTGGTGTGGTTAGGCAGAGTGATTATGTAGGTCATGTGTGAATGGCCTACATAAACTGGGGTACTCGATACACGTTGGGCACACTTCACCAGGGCCTCTTGCACTGTGAAGGCTTCAAAAACAAAGCTATCAAGTTCCTCTCCTCCTTTGTTGCCAGGGCTGGCCAGCCACCCAGATCAGGCCTTGGAGATGCAGGCTGCACTTTCTGAGGGTTCTGGCTTCTGCTCCTCTCTCTGAGCAGCAGCTGCGGCGAGGGTCTGAGAGTCGGACACGGGCAGGACATGGACAGAGCAAGACAAGGAGCTGGTGCTTCAAGGCTGGCTCGGGTTGACTCCTCTGCACTCTGTGGCTGCAGAAACTTCTGAGCATTGCTTATCCGTGTTTGTGTTTTTTTTATTTGTTTGTGATATTACCGGGGACCAACATGATTAGGAATACTGAAAAGAAACAAACAAAAAGGCTGGACGGTGGTGGTGCATGCCTTTAATCCCAGCACTTGGGAGGCAGAGGCAGGCGGATCTCTGTGAGTTCGAGGCCAGCCTGGTCTACAAGAGCTAGTTTCCAGGATAGGCTCCAAAGCTACAGAGAAACCCTGTCTCGAAAAACCAAACCAAACCAAACCAAACCAAAACAAAAACCAGGGCTGAGTATCTTGCTCAGTGCTGGTCTGTCTCGCTTGGCAACCGGTCCTGGCTTTGGTCTCTAGTACCACATAAAGTCCCAGCGTGGTGGGTGGCACACTGCCTGGGAGCCGAGCACAAGGGAGACATGTAGGAGGAGCACAAAGGTTGCCTAGTAACTTCAACGCCAGCCTGAACTACAGAAGTTCCTTATTCAAAACAGGAACCAACCTCCCTCAAACGGAAAAAAATAAAAAGCCCAATTTAAAAATAAAAAGACTACGGCAAGTCCTGCGTCTCCCCTCAGTAGTTCAGCAAACCAAACTTGCAAAGTGGCGAACTTGCCAGTGTTCTTTCTTATATGGGAAAGGAGAAGAAAACAGTAATTAGACCAAGGATGTGAGAGGAGGGGGCGTGGCGTGCCAGCGCAGTAGCCAAGTGTTTTGCCACACCTGCTGGAAAAATGTCAGCTCTTTACAGAGGACACACAGAGGAACTGAAGTGGAGTTGATAGCTGTCTTTCCAGTTCTGCCTGGGCTGTGTAAGGCTCCTGCTGGTTGGCATTGCTGTCCCCTGTTTCAGGACGCTCCTGCGTCCAGTCGTGAGCTCACATCTGGCTGTGCTCCTTGCTTTAATAAACTTGACTTCTCCTAAACCTAGCAGGGTTTGGAAAGACGTCCTTTTTATGACTGTGAGAGTCCTGAGACCGACTTCTTCATCTCTTGCTTAATTTTATTAAAGATTTAAATCCAAGGCGCATGTCTGTAGTCCCTGTACCTGGGACGCCATGGTAGGAGATTACAAGGACAAACTGGGCTGCACGGCAGGGCCCACTCTCAAAGGAAGAAAAGGTTCCCATGTAGAAGTGCGTCTTTTCAGTCCCCAAAAGAGCAGGACAAAGGACACTAGCCCACTCCAAGCTTGTGGCTCTGGCAGGCCTTGCCCTTCTCCCCAGTTCTATCAGTCTTGCTAAAAACTGTTAGATTACATTCCTGAAGCTAGCCCCCAAGGTCCCTTCCCTTGTTTGGCCAATCCCTCCTCCTGAGGCTGATTACCAAGGTCCAGCTACCAAAGAATTGAAGTGCAGCAAAGACTCCCTTGGCTCACCTAATTTGCATGCCCCGTTAACGTCAAACACCTTATCCTAACACAGGATTTTACCTTTACAAAATGCCATTGGCCTATGTGCCATAGCTGTCTCCTCTCTATCCAGAGGCAGTCTTCTGTCCTCTGGAACAAACACCCTTGCTTCCGTTTCCTTGTTTCTGTCCTCTTCTCCCTTTTCCTCTATCTCCAGTCTTTGTCTCTTATTCCCCACCCTCTGTCCCTCTGTATAATGTGGCTGGAGGTGGCTATGTGGTGTCTCCTGACTCCGCCTTCTTTCTCCCAGAATTCAGTTTAGTTTTCCCCACCTACCTCTATTTCATGCCAGGCCAAGACAGATTCTTTATTAACTAATGGTATTCACAGCATACAGAGGAGATTCCCTTATCAAGGTAGATCTAAGTGTCCCCTTTTGAGCCCTCCTTGTTACCTAGCTTGTCTGGGTTTGTGGATTATCCTTTACAGATAATGCCCAATTGTGAGTATAGTTTTTCTTTCTGTATTTTGCCTGAAATCTCCTTATGTCATTGTTTTTAACAGCTGAGTAACTGAGTAATTCCATTGTGTAGATGTACCACATTTTCTTTAGTTGAGGGACATCTAGGTTGTTTCAAGTTTCTGGTTATCCATCAAAGACTCTAAGATCCCATTTTACATTATCAGAATGGACAAGACCAAAACCACAAATGACAGATCATGCTGGGGAAGATGTGGAGCAAGGGGAACACTCCTCCCTTGCTGGTGGGACTGCAAACTTGTACAGTCACTTTGTAAATCAGTATGGTGGCTTCTCAGGGAATTGGGAATTGGTCTACCTCAAGCCCCAGCTATACCACTCTTGGTATATACCCAAAGGATGCTCTATGATACCACAAGGACACCTGCTCAACTACGTTTATAGCAGTTTTATTTGTAATAGCTATGAAAGACTTTCTTAAAAAGCAATGAAAGAGCATGTCACAGCATGCCTTGTGAGGTCGTGGGAATGCTTAGGCTCCATCCGACTGCTGTAGAGGCAGGGGAGACTGAGGAATTAACGACCCAGCCCTCCTGAAGGCAAAGGCTGCATAATTTTACAGGGCAAGGAAATATCAGAGCCATTAGGAACGTTTGTTATCTCTGTCTGTAGTCCCCACAAACAGGGGTTGGAGGACCAGAGGGGCTGATGCTATTGAGGGAACTAGGAATAAGAGAAGCCATGTTTGAACCCTAGCTCAGTGGGCCAGATAGAACTATTGAGAGGAGTTAAGGAAAAGGCTGGCCCAGTGTGGAGCTGCAGAGAATAGGAAAGGCTTTCGCAGATGGCAGTGCCTTAGAGCTGCATGTGAAGTCTCTGTAAACAGAGGGAGCAACCCAGGGAGACAGGAAATAGTACAGCAGGTCTGGATTCCTTAAAGACAAATGCTGCAAGATTTTGTGTCAAACTAAAATTTCTAAGGGCAAAGTTGACAGCCAATTGCATGCTTAGGGGCTTCTAGAAGGCTTTAAATCCTGAGGAGCTCACAGAAGATACCCATGATAGAACACCACAAGCGAACATGGGCCAATGGATGGGCCCTTTTCCATGTTCTGTTACACCTTGCTTGTGCTCCGCCCTGCTGTAGCATCTTCTTAGTTGTGAACCTCTGGGGTCATGTGACACTTGCCGATAAAAGATGACAACAGACTTTCAGACTTGCGATCTTTGTAACCCTCCTATTTGCTATGGGATGATGATTTGGGGTGCTGCCTTGTCTGGCCCATCATCTGAAAAAGGTTTTGTTAATGAATGGCATAGTGTTAACTGGTGTTTTGCAAATTTGGAAAGCCATCGGAGGGACAAGATGGAACTTCCACCTACATTACAACCCTACTGGTTCCCTAACAGGTGGAAAAGGACACCCCCAGAAGCCATAAGGTTATTGAATGAAAACCCCAGTGCCAGGGGTGGGCTACCTCCTTGTGAACTGTTGGCCAGGAAAGCCCTCTAAGCCTCACAAAGCATAAAGCTATTGCTATTGTCAAAGCTTGACAGTAAGACCCTGTTCCTGGAGAAATGCATGTGTGTGCTGTGACTGCGAGACATGGAGAGATGAGGCTGGGACTGAACTGGAAACAGTTTTCACAGGGCCAGAGGGGCCATGCAGCTTGCTGGAGACTGACAGCCTGCTCTGGCTAAGGCCTGCTCCACAAGATGGAGTTCCCGCAGCGCTGTAAGCCAGAACATAAACTTGTGGCTGGAGAGGTCATAGGCGGTATTCACACTTTGGTCTGTTGTGGGCTCCCTGTCTGGGGTCAGTAAACATGTGTGCTGCGTCTTCCCAGGAAAAGTTGTCACACAGCAAAGCTTTATATTAATTTGTGCTATGGAAAGACTAGAGATTTCCTTAAGAACTTTATTCTTTGCAATATATAAAAATAAATAAGATATTCTAACTTTTGGGAGTATCACAAATACAAGAAGAAGATACTGCTATCACCACTCTAAATGACTGGAATAAATTTGTTTCTTGTTCCTCCATCTTCTCATTATAATGGCAAAGTGAGGATTAGACTGTCAGGTCAGGGTAGACACACGAAGAAGGCCACTCTGAAGGACGCTGTGGGTGGGCTGGCCGGCTATTGCATTTTGCACTCAGGTCCATCTTTCCCCAAGGAGGGCTGACGGAGGTCTGCCTTGGGATCCACATTCTCTACTTCTGCAGCTGGTTCCTCTGACAAAGGAAATAAAAAC